TATAATAATAAAAAAAAACACACAACAAACAATAAGAGTGAATAATAGATACATAAATAAAATTTTTAAAAAAGGTTGAAAATACCTTGAGTTGAGTTGATAATATCTGGCAAAAGAAGCTGATAAAGCACACACTGACACTACAATCACATATGAAACACAAACAAAAAATAAAATACACTTTTTTAAACAACACTCCTTGAATAAGCAAAAATACTTGAGACTGTGGTCACTTTGAAGGGCATTCAAAAATAAGTTCCTAAATTTTCGAAATTGCTCGGGTATAAAGTCTCACGATGTAAGTGGGGGTTGAATATAACCATTGGTCGAAAGTTAAGGGTGAGAGAAGTTGTGGGAGGAGCTAATAAACAAAATGGTGGATGTACATAAGTAAGAAGATTTTCTTAAGTAAGAAGATAAAAAAATGAACCACATATTATATGCACACGAATTGAAAGCAAAGTCTGTAGTTCTTTTATTAACACGGAAAACAATTATTTTTGATTATTTATTAATAGAGTATTTTATAATATCGGAATAGGATATAAAAAAATTTATATGGCACAAATAGAAGCAGATACATGAACATCTTAATTTAAAAGAAATCAATTCAGTAAAATTTTTGATGAATTATATGTGAATTATAAAAAACAATTCTGATCCGAAATAAATTCTGCAAGACATTCATTAGCAACTGTGTAGATTCCAAATATCACTTTCAGCTGGTTTTGATTCTACAGAACATTGGAATTGAACTTTAACTGAGAAAATTTCGACCCGCATTAGCTGGACTACAGTAGGATAAAAAAAGATATAAAAAAATTTTCTACAACGATAATGCGGTCCTCATTTAGGTGTCCGGTTAGTCTCCAACATAGAGTCTACGCTTTCAATGAGTGTAATTAAATTATAAAGAAACGAAAATTTATTAAAAAATCGTACGTTTCTTTTAGAATATTTCGGCTGATGGCTTGGTGACAAAAAAACCAAATCAACGAACAACAATGTAAGTACAATGGAATCTCTATAACTCGAACCTCGTTAAGTCGAAATCCTCAGTAAGTAAGTTTTGAACCCCAATAACAAATAAAGAAGCCAGAACTGCAATTAACACTCTACGAGCTTATGTTGAAAGATGTGATGATATCGAGGATCATGTATTCGGTTCATTGTTTGAGCTTGAAAAAATAATTGATAAAAAATCTGCAAATAGTTTAAATCAAAAGAAGATAACGGATTTTTTTTAGTGTACAGTGTACTTCATTAATATGTAATTTGTATTAACATGTAACAAATATATGTACATACTATAAAACTTAAGTTGAATTGTAATTCAAATTCGACTCTACAAATCGAAAAATACACTTAGAAATCACGCCTCTGTAAGTCGGAATTTTAGCAGTTAAGTCATATGTATCTCGAAGTTCTTTCTAAGTCGAAAACTCATTAACTCGAATTTTTTTGCATTTCCCCTGACATTCGAGTTATAGAGATTCCACTGTATATACTAGATACTAGTAAAGACTACCAGATACAGAAACTGTCAATTAATGTTTTGTAAATACAAATAATAATTAATTATTTATCTATTAAATAATGATTATTATTTAATAATAATTATGTATCTGTTAATTTATTATTGAATTATTGTTAAGTTCGTAAGTTTAATTTCGTAAAGTTTATTTAATTCTTTATCTTTCATTATGCAGTTTGGTTGGAGACGTTTGGAACCAGAATTTAAACGTATTGAATATTTCATTCCATTAAATACTTGTTTTCTATGTTGCTCTGGATTCTTAAACCAATCAATTGATAAGGATATAAGAAGATATTTTAATAATATCAACAATTCGGATACAAGCTGGAGTCTGTTGGAATTTATACGTAAGTAAAAATAAATATCGTTAATACATAATAAAAAAATCGTGGTTTTGAATTTCGAAATTCACTAAGTCTGTAAAAAGAATACATGATATTTAAATTAAGAAATTATAAAGATAATGATCTTTTAAACTTATTGAAAATCGTTATCTTGGTCTTTATTGATAACTTAAATTAAAATACCCGAATTACAGTTTTATACGCTTATTCTAAAAAACAACATTTTTATGGAGCGAATAAAAATATAGTATCTTCAGGTAGTGTAAAATTGAACTAACTAGGAGCTGTGTCATGTCTTGAAAGAGTCTTATATTAAGAAATGAAAATAATGGTAAAGAGTTTTAAGAAATGTTAATAGTAGAAATTTATTAATTCATTGAGTAGAATGACTGCATTTATTTTCCACATTGAGTAAATTTTCATACTTTGTACTATCTAAAAATTAATTTATGATCCTAAGACTCGTTGAGCAATATTCATTAATATCAATTCTTGGAATAAAAGTTTTCACGTATAATAAAATAATAAATAATATACGACAATGATAACTTTTTTAGTTGGAAGACTTTTTATCAGTTGGCTTATCAAAATTTGTACTGCGTCCTTAACTCAGCTATATTGTGATTTAATTGTTTATACTACCTATTCTAATTATTAGCATTATAAAATTCTAATTAAAATCAAGTAGAAAATTATTTTTTAATATCTAAAATATATAAGTTAATGATGGATTTCAACTTGAAGCTTACTTTTGATTATTCTGTGTAGTTCTAACTCTTAATTTAATGAATTTATTATTTCGTCAGAATAGAATATATTCAGAGTTTAATCCTATTATTTTAATGCAAAAGTTGTTGTAATGTTTTTATATTAACATTATTTTTGTAAAGCAAAAAAAAATAAACATATTTATCTGCTAATATAAACGACATCCAACATCCGAAAGTCGAGTTTTCGATTTTTCAAAAAAAGAATTGATGTTAAAGTAGTTGATATGAAAAATCCCTCCTGATCAAAATTGATAAACTTTTAGTATAATATCAATAATTGTTATTAATCACGCCACCAAATTCTTAATGTTTTTAACAACATAGTTTCCAAAAAATTATTTATTGAAATTATGTATATAACATATGTACAACTATCTTAAAAGATGAGCTGCTATACTTTTGTCTATAAAATTATCAATCATTCTGTATCACGATTATAATTATGATAATTTAATTTGTCTATAACACTCAATTTTTTATTAATTGTTTTCCTCTTATATGGATTTATTTAGAGCGCCGGCTGACACGAATAATATTTCAATTATCCTTATTATTAATACATTCAACCATGGACGCTAGATGCTCAAGGTGTATTGAAATTCTCCCAGCACGAGATATGTTTTCACACTTCAAACAAAATCATCCAAACATTATTGGCGTAGCATATTGTTGTATAAAAAAAGGCTGTAATCGAAAATATAGTAATCTTAGTTTATTTAAGTGTCATACATCGACTTGCAAAGACAAAATTGTTATTAATAGAGAAGAAAATAGTGTTATAGTTGAAAACTCTGATGTAGTATTGAAAGAAATAATGAAAAATAATGAAAATGATAATTGCCTGCATAGTTTTGTTGAACCTAATTGTCATTTACAAGAACAAAAGAATTCCTATGATAAGAATATAAATCACCCTAATCTTGATAATGATGATGATGACGTTAATAGTAATAAAAATAGTCAATCGTATAAAAAAAAATCCTTTTTTTAAAGTTTTATTAGATTTTGCATCTGATTTACATGGTGATTCGAAACTAACGCGTTCGCAAGCGGAAAATATAATTAGAAAATGCGATAATCTTATCGTTAATAGCCTTTTTCCTCTATTACGTAAATTCAATGATAACCACGTTGATGAATCTAATACTAGAGAAAAATTCTCGTGTATGTTGCATAAATTTCAACTGAATATTGAGCAAATACTCAGTGGAGCTAAAATAACCACGCAATTGAAGAAGAACAATTATTATATTAACTGTAAAGAGGTAGTATTTGAACGTAATATAAATGAATACGAAAAAATGGATGAGAAATTTTATAATACTTTATAATATACGTATTATTTCTCTTAGTGTATTTAAATATAAAAACATTAATATCCATCTTTGCAAATTCAATAACTTTGTAATCTAACGCCATCTGGTGATTTACATCACAAATGAAAAAAGTCCCATATTACCGACTAAAAATTCATTTACTATGGTAAATAGATTACCTACAGCTACTGTAGTCAATTTCCGAATGCACCCGATATAAGGAATCGTTTCAAATTTCTTTTAGAAACAAACAATAAAAATCTCATCAAAAGCAGTCCTTCTGGGGTGTATAAAAATGTGCACCAAGCATAAATAATGACAATGATGCAATTATAAAAAGTTCTAAAATAATTAAACGTCAAGTACTTAATAAATGTAAGAATCAATCATATTTAAAATGAATCATTTTCTTCGTTTTTTTATTTAGCAACTAAAAACTTGGTATGATTGTTAAAATTTTATAGACGTTTTTGGTTGCTATTTGTAATTGAATATATTATTATTTTGGGAAAACTAGCAACCTTTTAAAATAAATAAATTCATATTTTGAACTGCAATATAGTAGTCAAATTGAATGTTAAATGATTTTTTATAATATTCAATGATAAAAATTGTTCAAAAAATCCATTATAAAAACTAATTATAATTAATTAAAAATGTCGCTGTATAAAATTTACTACATATTAAGAGGTTAAAAAATTAATTAGATGTACTTCATAATTTGACTTTATACACATCCCAACTTCGATGTTAGACTGCACGTACACATATCATAAGTCACAGTTATTAAATTACAAATAGCAACTAAAAATGTCTATAAAATCTTAACAATCATACCAAGTGTTTGGTTGTTATATTCACTGCGTCATGAAACGTACGATTTATTTTTCAAAAAATAAAAAAACCAGGAAATAAATCATTTCAAAAATGGTTGATTCTTATATTTATTAAGTACTTGGCATTCAATGATTTTAGGACCCTTCATAACAGCTTCGTTGTCATTATTTATACTTGGCGAATATTTTCGTACACCCCAGAAGGCGGGGATTGTTTTTGAAGAGATAATAAAATCAAAACAAAAGTCGTTTCAATTTGCTGTCTGATATCACATTTTGCCTAAGAATCTTATCGAGGACGTGACAATAGATTATTCTTTCCTTAGTTCTACTTCAATTTGAGAGTGTATTTTGTTTACAATACTGCTAAAATACCGACAAAAATGCCGCTAAAATACTTCTTACAATTGTTCAAGAGAAAGTCAACTAGTCAAAAAAGTAAAAATCTCTCTGATGACATTAAAGAAGAACGACCAAGTTCTTTTTATTGGGTTCTCGCAGGAATAAGAATATTACTTACACTTATACCGCAAAGAGGTTATATACATCCTGACGAGTTTTTCCAATCTATTGAAGTAATTGCTGGTAAAGTATTATTCAAAAGAAACAATTTATTACTTTTAAAATAAGTGAATTTATTAATTTATAAATTATTAACAAGCTTTAATATTCATAAAAATTTATCATATTTAAAATAAAATCATTCATTTATTCTAATTTACTTATTTTAGGTGATCGTTTCGACATAGATGTCAACAAACCTTGGGAGTTCAATGTAACATTCCCAATAAGATCACCATTCATTTCACAATTATCAATCGGTATTCCTTATACACTCATCAATATCATATCTCCATACTTATGGCATCTTTTTCAATACAACATCAAAACTTCATATTTTTTAGTCATATTTCCACGATTACTTATATGCCTGTTATCTTTTGTAACAGACTATTGTTTATATCAAATTTGCCGTCTCTATAAAGAAGACTTTCGTAAAAGGCTAGTCATATATGCCAGCTCATACGTGACCATGGTTTATTATACTCGTACTTTATCAAATGCAATAGAATCGCTTCTAGTCGCTTTAATTATCTATTACGTGTCTCGATGTATCATACTTTCAGAGAAAATCGTCGTCCAAAGTGATTATTTCTCCGAAGCTTATGATAAGGCTCAAAGTATTGTAGAACGTGTAAAATATTACAAACTTCGGGCATCACTTCCTTCACATTCTCTCAATCATTGTCTTATATTAGCAAGTATTTCAGTATTAGGTATTTTTAATCGACCAACGTTTATTGCATTTTTGTTACCTCCAATATTTTTCTGGCTCCGAAGAGGCCTTGGATCACGTAGTGTTAATCTTTGGGATTTTCATATTCGGATCGCAATGTTTATTATCTGTGGTATACCGATGGTGCTCTTAATGATAATTATTGATAGCTTTTATTTCGGTTACCTCTCTTTGATAGAAATAATGACTCTAGATATTGGTTTTAAAAATTTTGTTGTTACGCCATTAAATTTCTTAAAATACAACTCAGTATCTAAAAATCTAGCTAATCATGGTCTTCATCCGCGATTTTTTCATTTTTTAATCAACGTCCCACTCCTATTTAATGTCTTGGGTATCATTGGACTCATTACATCTGCTAAGTTAGCTTATAGGTAAGTAAAATATTATTTTTTTTATTTATCATTTAACGTAAAAATATTCAATTTACGTTAAAAATTTGTTTTAGCATCATGACACGTCGATGGTCCGATTTACCACGAATTCAAAGCATTGAAAGCATGATGATTGCTTGTTTCTTATCTCCTATAGCTTTATTATCTATCTTTCCTCATCAAGAACCAAGATTTATCATTCCTACATTACTGCCAATAGTTTTTCTCTATACACCAGTTCTTGAGAATGCTTCTAATTTTTCTTCTATCGGTTGTAGAAATACCAATAAAATAATTCATATTTTGCAAAAAAATGTCAGAGGAATTAACAAACTCCAACACATCTGGTGGATTTCTAATATTTTGCTTATTATATTCTATGGGTTTATTCACCAAGGTGGAGTACTATCATTAACAACACACTTGGCCAAAGAACTTAAAGCTAAGCCGGAATTAACACATGTTCACTTGTATACTTCTTACATCTACTCGCTTCCTACAGCTTTATTATTATTAAGGAATACGCAAAAAACATATGTCAGTTCAGCTAATCATCGGTATAAATTAAAACAAGACTTCTTTCTTTACGAACGAGGAAGCCAATCAACAAATTTAGTTTACGATGAAATTAAATTAAAGTTGAACGAGTGTGAAAAGAAATTTATAGATCAAAAAATACCATATAGGATCTATTATGCTATGCCTCTCAATTCATTTAGTGATTTAATGGAATATACAATTGTAAATAATACGAAAGAGATTAATTTTAGTGTAGTTAAAATTTTCTATCCACACGTTTCAACTGAAAAATTACCAACATTAAATTTAAATATTATTGAATGTCTAGTGATAGAAAAATTAGATGTTTGTATAGAAAAAATTACACACAATATTTTTCATCAAATTGTACAAGTTTATGAGAGTTTTGGATTATTACTTTTAAGAATACAGCGTTCCAAAAATAATAATGTTATTATTTAGCACTTGTAGATTTTATATTTGTAATCTATTGATTATTAAAGTATTAATAATTTTAACAAATAAAAAGATAAAATATGTGATCATATAGTGTCAATTAAATTTTTCACTTTACAAAAGTATAAATAAACAGTAAAATTCTTATTAAAATGATAGTTAAAGCCTTGACATTACTTCCAACTAATTCATTAACTATCGTATGTTAATAAATGTAGTAAAAATAATTATTTATTAAATATTTCTCTATTAATAACTGAATCATTCTTTGAAATTGTCTATTAACTATTCTTATTTAAAAAAATTTTTTTTTTAAAACTGATAACTAATCATATAAATACTATTCTTGTTGTAGAAATGGTTCATCATATGTCCAAGGGAGTTCTTCATTAAATTTACTTCTATATGCTGCATTTTTTGCTGCATAAAGTCGAGGATTATCAATGTAAGCTTCACATTCATAACACCATACAGAAAGATCCGTAAAACTTAATGTTAAAGGATGTCCTAAGTTCTGTCCATGAAGAATAGCATGTTGATTAACTATTCTCGCACAATTGGTTGTGTAGCAATGCAAGCAGATCCAATTTTCTAGTGTGCTCTGGCATTCTTGACAGGGTCCTGAAATATCAATGCCTTCCTCAGGTACTTCATTGATAAGTTCTAGATGTGGACAATCACTTAAGGGTACTATTGCAAACATCAAACTATCAGTTAGTGTTCGAGTTGGATCATCACTGCCACTGTTTGGATTTGATGATGATGTTCCTGCTCTGCTTTCGTTAGATTGACTACATCCAGCTTTTTCTTCCTTACTAGATTGCCCTTTGTTCTCCTTATACTGAGAATCAGAAGATTTTTTTACAGATGACGTATCATCGTCTTTGATATTTAATTTCAAAAACTGCTCCTGTAAATCAATATTCTTTTGCTTTTCTCTCTTTTCTGTTTCCCATTGCTCTTGGATTATTTTGACCTCTGCTTCTGGACTTATATCAAATGGTTCGGGTTTATTTTTAACTGGTGAAGGTATCACATTTTCTTTGGGCAAAGCTACTTGAAAAACAAGATTAGACCAGTATCGCTTATGTATTTTTAAAACATTTTTAATACTCGTTACAGCCGATGAGTTTGGAGCAAGAGTACTGTGATGTAAGTAAGGCAAAGGATCTCCAAGAAGAGTTTTCGTGCACATAGTCATTGCATAGGAGATAGAATTAATATTATAACCACCTTCTAAAACTAGAATTAATCTTCCATTGGCTAAAGAAGACAACCACTGAGTGAAATAACCATAAGCTGCTGGTGAAACGGTGTATCCTCCTAGCGGATCACCTTTACATGCATCAAAACCTGCAGATATTAAGACTAATTCGGGGTTAAATTGATACGCAATTGGTAAGACGACTTGTTGGAATGCTGCCATGTATTCAGTGTCTCCCATTTTTTTACGATTCCAAGGGATATTGACATTAAATCCTTCACCCTTACCTGCACCAACAACATCATAATTGGCACTTTTTGATTGTGGGAAGAAGGATCCATTATCATATCGATGGATTGATATGTAAAGAACTCTTGGATCATTTTCAAAGATTGTTTGAGTTCCATTTCCATGATGGATATCCCAGTCCAAAATTAACACACGCTTTAATCCATGAAATTCGACAGCATATCGTGCTGCTATTGATATATTATTGAATATACAGAAACCACATGCAGTATCATTATCTGCGTGGTGTCCAGGTGGTCGTACAAGCGCCACTCCTGATTGGCTTTCGCCATTCAATACATTATCAACAACCTGAAGAACTGATCCTGCAGCTACGCAAGCGCTTGTCCAAGTTTCTGTGTGTAAATAAACAGATTCTAAAGATTTTGCCTCTTTGGCAAGATCTGAAAGATTTTTCCTTTCTGTATCTTTGATAGTTTTGATATAATCTTTGGTATGAACCAGAGTTAGTTCTTCTTCAATAGCTAAACGACCTTTGATTAAATGACATCGCCTTAATAGATCATACTCTTCATGTTTTGAATATATTTCCGATATTCTTTTAGGAGTTTCTGGATGTGTATTGTCAGAAGGATGACGATGTTCCAACATTCGATCATCGTAAACTAAACAAACCTTATTAGGAGCTATTTTCAAAACTGTTGATAACTTTAAAGCAACTAATTGATTACGAATCTCTGTAAGAAATGCTCTACTCTGAATTGGATAACAGTTACGAGTTAAATAAGTGTCAGGTTTTGTTTCATCTCCTTTAAAAATAACTTCAGGAAGATGTCGCTCATATTCTTCATATTTTCCATCACTTTTTTGGTGAATATTATACACTTCTTGGTACTCATAACAATTCCAATAAGGTTTATGGGCATAAATAACATTCAAAATAGTTTTTTTGACACTTGCAGAAGGTACCTCTGGAGTATTTATCATAGGACATGGATCACCTAAAAGTGTTCTCAATGATAAAGCTGCAGCTTCTGATAGTGATTCTAAACAATATCCTCCTTCTAAAATAACTGCTAATTTTCCATTCGCTAAACCCATTAACTGAGACACCATATGAGCATAGAACGCAGGTGTTAATTTCATTTCACCCTAAAAATATAAAAAGTTTTAAAATGCATGATGAATTAATGTATTTTTATAATTCAATTTAATTTAAATTTAAAAATTGATTCCACCACCTTCTCGTCCCCAAGGGCAGAATCAAAACCAGCAGAAATGATTACGAGATCGGGGTAAAACTAAATAAAAAAAAAAAATTATATTAATTAATATATTTGAAATTTATTTACCTCTGGACAACCGAGTGCTGCGTCGTAACCTGCAGAGATTACTACGAGATCCGGTTGGAACTGATAATGAAAAATAATTTTAATAAATGTAAAAAATTAGTCAATTAATATTTAATAATTTTTCAGTACCTCGTAAGCCATAGGGAGAAGTACTTGTTGGAAAATTGCCAAATAATCTCCATTCATCATACCAGGTTTATTTAACGGAACATTGAAATTATATCCGGCGCCTGCACCTTCACCTACATAATGATAATCAGATTCACGAAGATTTGGCCAAAATTCTCCTTGCTCGTAACGGTGGATTGAAAAATAGACAACTCTTGGATCATCATAGAACATTTGTTGTGTAGCTTGTCCATGATGAACATCCCAATCAACAATTAATATTTTATTGGCTAAACCATCTCTGAGCATTTTTTCCGCAGCTATTGCGACATTGTTGAAAAAACAGTAGCCACAAAACTCAGTTTTCATTGCATGGTGGCCTGGTGGTCTGAATCGCATTAAAAATTGAAAAAATTATAAGTACTCATTACATAAAATACTTTTATCTTTTTAATAAACAAATAAGTAGTAAATAAAAAAAACATTTGCTTAAATTATATGACAGATTTTCTATTTAAATTAGATGTGACGGATTGATTAGCATGAAGTTGAAAAAACTTCATCGATTATTCTAGATCAGATTAGTCATTATTAATAAACCCTAAATTGTTATACCTAATTATCGCCATTCCATTTTGAACTTGTTTCTTACAAATTGCTTCCAAAAGGTCGATAGTTGATCCTACAGCTTTTTTTGATAATTCGTACGTTGACTAAAAATGATGGCAATTATTTAAGTTATCGTTTAAATAAAAAATATAATAATAATTGTAAATAATCAACTCACTGGATGAATATAAATTGCATCATATTTAGATGATAAATGTTCCAACTTCTCTTCATCTGTACATCCAGAAGTCGCTTTAAGAATATCGATATGTTTTTGTGAATGCTTGAGTAAAATTTCATCATGAGTAGCAAATCTTGGTTCAATTAATTTGCATCTTTCAATCAATCCTAATTCATTGCACCTTTCAATGACTTGAATTAATCTTGCTGGACACTCTGGGTAATTTTTATCCCATAAACATTCATGCTCAGCCATAGAATTATCGTAAACTAAGCCAGTTTCTCCTCTTACAAGTGTTTTAGCATCCATTGCACTCTGATAAATATCTTGAATAAAAATGCTCTCTGAGCTTTTTTCACAATTTTTCAGTCCCTGAGTTTTTAACTTCTGTTGTGCTGCTTTCCGCTTCGCTGCTACTATTTCTTGTGATGGTCGTGCCTGAACATAAAAATGGCATTGTTAATATGTTGCACAACTTAATTAATTTTTTATTACTACTGTTTCACATTATAGTATATCATATCCATGATAGGATTCAATAATTATGTAGTTTTATATGTAAAAATCATTGCATTAAGAATTAGTTATTGAAACATTGGAAGCCCTGTTACACAATTTATGTATTAATTTAAATTATACATAAAATTAATATTATTTATAGATAATTTAAAAACTTGTTAGTATTCGAATTTTTATAAAATACATATTTATTTATTTTATTTAACAGAATGGATGATAAAATGATAAAAATACTTTTGACACTGCTGATTTGTTGTTCAGGTTGTCCTTAAATTTCTGTTTTGCAGACATGATGATTGCTCACAATATTTTCTTATCTTATCTTTTCCTCCACCAATTAAGTATTCAGATAGAACTTATGAAGAAGCTTGGAATATGAACTTTTGTTAAAGAAAGCAAATATTTATGGTGCTCCAAATGACATGAATGTGACAGTTTGATACGTTGGTTCAATATTTTATTTAATATTAAGCTCTTGAGATCAAATATGAATGCGTAGGTAGAATAAATCTTCCCACCAGATTTGTGCAACCATGATAACTCGATAAACTTTAGTCTTTTAATAGTTAAAATATCTTTTTTTATTTCATTATAACCTCGAAATTATCTTTTATCGAATTTTATTACTCGCTAATTATATTAAAACTCATTCTAATAATTATCAGTTAAGAAAAATACTTTATATAAGTTTAATAGTCTCTTATAATGAATAAACTTTTGAAAAATATTTGTTTATATTGTTGTAATTATTTATATTTACACGCATGAAGTATAGCCATAGCACTTAATATGTATACACTTTTTATTAACCTGTCGTTGTATGTGTTGGAAACTTTTGCGTCTGTTTCCATGAAAAAAATCGTGAAACTTTAAGGCTGGGCTGAAGTCAGAAAGTTTCCCGGAGTTGACTTTACGCCCTCACGTTGTGCGGCGAAAAGCCGAAGCTCGATATCAATTGAAATTGAGTAGGTAACAGAGAAATCGTTCGAAAAATGATAATTTTCAGGGATGCACTACAAAAAGGGAGCCTTAGGGTACCAAGAAATTTACAAATTTCAGAATAATCTGTTCCGAGCAAGACAGAGCACAAAATATATCTATCTATCTCCGTCTTATTTTTCAGAGAAGACTGCGAGTTCGAACAGTTGACGAGCAAGCACATTCCCCACCCTCTGTTACTAAGCCTGAAGCTTACGATATCTAAACGTAAACAAAGCAAATGAAAATATGCTAGCTCTATAGTCAGAAGGTTCGCCAGTTATTTTACCGAACGGTGTTCGATTCCAATTGCGGCAAAATTTTTTTTTTATTTAAATTGCATGTAATTGCAATTTTATCATGCCAAAAATGAGTTTTAAATTTCAATTTTTATGTAAAATTTTTTTTTCAATTAATCAATGACAAATGAGAAAATATTTTAACAGGGCCATTAACCTTTTTTTGTACAAATACATTGATAATAGCCTTTTTTAACAACTTATTAATAATAAAAAATTGTTTAAACAATCCGCGGCGAGTTCCGATACTTCGCCGGCAAGCTCGACCCCCACTTTCTGTGCCCAAGCCTGTAGCTTATAATTTTCAAGCATCGTATATATAATTGGAACTATAATAGCTCAGTGGTTAGAGCCCCGACCTTTTATTTTGCTGGGCAGGGTTCGATCCCAGTCATAGGCAATTTTTTTTTCTGTTTCTTGTTCAAGTGACTTTATATACTTATAAATCAATTCATATATTTTATTACATTATTCTTCCAATTAATTACGAAAAAAAACTTGTTTTTCTGAAAATAAGCTGAGGGTGAGGAACGAGTTACTATGAATTCTCTTTTTTAGAAAATGTTGTCTTTAAAAGACACTATGAATTGATTTTGAACTTATACAAACAACCAATTATTGTATTTATATAAAATTTTAATGAAAAAAAAAATTGGCTATAACTGGGATCGAACCCTAATCGGTAAAATGAAAGCTTGGTGTTCTACCTACAGAGCTAACATATTATCTCTGACATCATGTTTATGTTTATAAATTGTATAATGCAGGCTTGGGTACGAAGGGTAGGGATAGAGCTTGCCAGCGAAGTGCCGGAACTCCCCGCGGACTGTTCCAACTACATACTTCTGAATATTTCTAAATTGCTTAAAAAAAAGCTACGTTCATATAGCTATAGTAAAAAAAGTGTTTATAACCCTGTTCATATGTTTTCCGACTCGACGTTGATAAATTACATAAATAATTGAGAAAAAAAAATCAAATCGTTGGTAAGAATTCATTTTAGCATGTTAATATTATAATTACATGCAAATCTAACAAATGAAAAAGAAAAAAAAAACTTTACCATGACTGGAATCGAACCCTGCCCATCAAAATAAATGACCGATGCGTTAACCACCGAGCTATTATGATTACAAAACATTTATATATGCTCAAAAATTATAAGCTGCAGGCTTGGGCATAGAGAGTGGGGGTAGAGCTTGCCAGCGAAGTGCCGGAACTCGCCACGGATTGTTTAAACTACTTTTCAATGTTGATAATAATATGATTAACTTGTTAATAACATAACATTGTTAATACATGTAAAGATGTATAAGTTGTTAAACACAGGCTATTATCAATGTATTTATACAAAAAGAAAGTTTATGGCTCTGTTCAAATATTTTTCGACTTAGCGTCAATAAATTCAATGAATAAAGAGAAAAAAAAATCAAATTGTTATAAAAGATTAATTATAGCATGTCAATATTATAATTACATGCTAATCTAACGAATAAAGTAGAAAAAAAAAATTGGTTATGACTGGGATCGAACCCTGCCCGGCAAAATAGAACTCTGACGCCCTAACCACATGGCCAGCATAATCTCGATATTGAGTCAATGTATATTTGTTTTTATACTACATGCTTGGATACGCCGACTTGGAATTGAGCTTCCTTATTAACATTTATACCTAATAAAAATGATAATAATGGATGAATATATGTATTTGAAGTTATTTGCAGGTATTATATTAATTAATGTTAAATGAGTATCATCATTTTTATTTACCCTAACTGCAATAGTCATCAAAGTGTAGGGCATTGTAAAGTGATACACTATGTTTACATCACATACATATATTACCCGTACACACACATACAGAATTTACTCGCCAAAATGCAGGGCACCATCAGTTCTGGATACGGATTGAGCATTTTTTCAATATGGATGACTGAGGTCATCTGCGAGCATAATGCTGTCACCTATCAGAATTTTTTCAAACTAATTTTCCGGAGAATATCATCTGGAATACAAGATTTCTAATTATTTCTAAATTATTCAATTTTATACTATGAATTGATTTTTTTGACATTCAGACAGGTGGCAAGGACTGACGCAAACACGAATTTTGGGCGAAAAACGTATAAAAATGAAATAATTAGTGATTTTTCATCTGAATGATGTGGCCGCCATCTTGAAATTTAAGCGCGGCAGGTCAATTCATAATTTTTTCATTATTCTTTCTAATTTTTTTAATAAAAATATTCACTATATACAAAAAATTGTTGTTTACGTCAGTCCGGCATCAATTCCTCTGTAATTTGGTACCTAATTTTATAGAAATAATTGTAAATTGGCGAAGAAATTAGAAATTTCCCGATCCCATGTATTTGGATAGGGGGAATCAGTCGCCTTTCTGACTTCAGCCCAGCCTTAATTAGACGCGTTAACCTCAAACGAGCAAGAGTTGTGTTGACTTTTCATTTTTGAATGAAATTTGTGTGTTCATTTTAAAAGAGAAAAATATATTTTTTAATTGTAAATAATATTAAAAGAATTCCATTACCATTTGGCTATAAGGTAAATTTAGGTTTATATTATCTTTATAAAAGTTCAAGCTATTCAAATGTCTCTGAATAAACTCCAAAAAAATACTGGACATGCTATACTGTTGATTCAATTATTTCAATTTTTAGTTGATAATTTTAAAATGATATCTCTATTTACAAGCTAGATATAATGTAATTTACTCCAATAATTTTTGAATTAATTTTATTTCTTTTACAGTTGGCGTGGAAACTCATCTTTATTCACAACTGCCATTTTTACAGAGAAAAAGAGTAATTTATTATTATTAAAATTTACCAATTGTTTGGAAGGTTTTTTTTAAAAAGAAAACACATAAAAATGCAATAATATGAATTAAAGTAATATTTATAGAATTTGTTTTATAATATAATATATGATAAGGATAATAAGATGTCGTCCGAGGATATTAAATCAGCTGAGTTGGAAACATCAACATCAAATGATCAAAACATTGATGATAAAAATAAGAAGACATCGCTTAATACGTCCATCGTTGCAGAACATTATAATTCTCTTGAAGAAAGAGGTTTAAATGAAAGATTTCACAGCAGAATTGTTTATATGCGAAATTTTAATAATTGGATTAAAAGTGTTTTAATAAGTGAGTAATATCTTGATACTGAAAAATAATTATTTAGATTTACATTTAATAAATAATATTATTTGGGATCATTTTTAAACTCACAGATGAATATATGTTGAAAATTAAAAACAATTGTACTTACGGCACTCCTTTGAGAGTGTTGGATATGTGTTGTGGAAAAGGAGGAGATCTATTTAAATGGAAACAAGCCAACATCTCACATTTAATATGCGCAGACGTCGCCGGTGTTTCCGTTAAACAATGTGAAGGTCGATATAATGATTTGAAACAGAACAATAGTTATAATTTCTCGAAAATTTTCAAAGCTGAATTTATTACTGCTGATTGTACAAAGGTATAATGACTTTACCTAGCTTCTTATTTTTATTCATTTGCAACAAATCCTTGATCTATTCTTCTCTTTGGCCCTTCCTTTTATTGCCCGGTATACCTGAAGTACTGCTAATCTCATACCTAATAGTGACTCTCTGTTTTTCTCCAAAATTGTATGAGGGTTCATTGTACTTAACATTATTTCTGGACTTACAATTTAGTTGTTGTATATGCTCCATTGAGATATAATATAAACAAAAATTTTCCCAAATTTTCTGTTAACTTGAAAAATTATTCTTTCTAGGAACGGTTGAAATCAAAGTATCAGGATCCTAGCATCCAACTTGATTTAGTAAGTTGTCAATTTGCACTACATTACAGCTTTGAAAGTCTTGCGCAGGCTGAATGTATGATCAGAAATGCAAGTGAGAATCTTAAACCAGGAGGTTTTTTTATTGCCACTATACCAAATGCCTACGATCTTGTGTAGGTTATTACCATAAACAATAACTCAATATCTATTAAGCTTATTGAATGACCATTGATGGCAGTTTTAAATAATTTTTCTAGACATGAATGGAGGAAAGCAGACGGTGACGAATTTGGGAATGATGTTTACAACGTAAAATTTAGTGGAGACAAAAATGACATTCCATTATTTGGTGCCAAATATAATTTTCATCTTGAAGGGGTAGTCGATTGTCCAGAATTCCTTGTTTACCTTCCAGTATTAAAAAAACTCGCATTAAAATTTGGTTTAGAATTTTTATCTTTCGAAAGGTTTAATGACTATTACAATCGTTTTAAAAATCAAGAACGCACACTTTTGAGTAAAATGCAGGCTTTAGAAACTTATCCACCATATCACGACACGCCACTACGTGGTAAGCATCCTGATGATTATGAACACGCTATAGAATTTATGAAGAACTCCACAGATCAGCGTAAAATTGGAACTTTAACATTATCAGAATGGGAAGCAATTTGTAAGTTGATATATCTAAATCGAATCTTTTTTATTGTTGAACTAAATAATTATCATTTATAGAGAAATATATTTAAATATTACTTTTTTTTTACAGCATTATATGGAATTGTAACGTTTAAGAAGTTAAGGTCTACGTTGAATGCTGAAGGTAGGACAGAATATTTTAAATAAAAAAATAATTAAGATCATGTAACAAATTATTTTAATGATAAGTAACATAATAAATTTCTTTGAAGGAGAATTATTACTTTTAATGTAGAATAAATATTTCTGTTGTTAATGCTTTTCGATTTGATCTTAATTTTCAGTGAATTAATTAAATATTCTTGGATAATTGTAAATTACTTTTTGTATACTATGCAATTTAATTATACTGGTTTTCATACAAACCTAAAAAATACGTTTGGAAAATCTAAAAGAGAAAAGTTCCAGCAAAATTATATATATATATGTAAAATAAGACAATAAAACACCAGTTGCTTTCACTATGTACATGAAATTAAAAGTTTTAAACAGTCAAGATGAATAGTAATTCTTCAAGATAGATCATCTAGATTCAAAATGGGTTAAATAAAATACTCTGTAAAGACATTGTATCTGAGTGTTCAAGAGATACTGATGTCTTCATAATAATATAACATGCAAAGTCTAGTAAAATGAGGTAATATTTATAATTTTAAAAAACTCGAACTATTTTTCAATGATTACAGGATAGAATTTTATTTGAAAATGCATAAAATGTATAAAAATAGACAACACATTTGAAATTGGTGTTTAATAATAGATAAGATAGTCTCTTCTTTAAAAGGAATGAATTAGAATAGAAAAATATTTATAAATCAAACAATCGATCTCAAAGATTTATTAAAAAAAAAAGTATTATTTATAAAATGTCCTTTTTACTTAAGAATATATGACAATGAATATATTATTACATGAAACATATAATTTTCAGACATTTTAGAGATTAATGTAACAATAGAAGTGAAAAATACAAAAATCGAATATTATGGTTCAATCTAGTCAAACAGTATTGAAAAAAATATATAATTCAAGTTGAAAACTAAATTTTTCAACGCATAATTTTGTGAAAAGGGATTAAGAGTTAATTTATCGGTTTATTGATGTTAGCGAAAAAATGACAAGTATCAAATAGCTAACAACTGGGACATTTACTTTAGTTTTCGACTTCTCGAATGATAGATGAAGGATTTGATCACGTAGTGATGGTTTAAATTACGCATGCGCACTGTTGCGTTCGTGGCACTTTGTCGTTTCACTCTGGTGTGGTGCGACCAGTGCAGTACTTGTGGCTGTGGATCAGTTACCTGTCGTCATCGCTACGATCGCCACCAAAAGTTTATCATTAATTATTCTGAGCAATCAGAATGGATGTTGAACAAGCGGTCAATCGGCCGATTTCTGATTCTGTAAGTACAAAAATCAAAATTATTTCATTCAAGTAATCTTTCTATGTAGAGAAATTTTCATTTAATTTCAATATTAAGTCACTTTACTCTTGAAACTCCGTATGCTTGAGGGACGCGAAATTTTTCAAAGTCCCAAAATGGCGTCAAAGACTAAGTTCTTTCATGTATAAGTAGTATGATGTTTGCAAAGTATCAAGTTTTATTTTTTGTTATCAATATGCACATTTATAATTATCTAATGAATTTAATATTTATTTTAAAATACAAAAAGTTATTTTAAAAAATTTATTTAGTGAATATTTGTTGCCTTTTCCAGGAGAAAAAAGCTAAAGAAAATAGTAGCGCAGCCGGGAATCATGGAGGTAAGGAGCATAAGAACAATACGCATGAATTAAAGCTATGTTAGGTAGCTATAATGTTGTCTATAAAATATCCATATTTTCTGTACATCACACAAGCAGTTTATATGACGAAAAAAAATTCTTGTATACTTCTCTAGCATTCTAGAACGTTTGGATTGATTTAAATGTATTTTCGAACACTATAACACGTGCGGTATTCTCACAAGTATTGATATATTTGTGTTTTCACTCAAACAATTACTTAGAGATGTTTTGTTTTTAGATGCTCATATGAATGGGATGTCGAATGGATTTGATCGCCGAAAAGAGCACAAATCTGAACGCAAAGATAAAGAAAGATCTCATAAGTCTGAACACCGGGACAAGGATCGGAGAGACAAGGAAAAGAGTCATAAGTCTGAGCATAAGAGCAAAGATAGAGACAAGCATAAGCATAGTTCGTCAAATGGCTCAAAAGATAAAGACAAACACTCGAGCAATAGTAGTTCTAGTAGTAGTAAAGACAAGGATAAAAAAAGTAGCTCTTCATCCAGCAAGGATAAAGAAAAAGAACATAAAAGCAGCAGTGTGAGCTCAGCAACAACCAAAGACAAGGAAAAGGATAAGGACAAAAATCGAGACCACCACAAGTCTAGTTTGAGTTCTAAGGATAAGGAAAAGGATAGAGAAAAAGACAAGTAATTTTATTTTATTTATTATATCTATCGTTGTTATGTGGTGAAACAAGATCATCAAAAAAAAAAATGTCGGGATAAAATCTTTGATCCTTTAATTAGATTATGCTTAATTGCAAACTGTTATTATTGAAACCGGCTTTGACAGTTATGTAATTTCATTTTTTATTCTCCCATTGTGTGAATTAGAAATTGATTATAAATTTTTTAAAAAATTTTCTTGTTTTGAATTCCAAATAAAAATAATTTGAATTTAATGTTTTATTAATTTCAGATACCATTCGAGTTCTAAAGTTAAAGAGAGCTCCAAAAGTAAAGACAAGGATCGACATCATAGTGATTCCTCGCGTGATAAGGATAAATCTGTTTCGAAGGACAAGGATCGGAGACATAGTTCTAGTAAAGACAAAGAAAAACACTCTTCATCTCATTCATCTAGTGACAAAGACAAAAAGTCGGATAGAGATCGTCATCGTCATGATAAAGACAAGGATCGTCATCGACGTGATAAGGATAAAGAAAAGAGCAGCAGAAGTCGAGAAGATCGTGAAAAAGAAGAAATTAAGGAAGAACCAGTTATTAAAGAGGAACCACCATCTCAGATTTATAACAATTCTCAATCAGGATATGAAGATGTTGATGAGAAAAATATTAAAAATGAACAAGTTTCTCAAATTGAAGATGATGACGATGACAGTAACGAACCTGGTCTTTATATTAAAGAAGAAGACGACGATGATGAAGCTAATGATGAGTATGAAGATGATAAAAAAGATATCAAACAGAACGATGATGAAGATGAGTATGATGAGAATGACGACGACAAAGATAATGATGAAGATTATAAACAAGAAGAGAACAGTTCTGATGGCAATGACACTAGACTGTCTGATCTGCATAATACAACTCTCAAGACGGAAGAAGAATCTGACGAGGATATTCCTTTGGTGAGAAATAACTAGTTTTTCTTTTAATTAATTAATTTAGTGCATGACAAAGTGTTAAATTGTAACGTTAATGATATCTCAGTAGAGGTAAATAAATGTTAGTAATATAATTTCTTATAAGTCTTTTGAATACTTTTTATAATTCTTGAGTAAAATGCTGATATAAAAATTATTTTGCATAATTTCGGCAAATTTGCAGTTTTATCAATTTCGTAATTTCATTTTAGTAATTAACAATTACTAAATTATAATAATATTTGAGAAGGTAGCAACGTTATTTAGCTAATATAAAAATTGTTTTTGTATGAACAATCATTTTTAAGTATTTAATTGAATTTACAATAAATTTATTTAGAATTTTTCGTTTTATTGTGAACAATTAAAAGTTAGTTAATCAAAATTTTTAATGCTCTCATTTTAATAGTAACTCGAAAAATTGGCATTTAATTTTATTGACATTATAAGTTGCTACATTCGTTTCTTTTACCGCATTCCAATGTATTTTTTTCTGTTGGTGTCCATTTCCTTTTTCTCATGACAAATTTTAAAATTATCAGTGTTTTCATCAATTATGATATTGATCGATATGGGCCATAATATTTTGATTGACAATCATGAATATTTGTCTAGGAATGACCAAAAAAATAATAAATTATATCAACATCTACATAATAAAGCTATTGTACTGCACTCATAATTAATTTATTACATTCATTAATGAATATGTTATTTATCAGATAAATTCATGTTGTTTGTGACTTTGTTTTTATTACAGAGTGTACGAAAATCAGCCTCTAAATCGAAGAGAAAAAATGAGAGTAGTGATGATGAAGAAGATATTCCGTTGTCAGCGCGAAAGAAAGCCAAAAAGGAAAGTGTCAAGAAAAAGAAAAAGAGAAAACATTCTGATGATGAAGATGATGAACCAGAAGAGGTAAATTATTGATAAATATTAATTACTATTTTAAACTTTAATTAGTTACTCATCAGTATAAGATAATTAAATAATATAATTCAATTTGTTCCTTTAACTTTAGAAACCTAAAAAGAGAAAATCTAAAACTGCCACTAATAATCCATCTCCAAAGAAGAAGAAGAAAGAGGAAGAGGAAGCTGAGGTTTGGAAGTGGTAAGTCTGATCTCATTGATCCTTTTTTTTTATTTAAATTTTTTTTAAAAACCAAAAAATAAATGACCCCATTTTATAAAGTTCTAATAATAAAAACTAAAATGTTCTTTCTTCAAGAAAAAAAAAAAATTAACCCACGTTCAATGATTATTTTAAATAATATATTTTTAACAGTAGATAATAATGTAAACATGACTCATAAATGAAATTCAAAAGCTTTAAACTGATTTTCAAAAGATTCTTAAATACAAAGATGAAATGAAGAATCTCTTTTGAAGTTTGTTAAAAATTGAAAGAAGTCTTGTTTTGACTCGAAACAGAAAACTTGAGAAGTCACTAAAGATAAAAAAACTTATCAAAAGAAGTCAAAGAAAAATAATTTGCCTGTAGGAGCTTTTATTCACTTCTTTATGTTGCATCAAGATGACATATAATCTTGATATATGTTTTTAAGGATAATTTATAATATTCTATAATTTTATTTTTATGAAATTTTATTCTCTGTAGAGTTATTTACTCAACTTATTATATTTGATATTTAAGTTGAAATCACGTGAACAAGGAATAGTACATAACCTTTTTTTCTCTCTCTACTATCATAAAAACTTTATTCATAACTCAATGAATACCTCTAAGTGAAATGAAACTCTTAGTTTAGTTAAAGTTTCGAAAAAAATGTTTTTACGATGGTGTTCAACCGTTCGGTTACTCAAGAAACCGCTAATTACTTTAGATTTAATTTCTACGACAAATTTTATACATCATCGAGTCAAAGCTTACTATTTTTTGAGGTTATACTCACGCGCGTCACTAAAAAACAAATTTAAAGCAATAAAGTTTGTATTTTTAATATAAAAATTTAATAAATAATTGAAAAGAATTATAAACGTAATAAATATTAAAGAGAATTCATATTTTTAGGTGGGAAGAAGAAAAGAAGTCTGATGGGACAAAATGGGCATTTTTGGAGCATAAAGGACCGGTATTTGCTCCTCCATATGAACCACTGCCTCCAAGTGTTAAATTTTATTATAATGGTAAAGAAATGAAACTTTCTGAACCAACTGAAGAAGTCGCAACTTTTTATGCTCGAATGTTAGATCATGATTATACCACCAAAAAGATATTCAATGACAACTTTTTCAAAGATTGGCGCGAAGTAATGACGGAATCGGAGCGAGCTAAAATAATGGATTTAAGTAAATGTAATTTCCGAGAAATGCATACATATTTTTTGCAAAAATCTGAGGAACGAAAAGCCATGACGAAAGAAGAGAAAAAAGCAATTAAAGAAAAAAATGACGAAATAGCAAAAGAGTATGGATTTTGTACTATTGACGGTCATAAAGAAAAGATTGGTAATTTTAAAATTGAACCGCCAGGTTTATTCAGAGGAAGAGGAGAACATCCAAAGATGGGTAAACTTAAAAAACGTGTTATGCCTGAGGATGTATTGATTAATTGCTCGAAAACTTCAGTAATACCTAAACCACCACCTGGTCATAAATGGAAAGAAGTCCGACATGATCCTACCGTTACTTGGCTTGCATCCTGGACTGAAAACATTCAAGGTCAAGTGAAGTATGTCATGTTGAATCCTTCGAGTAAACTAAAAGGAGAAAAAGACTGGCAAAAATATGAAACAGCAAGAAAATTAGCAAAATCAATTGATAAAATTCGTGCTGAATATCGTGAAGACTGGAAGAGTAAAGAAATGCGGATTAGACAAAGGGCTGTGGCATTGTACTTTATTGATAAATTAGCTTTGAGAGCGGGTAATGAAAAAGATGAAGACCAAGCTGATACTGTCGGTTGTTGTTCATTGCGTGTGGAACATATAAGTTTACATGAGCAAAAAGACGGCAAAGAGTATGTAGTTGTTTTTGATTTCTTGGGTAAAGATTCAATCAGATATTATAATGAAGTACCTGTAGAAAAGCGTGTTTTTAAAAATCTTCAGTTATTTAAAGAAAATAAATCAGATGGTGATGATCTATTTGATCGTCTTAATACAACTGTGATGAACAAACATCTTAATGAACTTATGGAAGGACTTACTGCTAAAGTATTCAGGACATACAACGCTTCTTGGACACTTCAACAACAATTGGACAAGTTAACTAATCCTGATGATACTGTAGCTGAAAAAATTCTATCGTATAACCGTGCTAATCGAGCTGTTGCTATTCTTTGTAATCATCAACGCTCTGTACCAAAAACACATGCTAAATCTATGGAGAATTTGAAAGCTAAAATCACTGCTAAAAAAGAAGCTATTAAAGAAGCTGAAGAGCAGGTGAAAGATGCTAAGAAAGACTCCAAACATGGTTCGGTTAAAGCAAAAGAGTAAGTTGAAATAATTGTTTTTAATTAGTAGAAAATTTGGTGTTGTAATTTTGTTATTTATGCTAATTATGATTATTTTTATGTTTAGATTGTACGAGAAAGCGAAGAAGAAGTTAGAGAAATTGAAAGAACAATTGACTAAGTTAGAAGTTCAAGCCACAGATCGTGAAGAGAATAAGGAAATCGCTTTAGGAACGTCCAAGTTAAATTATCTTGATCCCAGAATTACAGTTGCCTGGTAAATATTTTTTAATATTCATTCATTCTATAGGAAATAATCTTTGATGAAGTAGTGTTAGAAAGTTAATAAAAACAAATTAATTTATTTTCAGGTGCAAAAAACATGGTGTTCCGATTGAAAAAATTTACAACAAAACACAACGTGACAAGTTCAGATGGGCGATAGACATGGCTGGACCAGACTATGTATTTTAACGAGATTGAACGTGTCTCTCGCGAAATTAATCTGATTTAAGAAAGAAAATTGCTTGGGTATCCGGCAAAAAGTTCAATGAAGTATTTAGTGAAATTTTTTAATTATCATATTAATTTTTTTAATGTGTCTAAAAGTGGACATATTTAACTACTTGTTGACATTAATTAATAAAAATACTAGAAATGCAATTTTTTTAAGCCAACGTTACATCACAAATTGATAATAAAAAATAAAAAATAAAAGCAGTGTGATTGTGCTTTAAATGAAATATTATGTAGTAAAGTCTATACTGAAAAAATTTTATACTTGAATAGTGTAATAAGTGAACATTTCTACGTGCGAAGTGTATTTGAAAAAGGGGGGCTAAGGGAATATTTAAAAAAAAAAGACGCAATCGAAGAGTGATAAATGAAGAAATAGCAAAAAATGAATAACTTACTAGAAAACTTATAGCAATTGCATATTAGGTTCCGAATTATTTTGAAATGGCATATTCTAAGTGTAAATTATGAATTTGATATTGTAAATATGAACTTAGTGTACAAATGTTTAATCTCAACAACTGCTTGGTGTATTTGCTGCGTTTTTCCAACTATTGTACATTCAACCATGGATTATCATTTATCAATTAGGATACAAATGATGTGAATTTTTTAATGTAATTCTAGAGATCAATTATAATAGTGATTTATATCGTATATCAAGTGAAAAATTTAATATCATACGAATTCATAATTCAAACTCAATTTTAAACAAAGGTAATCTTTTAAGTTAATCCTACTTTTATTGTAAAAATTATTGATGACTATTACATTAATTTACTCACACTTTTGTAATGAGCATCTTATTTTCATTTTTTTTCTTCAATATTATTTATTGGTATTAAACATGTATTTTTGTCTTATTTTACACTTTGATAAAAATATACAATATAAATGCAATAATTTTTTTCTATCATCAAATTAAAAAATGGAGTATTTCTCTAATTTTTCTATTCAAGACATGATTAACAATTAATTTATGTTAAAAAAATAAATAAGAAAAATAAGAATGAAATTGATTTTACCAATGAATTTGTGCAAAAAAGATTTTTGTTAAATATATTTCTTTTTAAAAACAGTAGCAGAATGATAAAAAGTTAATGATCAATGAATAGAATAATTATAAAAAGCAACGATAAGTTTCAAGCACAATTGATTGTAGTAATCATTGAATTAATTTTTATATATACATAAATATATACTACATTCAGCCTATGGACATATTGCAAACTCATTAAAAATGTCTTATATATACTGATATATATGTAATGAATTATTATTTTTATTGTTTATTTAACAATAAAATATTTTAGAAACTCGCTTGACACAACATTAATAAGACACAGGTAGCTCAATTATATAATAATGTTTAATAAATCATTCTCAAGTTGAAGAATATTCAAGTTATTCTCCAATATGCAACATAAGGCACTCATAGATGATAAGTAAAAAACAGATCTACGTATCATTATATATAACGATATTTTACGTACGTATTTATAATAATGAATTAACAGAATAATTGATCATTAATTAAATGATATTCACAATTTTAATCAAGAATTTTAAGCTCTTGATTTAAAATCAACACTATGTTGTACGAAGCGAGGGACAGTAATTATTGTCAACATCATGAATAGATTTTTTAGGTTTTAACTAGAGTGACAAGTTTGTGAAGTGACTGACAATTTATTTAAAACAATATTTATTTCAATTATGAATAGAATCATTTTCATTTCAATTTCATTCTGTAGTTATATTAGACATGAAAATAATTAGGAAAAAAATGAATGTATAAATAAAATTATTTGATTTCATACGATGACGATATTTCAATATCAGAAATTGAAAATATAATTAATTCGTCTCGAATTTTAAGAAATTTTGGTTTAAATAAAATAAAGAATATAAAAAAAAACTTACCAATTAAGAATTTTATTGATATTTTGCGTAATTGTATTAGTAAAAAATATTACAATGTGAACACAGACAAAAAATATAAAGTGTCCATAGAATTCAACATTAAGTACTGTCTTTGAATAATATGCGAATGAATAAATAACCGAATAAAATATGAATTAAATTGATGTAATTCATTTTTTTATTTTTATTAACTTGAAAATATCTGATATTAATTACTTATAAGTCTGAAAATGTGGTTATTTTTAAGTGGTACCAATAACTATTTAGTAAAATGTAATTTTTAATAAAATTCAAACATTGTCAAAGTAATTGATCTTGTCTATAATTCTCATTGTTATTGTTGTTTTATAAAAAACTCTTGTTTTTCAGCTTGAGTAAAATAAGTAGAAAAAATTGGGAAATGAATGCCGGATGGTGGGAAGCTTTGATGAGCTATTTCAGAAAGTAAATCTCTTATCAATGGCATATATTGTAAAGGATTTGATTTGTCTGAAAATAAAGATTTAAAATAAGAACAATATTTATTTTTTATTTTTTTAACAATATAAACTTATTATATACATTAATTATTAATTAGGCATTTAATTATCTATTAGTTAATTACAAATTAATATACATAAGGAAAATAAAAAAAAATAGGCAATTAAATAATTAATGATAGGACCGGATTTAGGTCGATTATTACTCCCTCAAGTTCTTCAAATTGAACTGAAAAAATATATTACATATATATTTTATTTAAAATGATATCTTATTTAATTAGTAGTCGGCATGCTACAGTTGAAAGCTGATGCTAATCCAGCCACTGAAATCATACAAAAATTATAAAAAAATACGTAGAGTTTAATTATTTACAAATCTATGAAAGTATTAGTTATTAAAGATTTTTAATTATTAATAATATAAAAGTTCTATTGTTAAAATATAAAATTTTTTAAATAACTTACAATAATTAGCTTCTTTATGTTGGACCGCATTGTGTAATGCTAGAGCTAAATAAGTATGATATTTAGTGTAATTAGATTCCATAAGATCCAAGTCATTAGGCATAAGTTGTTTTATTCCTCGTTCCCAACGCTTTCTTATATGAGCACACATTTTTAATAACTATAATATAATCATCCATATTAAAATAATTAATGGTAGTATTTAGAATGAGGGACAAATATCAAATACTTACATCATTAATTGTCGAAATAATATCTTCAAACTGAGCAGTTTGTAAACAATGTTCATATACTTTATTTAAATAATTATTATGAAGCTGAATAATACTATCTAAATCATCAGCTCTAGTTATAGACTGTTCAAAATTCATTCCTAAACTTTGAAGTACTTGACCAGAAAGATAAGTATGTATTGATCCAATGGCATGTAAAAGCCAAAATCGTAGACATTCTAAACGCCGTACATTAAAATGAGAAAACAGATCCTTCATTTCGTTTGAATTTTTACTTTCAAGATCTAAAAATAATGTTGTTACATTGAATGAAAGAGTTAAAAATAAATTGATTCATAAATTCAAAAGGAACAAACCAATGAAATTAAGATTACTCAATGACCACAAGGCCCACTTGAGTTTTAATTGGAATCGGAAAATCTCATTATATTTGCTTAATACTTGATCAGTAAGTATCATGTTAATTGGCCAATCAACTGCATAATGAAGTGTAGTATGATCAACCGCTTGCAGTACTTTACAAGTAACATTATTTGTTAAAGTTATAGACCATCGATAACTAGAATTGGCATCTCGCCATTCATCACACAATGTTTCTTCCAGAATATTGGATAGATAATCTGGTTCAACAGAGCATGATTGATTTTCAATCTGAAAGTGATAAGAATGATTTATAATTTGATAAAGAAAATATGTTATTTGATTACCTCTAGAAACATCTGATGATAGAATTTTTTCATTATATGTCCTCGTTCCATCATATAAATCGATCGCATCAATTTCAAATGTTTCTCTAATTTATACTCATTAATAAGAATGTCTTTAACTAGCTTGGATGTACAAGAATATCTTCGATCTAAAATTTTTTCAAGCACACTTTCTAAAATTTTACTAATTGGTAGAATAAACGGCGAAATAGCTTGAAGCTTTTCGAATATTTTTATTCCCCAATCAGCAACAACTGGTGATTTATTTTGTTTTGTTTGTGCATCAACAGCATCTTCAATAATAGCTACAGCATTACTCATAGTACCAATGCTAGTAACATTTACTACTGCACCCATTGAAACATTCATTGGAGGTAGATAATCCTGAAAGACTTTCATCAAAAACGGATTATTTATTCTTAGAATTTGCTGTTGGAGATTATCCTCCAGACCTGTCATCAATTTCTGACTTCTTGATGATTCTGATCTTGAATCAGTCGATTCAGACTCTTCATTTTTATCCGTTTCATCAATAGACGGAAATGATGAACTATATTCTGCCAATTCGCACAGTACCTGAGTTATAAATTCATCATTTAAGGGAATTCTTGAACTGTATTGTTCATGATTAAGTTGCCACATGTCTGATATTCTGTTCAATGTTACAAGTAATTCAATACTTCTTCCTAACTCTTCAACTTTTTTAAATAATTTCTCCATAATTGGGTCTGGTTTTAAACCATCATCTACTCGACGAATTAAAAATGAGGTCATATTTTGTTCATTTTCTGATTTCTTTGAAGAATCGTTGACTTTAAAAGCTAAAAATTCATCTCTAAAATCTTCTAATCTTCCTTCACTCAACCAAGTGTCGATAATATTCAAATAAACTCGTAAACTAGAGATATATAAATTAGCACATAAATTGGTTCTTTTAACGTTCCCCGAGTTTTCCATTTCTCTGTATAAACTCGATATCAATCGATATGCTTTTTCCCAATTTGGAGCTTTTTCCAGTTTTTCAAAGTTCATTAATTTATGAATTCCATAAAGCATCTCAAGCTCTTTTTTACTTTCTTTCAAATCTTGTGATAGAGTAAGAAGTGTTACGATATCATCTTCTTGTTTTGCTTGACTCTCGATAGAAATTATTTTTCGTTTCATTCGATTAAGATATTGTTTAACAACTGCGTAATATGTATCATATGTCAAAGGAGGAAATGCTTCAACATTTTGTGTCTTATACGAACGATATAAGTTTTCTTCAAATGAATAAAGTTCTTGGATTGCTGAAAACAAACCACAATAATTTGAACAGATGCTTCTAAATGCTATTGGCGTTAGACTTGGAATAGAAATATTTGATCTAACACGAAAGTGATCAGCTATTTTTTCGTAAATAGTCATATCCATTGGAACATGAAACATCCAGAGAATCTCTTGACATGCTTGATATTCTTTTATTAGACCAGTAACTCGATAATATTGGTTCAATACTTCTTGATCGTAAATTTTACACAGATTAGCTTGTGGAAGCTGACTTACAACTGTACATTCACTCTTCTCATTCACAGCACTAAGCCACCAACCATTTTCGATATTTTTATCAAGCCATTTTTGAGATTCAACAATTTTAGAAAATTTATCTAAAGAATTGTAGTATTTATCAGAAAATTTCTTGGATTTAACTTTGTTTGCTGCTAGCTTATCATGTTTTCCATTATCAATAGCATCTTCTATGTGAATATTTTTATTTTTGTCTTGTTCATCTCCCGATTCAGTAAATTCCTATAAAATTGATTAAAGAATTATCATAAAAAATTGAATCATAATAATGTATACATATTCAATGATATATAAAATATTAAACTGTTCTTACACTGTCAGAACTATCTCCATTTTCTCCATAATCATAGAAAAATTCTTCTTGTCCTTCTTGTAAATATTCTTTCCAATCAATTTCATCTATTTCATTATCTTCAGAATTTGATGAAGTTAATGTCTTTTCTTTTTGTATCAATGATAAATTTTTATTACAATAATCAGTCTTAGCAGAACTTGTATCAGTACTAGATAAACTAAGAAGTAGGTACAATAAAGACCATTGGAGATCAGGTTGAGGATGTTGATCAAAATTAAAGGAACCAAGAAAAGTATCTACAAGAAATTCAAACTCTTTTGCTACGTTGTACTTAGCATGTATTATAAATTTTTCCTTTACATCTTTAATTAATTTCTTGACTGTATTACTATTTGTTGATAAATACGTATGATACTTTACATTCGACACAACGAATTTTTCACATATTCTAAAACCTTCTTCTGGCGGCTATAAATATATAAAAATCATTTTGGAGTATAAACAAATTGTTGAAAAATTTTAAACTTAACCTATTAAAACTTACTTCAAAGCCCGTGATACTTGTTATTAATAATTTTAAATCACGTGAAATATCATTCAGAATTTGTGTTCCCATGATGAGCTCTCAATAACATTGTAATAATGAAGTTTTTATTATAAATAAAAATATTTCACTTGACACAGTGAATATACCAACACTCCTTTGTAAACATGTTGACTCCAATAGTAATCGAAACAGCCGCTAGACTGCGTTACTTTCCGCTTTTAAATTTTTAAACTCTCTTTTTGGATCGACAAATAATAAAATTAGAATAATTAGTAATTTATATTAATTAAGATTAACATTTAATAATTAAACGACCATAAAAGATCTCCATGATTTTATAACATGGAATTTAATTAAATTCAAAGTATTAAAAATCATCAAAAAAATATATAAAAATAATTGTTAAATATAAATAAAAATTGAGGTTGCTGAATATACAAATAAAATATAAAATTTCATTGCTATGATTAAGATTCATTTGTCTTTTAATCGATAGTTTTGGTGGGATAAGTGGGAGATTCTTTGATACTTTCTTCTGACTCTTCTTTAGGTTTGGAAATTTTTTGATCTAAAAATAATTCAACTATTAAATACAATATTAAAGATTATGAACAAACAATACCTTGGATATAATTTTTGGTCTTGCTAAGAAATGAATATTCTTTAGCATCAGGAAGGCCTGAAAGAACACAAGCACCAAGAGCACATCTATTGAGATTCATGGAAGAACTATTACTCCACTGGTTAGTTTTCGGATTATAATATTCCATTGACGAAGTAGTAACAGATCCTGTTATTAAATTATATATGAATATTTGACCAATAAATAATTTTTTAAAGTTCAATAGCTTACCAGTGTAACCACCGAAAACATATATCATCTCATCCAAAACAACAGCAGCCAAATTACTTCTAGCAGTAGACATACGCGGAACTTTTTCCCACTCCTTTCGTTCAGTAGAATTGTAACGTTCCACTGGGGAAATATTTTATTAACTCACATACACACATAGAGTGTTTTTTCTCTAGATCTTTTAGTCTTAAAAAATATAGCATCCAGACGGAAAAACTTTACCAGGCGGAAAGCCCTCCATATAATAAATATTTAATTGCATTGCTTCAATGCTACTGCTGTGCTTTTATTCTAGTGTATCTATACTAGAGCCTATAGACTATAAATTTTATATACTCTACCGAGATGTATTTTACCTGAAGTAAGTCGTGTGAGTCCATCATAACCACCGAAAACATATAAATCATCACCAAATGCTACCAGAGACATTTTTGTTCTTGGATAACTCAATGATCTGATGTAGCTCCATTGATTAGATTCAATATCAAATACTACAATAAATAATAATTAGACAAATACACATTATTGTTAACAAAAAGATACAAACCTTCACAAGATCGTAGAATTTCTTTTCCATTAAACCCTCCAACAATATAAATTTTATGATTCAAAGCAGCAGCAGACGCATCAGATCTTTGTCGATGCATTGGTGGAATCATTTCCCACTGATTACGTTCAGGTTTATATCTCTCAGCTGATGATAATCTTGTGGGTCCATTAGAGCAGCCACCAAGTGCATAAATTATGCCATCATCAGTACAAACACTTACAAAGCATCGAACGTGATACATGCAGGCTTTTTCGATCCATTCTTTGGTAATTGGATTGAAACAGCGAACAGTATTGAAGTAGTTGTAACCATCAAAGCCTCCGATCACATAAATGAGGTTGTTTAAAGTACAAAGGCCATGATATGCTCGAAGTACAGTATCGGTATGAATAGATAAAAACCATTTATTAGCACGACAATCGTAGGTTTCAATGAAATTTGTTGGAGAACCCTCGGACCAACCCCCAATAGCGAAGAGAATCTCATAAGGAATTCGTAAACGTGAAAATAAATCTGATTTAATATTTGATGGTTCAAAAATTTCTTGACAATTCTAAAAAAAAGAAAGATACTGATAATATTTTAATATTAATGAATTTATTTTCATAACTTAATATAATAAATGAAGAATCAATTTAAAATACATACTTGATTATTTTGAATTAATTTCCAAGAGAGAATATTATTGGAAATATAATCGGAATTGATGAATTTATAACGAATGCATTTCAATAACATCGGTAAATATTCTTTTCTCTCTTTTTCATTAACTTCAACCCAAGATTTAATGGCTTCAAACACAGTTTCTTCATTTCTTACATTCAGTTCATCATTTTCTAGAATACTTATCAGCTCATTGTGATCTAGTTCTTTAAATTCACTGTTTTCTTTATATATTTCTTTAAAGTGATGATAAATATACTTCTTGCACTTTTCATTTGAATCCTTACAGAAATAATGTTTAGCAAATTTGTAAATACCTGCGAAATGATTACAAAATTAAATCTAATTATACAATGATCACTGTTTTTCATTATTATTAGACATGTAGAGATTAATAAGAGATTTATTGTTGATAAGAATTGATTGATAGGTAAAATAATACCTAAACAATTATCTGGTTTGAGTTCCTGTAAAAGAAATTGACAACAAAGTTGAACGACACCCTGGACTTGAAATTGATCAGCAAAGGGTAGAAGTTGTTCAACATTTTCTGCAGTTACTTTGCAAGTTCCAGTGTAAGCATAGTCCAAGATAAGACTGAAGATATCACCAGGAACATTATTAATTGACACTTCATTTGTGCCTTCTGCGTTTCTATTCAACCTGTTGATGAAAAGAGCTCTGAAGAACGGGCTTACGGCTGAGAGGATTGGTCGATGGATTGGAAAATATGATCTCCCAGCACATTTTATTATTCCATCACAAAATTGATGACTTGCTCTATATTTCAAGTTATATTACATCAATCGTTTAAAAACTCTCCTCAGTATTAAATTATTGTTGATTACAATGTGATTACTAATTAATAACCTAAGCTCAGACCATGCTGATGGAAATTCAATGCCTTCATAATTTGTTGAAAGATAGTTATATTTCGTAACTTTATCTTCATGTTTTTTATAATTCTTTGAAAGTTTTTTTACTTTTTTTAGCATCTCAAGTGAATGAAAATGGAAAATTAAAAATTTACTTCTGTACTTGGTAAATTTTTTGAAATGGAATAAATTTATGAAAATGATTATTGACATTAATACAAACTGATTTAAAATAGAAAAACAATTGAGTAAATGTTTCAATAACTTCACTCTTGATTAATTCATTGTTTAATTGAAAAAATAAACTTGACTCTTGGTAAATATTTAACATTAATTATAAATTATTAATATTATTTTCATTATCAGCGTTAGAATACATTTCTCTGAATTAAAGAATAATTTGAAATTTGATCTGCTGTTAGAAAATTTATTATTGTAACTTTTTTATTCAATTTGGGTTCCATTAATTTGAAGAGTGCTATAATAAATTGAAAGTGATCAAATTGGTGGATAAAATCACTTTTCCTGTATTGAATAACGTAATTCAATTATCAGACTCCGATACCAATTCCCCTTCAGTAAATTTCTAATCTGTATTTTTTGCAAACAAAGCACTCTATATGAAAAAATTTGAATTAAAAAAAAATCCCATATTCTATTCATTGCTTCAAGAATTAATGAATCCAATAAGACCAATTTTAAAATTTAAGACTATTGAGAAGCAGATCTTCAATCTGTAGACTTTACCGTGCTCTAGCTTTGGCTTGGAAGGATATCATGATGAAATCTTTTTTGAAGTCAACAGATTCTTATCAATAATGTGTGAATGATCCCCTAGATAATCATTCGTTGAATGAACATCGTACAGTTGGTAATTACCATTGATTTATCTTTTTCGCATTTCTCGGTAGTAATCGATATCATGAGTAAAGTGCGTATAATACCAAGAGGAGGTAAAAACCATCCCCACTGATATTCTCTCCTTATTCTGATGTCTACTCTGCGCTGACTCATGAATGTCGCGCCGTCGCAACAACGGCCACACCTCGCGACCGATGTCCTCACTGTGTAATACTCACTACGACTTACCCTTGACTGCATCCTTTCTTTTTCAATCCTCTGACATAACGTATTTTACCTCTCTCTCACACTTCTCCATCCCCTATTGTCTTCGTTTGTGGGCTGCACCAAGGTCGGATTCACTTTCATTTCGACTGTAGTAGATCGTCTGTATCTCCAGGAGCACGTTTTAAGGGTGAGAGTGATCTTCAAGCTGAAATAAAAAACTGTAATTAAGAAAAAAAACACATTAGAGGAATCTTTAGACTCATTTTTGAATTAATTAATAATACTTGACGGTTGAATTTCTGTGAATTTTCTTCATTTTTTGTGATTCTTTTGTGATCCAAGTGATTAAATAAAAGTGTCTAATTACAGACGGTGGACTGAAAGATTGAATTAACGAGTCAGGATGGAATTGAGAGGTCGTGTAGCGCTCGTTACTGGAGCATCTTCAGGTATTGGGAGGACATTCGTTGAAGAGTTGCTTAATCAAGGAGCCAAGGTAAATGTTTGGATTTTTTTTTTTAAATTACGAAAATATAAAAAGTTACTGATGAATATTTTTTTTGTTAGGACATTTAATTTTGTTTGTATTGTTGTTATCATTTGCCAATTGACAAAAGCATTCAATTATTTCAACATAATATATTTTAGAAAAAAATCATACTTGATTTGTGAAACAGCTATTAAAACATTGTTAGATATTATCTTAATCACATTTCTGATAACAAATCTTAATAGTATAATACATTTTGCATGCAAATATTTTATGATTCTATTTAAATATTTTTTTATCAGATAATTATTTAACAGATAAAAAAGCTTTTTATGGTAAAAAAGTGACATCAAAAGATCTCAATCATTTTTGTAGTATATTTATTTATTCATTCAATAGTGATAAATTAAAATAAATTTCCGTTTGAATCATTGAAAAGCCAGAGAGAGAAAATTTTTTTTGTTTGAATTGATACAAACATTTGAACTGCTGCTTGAATTTTTGAATACAAAAATAGACAATTTATTTTTATCTGCTTCTCGTTCATACTTAAATCCACTCATTTTTCAAGGTTTCGATATGTGACATAAACGCTGAAGAAGGAGAAAAATTGACAAATTTATTAACATCGAAGCATGGAAAAGATCGAGTAATTTTTTGTCAATGTGATGTTACTGATTATCCGCAATTCGAAGGTACAATAATTTATTATCTAATATAAAATCAAATAGTTATTAAAATTCTTTCATTATAATTAAATTTAATTATTTTTTTTCGATTATCCAGAATCGTTTAAAACAACTATAGCAACGTTTGGTAATATTGATATTGTTATCAATAATGCTGGGATCATGAATGACAGATTCTGGGAGCTTGAGGTCGACATTAATCTCGTAAGTTATAATTTTTCGTCATTTAACATTGTATAAAAAACTTGTTTTATCACTTGTAAGTGTTATCAAACAATCATTCCATAAATACTTTTAATTCTTTAATCAACAATCTTGCATTTTTCAATGTTAAATATATTTTTTAATCAAACTTTAACAACAAATCATGATAATAATATGAAATAAAATAGATTAAATATTAATACTTTGCAAATAAAGTCAATATTTTGAATGAAGTTATTTTTATTTATTTGTTTTCTTCTCAGAATGGAGTGATTCGTGGGACGTTGCTGGCACAAAGATACCTTGGAATAGACAGAGGTGGTAGAGGTGGTATTGTCATAAATACCGGAAGTAATGTGAGTTTAAATCCATACGTCAGTGTGCCAATCTATTCAGCTACAAAAGCAGCTATTGTAAGCCTCACTAGAGCGTTTGGTGACAAGTACCATGTGGATTTGACTGGTGTAAGTGTTATGGCTCTTTGTCCTAATGCAACAGATAGTAATCTTGTTCGTGACGTTGGTAAACAACTTTTATCACCAAGATATGAAGACGCCTGGCGTCGTGATACTGCCTCTAGTGTTCCCCAAAAGTAAGTTTTTGCTTTGATATTTTTATTTATTATTTTTCTTTGGTTAATATTCTTGATAATTATCATTTCATTACTATTGAAAGCGTCTGTATTTATTCATGGAAATAATTTTTAAAAAAAGAATTAAATCTTTTAGAATTTAATTTGTAGTAAAATAAAGGTTTTTTTTGTTTATTTTATTATTTATAAATGGTATTTTTATTTTTTCTTTTATATAAAAAGTACTTTGATGTAGAAATTCAAAAAAAAAATATAAGCTTTATGTACTAAAACAAATTGGAGTATCCAAGTTCTTTGACTGTTTTTAAATTCGTTTAATTAAAAAATAATAATAATAATAATAATAATAATAATAATAATGGTCTAGTTATTTTAAAAGAATCATGACACATTTTTAAAAAATTTAAATAATTATTTTTAATTATAAAACTTTTTTTAAAATAAAAACATGAATGTTCAATTAAATGCTAGAGAAAAACATGTAAGCTTTTTATGAATAATGATATTATATTCTTTTTTCTTTATAATATATTGTTACACAGAATAATGGAAAAATTTTTATTTCAGAGCTGAACATGTTGCCAAAGCGTTGATTCATGTTTTAAGTACTGGAAAAAGCGGAAGTGTATGGTTGGTAGAAAATGGCCAACCCGTACGTGAAATAGCTTTTGCAAAACATTAAACTAAGTTACTGGGCATTTTCACTTTCTTTAAAGTGAATAAAATCTTCCTAGAAAGTCAAAAGATTGAAGGCAAATCTTTTAAACAATTGGATTAATAAACAATAATTACTAGCAACAAACTAGAAAAAATAAACAAAAATTTTTGGAATCATATAAGTAATGATAATAATAATGAAAATCATTAAAAACAAAAAACATTCCTCGCTTTACCTGCTAAGAAATCATGCCGTACCAATCATTCATAATTTTTATACAACATTAATGATACGATATTTAATAATATTAACAAAAAATTAATAGCCTTATGAATTACATTTTTTCCATAAAATTAATACAAAATCGATAAACATTTCTATAGATATGTAAGTGATGAAATGCATCAATGACATCTTTTAATAATAAAAATATGTAGAAATTTTTGATAAATATTAAATGAAATGATGCATGAGTTAAAGAGAATGAAACTATTGAGTTGAATTAAAACAAAAAAATTATTTCTTTAAAGAATTAATCGAAATTGATAGAAAAAATTTGGAAAATTAAAAAAAAATAATAAATCATATCTAGAGTCCGCCCAAAAGGATTCCAAAACGCTTATTAAAATGTTAATTTATCAATTTTCTAGTTGATTATTAATTAATTATTCAATTAAAAATTATATAAAAATTTAAAAGCAAGCTAGTCTTGTTATTAAAATTAATATTAATAATAATTAGATAATCTAGTCATCAATTGAATTTATCACTCGTGATCATATAAAAAATTGTTGGCCCAATTTTGTACTATTATTTGCAAGGATTGTATGCGTCATGCGTGAGTCTAATAAATTTGCCTAGCTTTTTATTATAAATTATGATTAATTAATTATTTATCATGTTTTAATGAAAGCAAACCCTGTGAACTTGTGGTTTACCACAATCATATTCAATTACAAATAGACAACACTGATAAAAATAACAACTTGGCATTGACAATTTATTAGATTGTGCTTTGAGATTTTTTTTGACTAATGATCTATACATTCCCAGTGATTGAATTGACATTCAAGCAGTTGGTACAGTTTCAAAACATTAAGTAACACTTCTATTAACACGATTATCATTAAGACCATTTTTAATTTCCTCCAAGCTGTCTTAGTTAACAAAAAAAATTTATTAAATTAAGTAAGTTTAAATTGTTTGAGTAATGGGTACATCTGTGAAAAATTTATGAGCGATTATAACTGGAGCTGCTCGAGGTATTGGCTTTGAAATTAGTCGTAGATTACTGTCCAAAGGAGCTAAGGTAAGAATTAATATTAAATAGATATTGATATTTAATTAAAACACCAATTAAATGGAATTTTTTTAACAGGCAGTTGCAATATTAGATCTTGATCCATCAACTGGAGCAGAAGCAGCAAAAAAACTCAATGAAGAATTTGGAAAAAATCAATCAATCTTCATTCGAACATATATGTCAAAAGCAAATCATTTTGAAGGTATGAAATAAATATTTTTATTATATCAATGGTTTTTAAATAAATAGATAAATAATAAAATTATGTTGTGAAGTGTTGGGCTCGACCAACGGCAAAACACCAGCTTCAGATATGTCTTGGCCTTCTAAATGATTTTACTAACGGGAACTAAATGCCCTTGATTGGAGTTTCAACCCTCCAACGCCAGGCGAAGCAGCATAGACCAAATTGAGCGGGAGAAAAGCATGCAGAAGAGAGGATAACCGAAGCCACGAGGATCACGACGCCACTCAGCCCAGAGGCTTCCCATAGACAACTAGGCACCTAAAGTAGTTGATCTGACAGTGACGTTGTTCTATATTTTAAAGTCAATTAGTAGTCATATTAGGGCATTCAGGCAGACGGCCATAGTAAAGTCAGTTTACTCAAGAACCATTGTCGGCACTGACGTCTGGCAGCGAAGAAAGGCTGTGAATCCACCGACAGGAAGTGACAACCCGTAGTCCGAAGGTCAACGGTCGTCCCAGAGACAGGATACATAAGGAATCAGTCACTAATCGACGGCGTTCCAGATTTCCAGAAGTCCAGAGTTCACAGCATTGTACCCGGTGGCCAGCGTTGCATTCCAAGAAGTCACGGATCGAGTCACGTAGGTCCAGCCAATTGCTTAGTACGATTGAGGGTGATTGACTAGACTAAAGGGTGGCTAATATTGACACAATTGCACTTAATTTCTGGCTGTAGTCACTAAGGAAGTTCGTACCTTAAATGGTTTATAAAGACTTTGTGCCCTTATGGGAATCTTTATATTGAATCTGAATGTTCATGTTATTATTACAGTTTAGGCGAATGCCGTACCTTAACTGGTTATTCTTTATTATACTTATGAGTTCTATGACTCTAATGAAAGGATTTATGTAATTTATATTACTAATGCTTTATGCAAATGCTATAGACTATTGAAGTCAAGTTCTTATTGTAGAGTCGTTGCAACGTTGGTGTAAAATTAATGAATATTGTAGAAGTCGTGAAAGCTTCAATTTTAATGAAAAGTATGAGCCTTTGATCCCTAGAATGTATTGTGATCATTATTGAATTTGATATCAAGATGTATATTATAAGTGAAGAAGTCAATTTCATGTTAAATTGTCATTTGAGAGTCAATCAATTATATTTCAAGAAAGTCTTATATCAATAAACTACTCATTATTTTATTGTGTTTAATTAGTCAAGTTATTTACGGGGAACCTTATAGTTGATATTATCCTCCCTGATATATTCATTTATTCACTCAAGCAAATCATTTGATTCATTTGAAGTGATTTTAGTGGAAGAAGATTGCTCTCATAATTTTGAATTTGTATAGATAAAACGTTAGGATAGTTGGTGATCCACAGAGTCATCCATCCAACATAGGTGAGAGAGATCGCCCTCGTTAAAAATAAGGATCTCCACCTCACCACACAACAATGTATTTCAGAGAGTTTTCACAAAGCTGTAAAACAGCTTGAAGATCTAGATATTGTGGTAAATAATGCTGGAATAATTAATGAACAAAATTGGTCTCTTGAAATTGATATTAATGTGGTAAGATTTGAATAAAATTACCAGCTGCTTGAAAATTTGGTTTATCAATTAATCATCAATATTATTAGAAAGCTGTAATCTAAGGAACTATTTTTGCTATCAAAACAATGGGAAAACATAAAGATGGTAAAGGTGGAACTGTGATCAACGTAGGTTCATCAGCTTCCCTGATATCTTATAGAACTTTACCAGTTTATTGCGGTACTAAGAGTGCTGTTTTTGGATTTACACGAGCTATTGCAGTAATTATTACATTTTTTAACTAAACAATCAAACTTCGTATGATATGACTCATTATTTATTTTAAACAATTCCATTATGTCACAGCTTAGTTATGATCAAACAGGAGTTGCAATGAAAACAGTATGTCCAGGTCCTGTGGGAACATCTTTATTGCTCTCTAGTGGTGACAAATTTTTGAGCTTTCATAGCCAAGAAAAAGATCTTACTGTTCAACTTCCGAATCCTCAAACGTAAGTTCTCAACCTCAAGCTGATTATTTAATGACTTGATTATCAATTAAATTTATCTAATTATTTTTTTTCGTAATGGTTGTATTTGTTATTAAATGAACACGTGTTTCGATCATCATTCAAATCTAATACATGTCTATTTCAGGCCTGAATCAATTGCGGAACAAATTGTGCGTGTAATCGAAGAAACCCCAAATGGTACTATTTATGTGAGTGTAACTGACACCAATAAACATTCAAAAGGGATAGCGAAAATGCCGGAAATTGATGATATTTTAGAGCCTTTTTAAAACAATTAAAAGCAAAAATAAATTCTGAATATTCAGAAAAAAATAGACATGAAAATAAAAGATTAGATAATTTATTAAATATTGTATTTCTTTTATTGTCAATGATATCAATTATCAAAATATTTTTGATTAAGCCAATTAAGGTTATCATTAAAAAACAAATAATTATTATGTATGCAGAATAAATTCTTATCTAAAAACGTTTGTATTATAATTGAAATGTATATTCTCTCTGCAATTGTATTTCGAGTGTTTTTAATATCTAGAACAGATATAAAAGAAAAATTCATTGAATAAATACAAAGCGAAAGATAAAACTTCCTGACTACATTGATTAGTCATTTACAGATTGTTAAGAATATAAATGTATACGCATATAAAGATTGTTACAGAATTATTCTTAATGCATTCAAGTTGAATTAAATTGAATAGCTTCTCTCGTGGAATTTCATTACCATCCAAAGTCGCTACTTGAACGAATACTAAATCAAAGCATCTGCTTGATTAGTCTTTAATTAGTTTAGAAAATAAATTTTTTACACAATAATATAACTAACAAGTATGGGTTTGGTAATTAAAGATTCACTTGTAATTATAACTGGAGGTGCTCAAGGAATTGGATTCCAATTGTGTCATCAATTGTTAAGTAAAAAAGCTAAGGTAAATAATAATTACAGTTTTATAAATTATTGTTAACTATAAAGTCATAATTTATTTAAAAAAAAAAAAACTAAAGGTATTAGTACATATCTTTCTCATGATATCTTTAGGTAAGATTAATGAAATCATTCTGCTCACATATCAGTTTATCATTAACTCTTGATATGATTCGCGGTTAATGACACTAAACTTTTCAACAATTATTTTAATTAATTCTTTCTAATGACAGACAGTGGCAATTCTCGATATTGATGTAGCCACAGGTGAGGAAGCAGTTAAAAAACTTAACAATGAATTTGGAAAAGATCGATCATTTTTTATTGTGACTGATGTGACAAATACTCAGCAATTCGAAGGTTTGAATTATTATTATTAATTATAAAAAAATTTAATAAACAAAAAAAAAGGGAATGACATAGGGGATGAATGTTTTTGCAGAAAATTTTAAAAAAGCTGTTAATCAGCTTGGTGGTCTAAATATCATGATTAATAATGCTGGTTTTATGGATGATTCAAGATGGAAAAAGGAAATTGATCTCAATGTGGTAAATAATTGGGTTTTATTTTTATAATAACTGTTATAAAATTAAGTCGATTAGTTTCTGTTAATTCATTTTATAGTTTCTAATTAAGCAATTATATAAATGCAGACTGGTGTTGTCCAAGGAACTTTACTTGCAATTGAAACAATGGGAAAACATAAAGGTGGTGCAGGTGGGACTGTAATTAACATGGCATCAATAGCAGCATTCCTTTATGAAAAATACGTACCTGTGTATTGTGCAACTAAAGCTGCTGTTATTGAATTTACTCGATGTGTTTCTGTAGGAATTATTTGTCCATTTGTTTACTTTCTACTCACATTATTTCTTATAATCAATCAACGATAAAATAATATTTATTTTCAGTTGAATTATGAAAAAACAGGTGTAGCGATTAAAGCAATGTGTCCAGGTGCTACGGAAACTTTCTTGATGACTAATAAAAATCCTAGATATTTGAACTTCCATGATCAACAAGAATGTATAAATTGGGTGATCAATTGGCCAAAGCAAACGTTAGTAGCACAAATTTAAGACTTAAACAAATTCGATGACATTAAATTGCAAAAAAAAATAGTATGAACGATTAAAATGAGTTATACTAATGATAATTTACTGTTGCAGCCCCGATGTTTTAGTAAAGGAAGTGATACATATGATTGAAGAAGCTCCAAATGGTGCTGTTTGGGTTAAAATGGCTAATCATCCTGTCTCAACTGTGAATTTCCCAAAACTCACTGATATCATGGAACCACTTTAAACTTTATCAATACTGAATCTTTATGAATATTATTTTTAAATCATTTTTAAAATAATATGCCACTTTTTTAAAATTTACATTCTATTAATTTTATTATTTTAATATACAGATGAAGAGTTGATGATAATAATAAAGAAAATAACAGTTTTGTGATTGGCATTAACATTTAAATGATTAAAATTGATTTTCATTTATTATACCAAATTTTAATGCAATCTCATGATAATAAACTTGTCCCGGAAAGAGTATACTTGAAGGAAAATGATTATGGCTGATAGAATTAGGATAATTTTGAGGAGAAATGGCAAATGCACCATGCTTTTGGTATAAAATTCCACCTTTTCCATATAAACCATTATTTTTTTCTTCTCCTGATTCATCAGTATCTCCAGTTATTAAGTTTCGTGCTGGAAAATGATTCCCAGTTGAAAAATGAAGACTTGGTTGGTTAGAATAATATTCAACATATCTTCCTGATTCTGCATGGGATACTCTTAAAAATAATTAATACACATATAATAAACAAACAAAAGATATAATTAATTTTAATAATAAGTAAGTGATAAACTTACCTAGCATGAAATCTATAACTGCAAACACTAGGACAATTAACACAAAAATTGTGATTGAAACCACCCCCACAAGCTTTTCTCAAGACTTGTTTGGTCATCTGCTTTGGAATACGAAGATCAAAAACCGTGTCAGCAACAGGATAAATTTTTCCAGTAGGGATCATTTCTTTGTATTCAATATCCGCTAATTTGTCTGCATTTATTGTCACCGTGTGTTTTTCCAATTCTTCTGGTCCTGTTCCCTGATTAACAAATACTTGAAAAAAATGTAATTAGAGTATAATTATCACCTACATGACCAGCAAGATTCAAGAAATAACAATTGCTGATATCAACAGGTGTTGGTTGAGTACAGGTGGCTCGAATGACTATTTGGAGCTCATTATCATCAGTCCACGTGTATTTTACTTGAATTAACATATCTCCAGGATATCCTTCCGATCCATTTCGGCTTAAATGAGACATTACCTTGTACAAAAGAAGATAAAAGATTCTCATAAAAATTAAACGTAATTATTTTGTAATTTCAATCAAGTATACAAAAGATGCTGATCATATTAACAACGAACAATAAAAAATAATTTTTAAATTTAAAATTAAATTATCTGGTATTTTATAATACTTAATAGTGCATCTAGTTTATCTGCAGACATCATTTATCAAAAAAAAAAAAAATTACCACTGCCATGACTTGCAGAATGATAATTAAGAGATTTGATTATATAATTTATTACCACTTGTTTATCAAGGACGTGAGAATCCCAATTAACATTGTCAAATGCTAGAAATCCTCCATTAAGGTGATGCTTATTTTCATAATTTTTCGATAAGGATAATTGTTTATCGCCAATCGAAACGGCGCCATTGAAAATTCGATTAGTCACTCGACCAATAGTTCTTCCGATATATCGATTGTCAAGATAACCTGTAAAACATCAATAATATTACTAACAATTAAAAAAAAAAAAATTTTAATACTTAAAATATCTCTACCTTGAAGATCATCCCAGCCTAGGATTACGTCACCAATAGCTCCACGCTTGTTTGGAATTTTAATCGATTGGATTCCTGCTCCCCAAGTAATCAATGTGACTGATGCTTGATTTTTATTGATTAATGTATATCTAAAAGCATTTTAAAATATATAAATTAATTAAATTTAAAGCCTTTCCAATTTATTCAATTGTGTAAGTATTATTATGCAGAACAAAATTAAATTAATTATAAATCAAAGATTTCTAACCTACGAACGATTTCTGATCCTATTAGACCAAAACCATTTTCTGTAATAATTGTTTGATTCATGCTGTAATTAAAATGCTGAATCAATGAACGCTGGTAGAATCAATAAAAACTAAAAATGAATAATGTAAGAAAAGTTTATTGTATGCATAAATGTGCAGCATAAAATAAACAACTTCACATTCGTTTGTTAATGATATTGAATATTCTTAGTTTTTAAAAACAAGAACAGATAACTGAATTCTTTTCCCATAAAATTAGGTCCAAAAACAGTTTTTTTCTCAAATAAGATGTTTGATTGGTCACATTTATGTCAGTAACCTTTGAATAAATTAACAATGAAGCAATTGATGTAAATAAGAATGATGTAAGGCTTAATCTCATACTTGAAATGAACTTGCAAGTCACTTTAATGAATACTGCTATTTTTATTACCATAAAAAATCATTTTATATATTTACAACACACACAAGTAAGTATTTGTAATGATAATTGTATCAGACAAGACTAGTGATGGATATAATAAGCATCTGTATCAATGTGTGTAACATCCTTTTAGTTTCTCTGGGTTGAGAGTAGATATCATAACTGAACTACACACTTTTAGTGTTGTTATCATCTTTATCTCATTTGATAGAAGTTGATTGCTTCTTCCCAAGAGTATATAATGATGTCATAAAGCACTGAATGCTATACTATTGCTCTACAAATCGTTCGGTGACTTTAAATTTGAATCTTATCATCATGGCAAACCCAAATATTAATATTAAATACACTCAGATTTTTATTAATAATGAATTCGTTAATTCTGTCAGTGGTAAAAAATTTCCAGTTCAAAACCCAAGTACTGAAAAAATAATAGCACAAGTTGCTGAAGGAGATAAAGCTGATATTGATAAGGCAGTCAAAGCAGCAAAGACTGCTTTTGCTAGGGCATCACCATGGAGAAAATTGAAACCATCAGAACGTGGTGTTCTTCTTCTAAAAGTAATTTTTTTTCTTATTCATTAAATTTACTAAATATATTAAAACTAATTTTAAAAGTTGGCAGATCTTGTAGAACGAGACAAAACTATACTTGCTAGCATTGAAACTCTAGAAAATGGGAAACCTTTTAGCGGAGCGGAATGGGAAATAAGTGCAACAGTAGAATTTCTTCGCTATTATGCAGGATGGTGTGATAAAATTCATGGAAGTACATTGCCATCTGACGATGGAACTGTCGTGATGACAAGAAAAGAACCTATTGGAGTAGCTGGACAAATAACTCCCTGGAATGGTCCAGTAGTTATTACTGCAATCAAATGGGGTCCAGCATTAGCTGCAGGGTGTACTGTTATTCTCAAGCCTGCTGAACAAGCTCCTTTAGCTATTCTATATTTAGCAGCGTTATCTAAAGAAGCAGGATTTCCTCCTGGAGTCATCAATGTCGTTCCTGGATATGGACCAACCGCTGGAGCTGCTCTTGCTGAGCATCCTGATGTAGCAAAGATTGCCTTTACTGGATCTGTTGAGGTAAAAAATATCGAATAATTATGTACACTATCAGCAAAGTGAAAGTTAAATCTTGGATTCTTTTTTAACCATTTTTTAGGTCGGAAAGAAAATTATGGTGGCTGCAGGTAATAGTAATCTTAAACGAGTAAGTCTTGAACTTGGTGGAAAGAGTCCATTTGTTATCTTCGATGATGTCAATGGTATGTGTGATCATCACAATTATGTACTTTTTTTAACATTGACAATTAACTAAAATATTACTCCAGTTGAGGAAGCAGCCCAAATTGCTCACGAAGCTATATTTAATTATTCTGGTCAAATTTGTATTGCTGCTTCTCGAGTCTACGTTCACTCAAAGATATATGATGCATTCATAAAAAAATCCAAGGAATTAGCTATTCAAAGGAAGGTTGGTGATCCTTTCGATCCGAAGACCATGCAAGGACCTCAAGTAGAACAGGACATCTTTGATAGAGCCATGAAATATATTAGCATAGGGAAAAAGGAAGGAGCTACTTTAGTAACTGGAGGAGAACGGCAAGGAAATGTTGGCTATTTTATTAAGGTATCTCTTTTTTAACTCTTGAATAAAATATTCATTTATTCTTCTAGAAATAGTTATTTTATACTTATCAAACTTTTTCCAGCCAACAATCTTTTCTGATGTTACTGATGACATGACGATTGCAAAAGAAGAAATTTTTGGTCCAGTTCAGTCAATTTTAAAGTTTGATACTATGGAAGATGTCATCAAAAGAGCCAATAACACAACCTACGGTCTAGGAGCTGGAGTTTTAACCAATGACATCAACAAAGCTCTTACATTTGCACAGGCAGTTGAGTCTGGTAGTGTTTGGGTAAATCAGTATGGTGCAGTGTCCACAACTGCTCCATTTGGAGGATATAAACAGTCTGGAATCGGTCGTGAATTGTAAATATAGATTGTATATTTAATTTTTTTTTTGAAATCATAAGTTTGATAATTAAATATTTTGATTATTTTTTCAGTGGTGCTGAAGGTTTGGAGCAATATTTAGAGACCAAAACCATTTCCATCAAACTTACTGAAAGTGCCTAAAGTTACTACTTTATAATTATTGTTTGATACATGATGATAAATGAATAAAAATGAATTATTTATACAGCAAAAAGCTATTTTAATTCCCTTAAATATCTTTATTATGCATTTTTGCAACTTTGTAATGATGTTATCACTTAATAATTATTTATTAGATCATTTGAATACACTGATAAGTCTAAAAATATCTTCTTATATATGCAATTCATTTAAATAAATATTAAACAGTGCTTGACCGCTAGAAAACAGTTTATGAATCTACTCATTTTATTACGAGCTTCAGTCTAACACTCTCAATAAAATCATGACTAGTCCCAATGTCGGAATAAAATATACTCAAATATTTATCAACAATTAATTCTTTAATTCAATAAGTGGTAAAAAATTATCAGTTATCAATCCAACGAATGAAAAAGTGATAGCTGAAGTTTCTGATGGTGATGTAGAAAATATTGATAAAGCTGTACAAGCAGCTAAATCATCATTTGCTAGAGGGTCTAGATGGCGAACAATTTTACCTATGGAACGAGTTGCTTATTTGTACAAGGTATTATTTGAGTTTCAATAGATTTTTTGTCTATTATTGAAATCAGTTAAATCTAGATTGCATTGATTGTTAGTTAGCTGATCTTATTGAACGTGATAGAGATTATCTTGTGAATATCCAGTCACTTGAAAGTGGAGAACTATTGTACACTAGTTTGTATGATGTTTATTCAACCATTCAAATATTTCGTTATTATGCGGGTTGGTGTGATAAAATCTATTATTACATTAACTACATCTTGAAATGGTCTCGCTGTAGTAATTGGAATGAAATGGGCCCCAGCTCTAGCAACTGGCTGCACAATTGTTCTAAAATCTGCAGAGCAAACACCAATAACAGCTTTATATCTTGCGGCATTGTTAAGGGAAGATGGATTACCTCCTGGAGTCATCAATGTCGTTCCTGGGTATGGACCAACTATTGGAGCTGCTCTTGCTAAACAACTTGATGTAGCAAAAATTGCCTTTACTGGATCTATTAAAGTAATATAATATCCTAACACAATGATAAATTGATAACTAAAAGATAATTGTTGATTTTTCTTTGAATTATTTTCGAGGTAGGAAGGGAAATTATGATGGCTGCAGAAAATAGCAACCTCAAGCGAGTGAGTCCTGAACTTGGTGGTAAAAGACCCTTTGTGATATTTGATGATGTCAATAGTTCGTATTCTGGTCTGCTTGTTAAGAAAATGAAGAACCCTCACGATTTATAGAAGAATTGGAGATCCTTTGAATCCAACGATAAATCATAGACTTCAAAATGCAATAAATCAATTAAATGTTAGAGCTCTGTCGACGTAATTATTACTAATTGATAAAGATTGGTTAAAGCAAACTACTGCCCTCATATTTGTTGTACTTAATTTATTGATGTGAGCCAATCCCGGCGGTACTGCAAGACCGGGACGACCCGTGATGAATCCAGAGCAAGCTCTAGGAAATCATCCATTTCCAAAAATCAGTTTAATATACTGAAGTCCGCATGGGACTTGTACCAGATATTAAGCTGATAAGAACAGATACTACACTTTGATCTTAGCCATTAGGCCAGAAGCGATACCAATTTCTTCCAATTTTTGCCCTTTATTAACTTTTTCAATACGTTTCACTATCAGAAAGAATGCGACACCTATATTTACTTCGAATAAACTCCATCGAAGTGGAGAGGCACATGACGCTATAGAAAACCGGTTTATTTCAAATTCATTGTACTGCTCCATACATCATAATAACAGATATTTTCAACATAATTTAATTTTTAAATATTTAAACTAATTAATTCATAAGTCTCTTAATTAATTAATTAAATGATTAATTAACAATTATTACAATTAAACCGACAAATCATTCTAATAACACTTATTTTTCAATGTTTATTACAAATTATGAATAGAACTATAACCTTAAAGGTCAAGTGGAATAAATAAATAAATAAATATTTGAACTAATTAATTCATAAGTCTCTTAATCAATTAATAATCAATTAACAAATTAATTTAATTATTAATCAACAATTATTATAATTGAACCGACAAATCATTTTAATAACACCTATTTTTCAGTGTTATTATAAATAATGAATGAAACATAATTTTATTTTTAACTATTTGAACTAATTAATTAATAAGTCTCTTGTATTGTTTCCATCTCTCTAGATGAACTAGAAAATGATAATTGCTAATTTTTACAGTTGATGAAGCAGCAGAAATTGCTCATGAAGCTATTCACAAGTATTCTGGTCAAATCTGTATTGATACTTCTGGAGTCTACGTTCACTCAAAAATCCACAATGAGTTTGTTAAGAAATCTTAAGAACTAGCTCTCCAACGGAGAATTGGAGATCTTTTTGATCCAAAGACAAAACACGGACCTCAAGTAGATTCGAGAATGTTTGATAAAATTATGAATTATATAGATAGATAGATAATAGTGTTTATTGTTTAGAAAGTTAAACAAAAGTGTTACATGAAACAGGAAAATAATAATAGATACAGAGAATTAAATTTACATGTACAGATAGTTATAAAGGAGAGAGCACTCTGATAACCGGTGGAGAACGCTATGGAAATATTGGATCGGTAGTGAATTGTAAGTTCCAATGATTAATTACTTATTATCAAAAATATTAATTTTCCATTCCTTTTATCTATCACTTCGCTGATGGACTATTGTAAATAAATCATCTTGCAGGGGTCTCATAGGAATGGAAGATTACCTCTAGATTGAAACGATCTCCATTAAGCTTAGTCAGAACGTTTGACTATCATTAAAAGATTGGTAACCATTTGATATTGGAAAAAATTGATGAACTGGTAATCTGCAGTGTTTGTCTGGTAATTATCTAAATAAAGGTCAAAGTCATTTATTAAACATTTGTTTTTTACTTTTATATCTCGAACCCCAGCAGCAATGTTCATCAAAGGCAACAAACTTGGCAGTATCTTTATTCCATAGCAAATTTAATCATTTTTTTTATCGCGTATTTACTGCTGTTGAATGAGATACCTAATACTTGATAGACCACTTCTATCCCCACTCCAAGATAAAGTTATATAAAGCGAATTCAACTGCGCAAGTGTACATCAAGAGCAGAAATTGTCAGTCAGCTGTTACTTTCACGTGTAATCATCAATTTTAATTTCACCTATTTTACAATTTTTGATATTTTGTTTTTTTTTTTTTTTCAACATTAAATCATTATCTATCTCACAGATATAATCTATTTAAATTCTATGTAACATAACTGCTCATTTTATAGGTAAGATACGTTGATAACCTCGTTGGAGATTTACGATAGTCCTCTAGAAATTTCAAAGCTGTATTGTGATATTTTTACAATCTAAATATTGAATATTATTGTTAATAATAATAATTGAATTTGTTGAAAATGGCAAACTCAAATCCATCGATTAAATATACACAGGTAAAGATATTCATTGATTGATTTACTTAGTTGTGAGAAAATAAAGTGATTCAATATTTCATGTAAATTTCAATCATTTCAGTTGTTCATCAATAACGAATTCGTAGATTCAGCCAGTGGAAAAAAATTCCCAACATATAATCCTTCAAATGGAAATGTAATCACACAAGTATCAGAGGGAGATAAAGTAATTATCTCAAATATTTTATTTTTCAATGATAATAGTGATAGTGGAATACAAATATTTTACTTACACTTTTCTTGAATAAATGAGAAGAATAAAGGGATCAAGTATTCAGTGATTTACACTTAGCATTAATAATAAAATTAATTAATTGTTTTAGGCTGATGTTGATAAGGCTGTTGCTGCTGCACAATCAGCTTTTAAAAGAGGATCACCATGGCGTTCAATGGATGCCTCTAAACGTGGAGTATTAATCAATAAGGTATCAATTTCCTTGAACTGATTAGATGAATATTGAAATTGTTAATCATTAATTTATTCTACGAAAGTTGGCTGATCTGCTGAAAAGAGATGTTGACTACATTGCTAGTTTAGAAACTTTGGACAATGGTAAAACATTTAGAAGTGCTCAAGGAGATGTCCACTGTAGTGCTAGTGTCTTGAGATACTATGCTGGGTGGTGTGATAAAATCCATGGAAACACTATACCTTCTGGTTCGTTCTTGAATTAATTATTCAATACATTTTTTATCCATTAGATATTTATTGAATAACTTGATGTATAATCTTTTTTAGACGGTGGTAACTTCACTGTAACTCGTAAAGAACCTGTTGGAGTAGTAGGTCAAATAATTCCCTGGAATTATCCAGTGATGATGCTAGCATGGAAATGGGGTCCAGCTTTAGCGACTGGTTGTACAATTGTTTTGAAACCTGCAGAGCAAACACCATTAACAGCTTTATACTTAGCTGCTCTAACTAAAGAAGCTGGATTCCCTCCTGGAGTGATCAATGTTATTCCTGGATATGGACCAACTGCAGGAGCAGCAATTGCTGAACATCCTGATATCCGCAAAGTTGCATTCACTGGTTCAACTGAAATTGGACATTCTATTCTTGCTGCTGCTGCTAAAAGTAATCTTAAACGTGTGAGCTTAGAACTTGGTGGAAAAAGTCCAATTGTTATATTTGATGATGCTGATATTAAAGAAGCTGCTGAAATTGCTTACCATGCATTATTTGATAATCATGGCCAGTCCTGCTGTGCAGGATCACGAACATTTGTTCAAGCTAAAATTTATGATCAGTTTGTGAAGGTAGCTAAGGAGTTAGCAGCAAAGAGGAAAGTTGGAGATCCATTCAACCCTTCAACAGTTCAAGGTCCTCAAATTGATGAAGAAATGTTTAATAAAATTATGGGCTTGATTAAATCTGGAAAAGAAGAAGGTGCTGTTGTGGAGACTGGTGGTGAACGTGAAGGAAACGTAGGATATTTTGTTAAACCAACAGTCTTCTCTGGTGTTAAAGATCATATGAGAATCGCTAAAGAAGAAATATTCGGACCTGTTCAATCTATTCTTAAGTTTGAAACGTTGGAGGAAGTTATTGAAAGAGCCAATAATACAACCTATGGTCTTGCTGCTGCTGTTATCACTAATGACATCAATAAAGCACTCCAATTTTCTCAATCTGTCGATGCAGGCTCTGTTTGGTATGTAAAAAAGTTGATAAAAAATTAATAAATTTAAATGATGTGTTTAAACATCAATTACTTTTCAATAAACATTAATATTATTTTTTCAGGATCAATTGTTACGACGCTATCACTCCTCAAACACCTTTCGGAGGCTACAAGAAATCTGGAATTGGCCGAGAGCTTGGTGAAGATGGGCTAGAAGGTTACTTGGAAACCAAGACAATTTCTATTCGTGTTCCAAAAATTAATTAAAATATATTTCAGAATATTTTCATATCATCTTTAACCAAAAATTTTTCTACATTTTGTATCTAAAGAAACTTTTTTATATCTATTTTAACATTAATTATAATCAACAAAACTGAATAGATAGCTATTTTCAATTCTATGAAGTTTTATTTTTATTTGAATTATCATCTATTATCGTACTTTATTTGTCTATGGATTCAATTGGAGTTAACATATCTGTGAAATTAATAAATTTCAATGCACATGTAGGTTCACCATTTATCTTTACCCAAGCTGCATTAGTTGATGGATCTTTTATCAATTTCATGACATCTGGTGCCAGCTCTTCCGGTCTATTAGAATAACAAAAATGAAAATATATAAAAGAGAAAGTGACTCTTTTTTTAATAAAATTATTTAATCATCAACATACTTAAGCCCAGGCAATCTTTCTACTTCCCCTAAGTCTTCTTGTTGAATATAATCTAAAAATGGTGATGTTGTTTGTGGTATCATATCAGTATCTACTCGTCCAGGGCACATCACTTTTACTGCTACTCCAGTTCTTTCATAATGATAAGGACTCTACAAAATATTGTTTCAATTTAATGAAATAATACCAACTATTTTACGATTATTTTACATTTATATTAATTATTAGGAGTAAAAACTCACTCCCATTTGACGACTAAATGCAACTATTGCTGCTTTTGTTGCTGAATAAATTGGAATTAAATTCACTACAGAAAAAGCTGCTATTGATCCAATATTAATGACAATTCCTCCTTTTCCACCTTTGTGTTTACCCATATAATTGATTCCAAGTAAGGTTCCATGAATTACACCTTTCTTCGATCATGAGAAAGGAAAATACATATCTTTTTAATTTATTAGAATGCTAAAAGTAGATATAAATTTAAATAATTTTGCTCACAACGTTAACGTCAACCATCAAATACCATCGTGGATAGTTTAATATACCAGCATTATTTATCATTATTTCCAGGCCGCCCATCTGTTCTACAGCTTTCATAAAACTTTCTGAAAAGTGATTTTCTTCGTATAAGAATATTAAAAAAATAGGTCTGAGCACACTTTGTCTGTGCTATGTTTGCTTGCAAATATCATGAAACGTAGAGATATGATGAAAATTCAAATTTTACCAATCGACCCAATTTCAATAACTTCCTAATGGGAAGTTAATAACATTTGAGTTATTCTGTATAAAGTAGTATGATATATTTACCTTCAAACTGTTTAATATCTGCAACGTTTGTTGTAACAAATATTATTCGTCCTTGTCCAAATTCATTATTTAATTGTTTCATTGATTTCAAACCAGCTGATTCATTAATATCTAAAATTGCAACAGTCTGCACAAATATAATTAACAATTAAAATAATGTAGGTATTTATTTAAGTACAATCATTTATTAATCAAAAATAATTTCACCTTTGCTCCATTTAATAATAATTGACGACATAATTGAAAACCAATTCCCAATGCACCACCTGTTACTATAGCACGAGCTCCTTCAATATCTGTTTTCATTTTAGCTACTCCTCTATGACTAACGAAAATTTATTTTTTACATTGAAATAAATTGACTTATATTTTAAATATATGAAAATATGATGATAAATATACTGAATTATGATGCACATTCATAGGTTATGTTGATATTTTTCCATATTGATGAATGGAAATAATGATTTTCAACATTGAAGTGACAAAAGTTATCAGTTTGTTAACGATATTAACATAACTTTTTAATTTTGAGCATTTAAATTTATTATTAATGATTTTTCAGTACTACGTACTACCATTACATGTTGAAAATGATACATTGGTGAACTACTTCAATTACTAAGGAATGAGCAAAGACTGTTCACACTTAGATAAATTAGAGCTTAAAATAATTAATCATTAGTAATTAATAGAGATTTATTTACTCTACTTATTATTTGCAAATTGATTATGCTTGATCTATTAATGTGAGCCGATCCCGGCGGTACTGCAAGACCGGGACGACCCGTGATGAATCCAGAGCAAGCTCTAGGAAATCATCCATTTCCAAAAATCAGTTTAATATACTGAAGTCCGCATGGGACTTGTACCAGATATTAAGCTGATAAGAACAGATACTACACTTTGATCTTAGCCATTAGGCCAGAAGCGATACCAATTTCTTCCAATTTTTGCCCTTTATTAACTTTTTCAATACGTTTCACTATCAGAAAGAATGCGACACCTATATTTACTTCGAATAAACTCCATCGAAGTGGAGAGGCACATGTCGCTATAGAAAACCGGTTTATTTCAAATTCATTGTACTGCTCCATACATCATAATAACAGATATTTTCAACATAATTTAATTTTTAAATATTTAAACTAATTAATTCATAAGTCTCTTAATTAATTAATTAAATGATTAATTAACAATTATTACAATTAAACCGACAAATCATTCTAATAACACTTATTTTTCAATGTTTATTACAAATTATGAATAGAACTATAACCTTAAAGGTCAAGTGGAATCAAACTGTCTGGTATTTCTGCGAATTTCACTGTTGATGTAGGATATTCAGTCATTTTCACCCAAGCTGCATTATTCGATGGGTCTTCTATCAGCTGCATCACTGCTGGTGCAATATCTTTTGGCCTGTAATTGTAAGGTATTTATAAAAAACAAGCAAAAATATATTATACTCTAATCATATATAAATTAGTAACTAATATTTACTCCAAACCAGGTGCATCTATTAGGGCTTGTGCTTGTTCTTTGTCAACATACTCCAAACATTTGGAAGGCATGTTCATAGCTAAATTTGTGATTACCAATCCTGGACATATTGACTTTACTGCAACTCCAGTTTTCTCGTAATAATTCTAACAAAATAAATCAACACCATTCAATAATTATTGCTTTATAACCATATTCATTAATTATTTTAATCATATTTACACCCATAAAACGACTAAATGTGACAACAGCAGCTTTCGTTGAAGCATAGATTGGAGAAAAACTTTCTTTCATGAATGGTGCAATGGAGCCTGTGTTAATGATAGTTCCTCCTTTACCACCTTTATGTTTACCCATGTAATCGATTCCAAGTAAAGTTCCTTGAACTACTCCTTTCTTGGACAATTCAGAAATAAAAGAAGATTAAGCATCAATGAGTAGCAGCAATTATATAAAGAAAAATACTTAATAAGGATTGCTAATTATAATAATTGTTTTTAGATCATAAATAACAGCATTTTTCTTACCACGTTGATGTCAATCATCAAACTCCATACTGCTGAATCTAGTATCCCAGCATTGTTAATTACAATTTCCAATCCTCCAAGTTTTTGGACAGCTTTCTTGAAGCTATCTAAAAAATCAATGTAGTTATTTTATGTTTTTAGATTATATTTAATTAATTTTATAAATTTTAAGAATAATCTAATGAACTCACTTTCAAGTTCATTAGAGTTTGCTACGTCTGTTGCAAAAAATATTGATCTTCCTTGTCCAAACTCCTGATTCAATTTGTTTGTAGCTTCCTGACCAGCTGATTGATCGATGTCAAAGATTGCCACCATCTTTTTTAATCAAATTTAAAACATCATTATTAGTTTCAGAAACATAATTATCATTTATTTGAATGTATAGAGGAATAATTATTTTACTTTAGCTCCTTTTATCAACAAATGACGACATAATTGAAAACCAATTCCTTGGACTCCTCCAGTCACAATGGCTCTAGAATCCTTGATAGTTCCACTCATATTGATTATTCACAGTTACTATAATTGTCAGTAATATTCATTCAGACATTTTGTATACACAAACACTAGCAATTCAAAGTCTTAGTTTTCATATTTTTGATTGATAATAAATATAAAGTAATGTGAATAACTAAACTTGTTGATAATTCAAATATGATAAGATAAGCTGGATTAATTTACAAATACATTATTATGATAATGATTTGCGGCAATGATAATTTTTAATTCAATAATTTTTTTAAAAATTATTCTACATTCTTTTCATGTAATTATTAACGAATGATTAAATAATTTATTTCCTTAAAATAAGGATCAAACAATTTTAAACAGAATAATACAAATATAAATATATAATTCAATTCAAATATTAAAGACTCAATGATACTCAACTATAAAATGCATGAATTCCAATTATGTAGCACACATAATTGGATATTATATCAATCGAGGATATAACATACTACGTAGCATCAAGACCTAATCATTATTCCAAGTTTCAATCATTTATTCATCAATTAATGTCTTCATCAGGTTTATAGTGATTATTGCTGTACCCAGTTTTTACATAAGTTTTTTAAACATTTAGTTTCATAACACTGCAATATTCTAAGAGTCTCAATGCTTGTAAAATTAATTTCATTTTTCGACAAATAAACCAATAAAAGTCGTTATATTATTAATTTATTTTAAATTTACAGTTCGTCGTTAAGTAATAATGCCTCATTTAAAACGTCTAATTATACACAATTTTTATATTAAGAAATAATGATTTTAATTTTTATTAAAAAATAAATTCTATTCGAAATACTCACACTTATTATCAATAAAGAATTTAATAATTAATAATGGTTATTAAAGAGTTAAAATGGCGAATAATTAAATTTTTTCAAAAGTCTCTCAACTATCTTCTCTGGTAGTCGACCAGAAGTGATATAACTCTCCAGTGTTATCTTTCAATCTTTTTATAAGTAGAATTGCCTGGGTATGAATTCAATTTATGATACATTGCATAAACAATTACATGCCCACTTGCCACTTCATCTGAAAATTGATATACACTAGTGTACGTGCTGATTTATATACATGTATTCAACTGACGTGTTACATGATCTCTGTTTTTAGATAGCAAAAGGTTGTACGAGTTTATTTTAATTTTATATACAAATTTTCTCAATTAGTTTATAGATAAAATTATTTCTCAGTAATATGAACTTCTTTAAATAAAAGCAATTGCAAATTAATTCATAGAGGAAATAGTTTCCTTATAAGTTTAATATTTCTATGAATCTTGTTGACTTAAGTTAAGATAATTAAGTAAGTAAAGTATGAGCTTATTACTACTATTTCTATGTAATATAATTTAATTCTAGTCATCTTGAGATTCATGTGGAATTAAATTGTCAGGAAAATCCAAAAAGTATAGTCTTGATGTAGGTACTTCTGCAATTTTCACCCATGTTGTGCTGGTTGAAGGATCTTTGATCAATGCCATGACTTCAAGTGCAACATCTTCTGGTCTATAATGACAATAAACACACTTGATATAAATTTTTACATCAACATTATTCTTTCATACCATTTTCATAAACATTTTTTCGTATTTAACAATAACTAATAGACAGATAATCATTATCAAAAGTAAATGAAAGATTTTAATTATGTTATGAAATGTTCTCATGTCCGTTGTAATATCTAATATCTTATAATCATCTATCTAGTAGTAATTGTATTTTACTAATGACTGAAATTGGTAAATCAATTCAACAAAAATTCATAAAGCTTTTTGAATGATGTCATACTTCAATGCAGGTAAGCTCTTGATTATTTCAGCTGCGTCATCTGGTTTGACCAGATAATCCAGAAATTGATCAGGACAAAATGTTATCAAATTTGATTCTGTTCGTCCAGGACACATCACTTTTATTGCCACTCCAGACTTATCATAAAATGTCTATAAATATATAATAAATAAATCAATTATAATCTGCATTTTAATAATAATATAAGCAGGTCAACAAAAAAATTACCCCCATAATACGACTGTATGTCATAATAGCAGCTTTGCTGGCAGAATAAATTGGCGAGAAACTGTCTTTCATAATTGGTGCAATAGAGCCCATGTTGATGATAGTTCCACCTTTTCCACCTTTGTGTTTACCCATGTGATCAAATCCTAGCATCGTTCCATTAATTACTCCTTTCTATTTGACACAATAATATTTTTAAAATATAAAATTTTGATTGTTAATAATACTGTGATAAATTCATATATTCTTACTATATTTATGTCAAGCATTGATTCCCATCTTTTATAGTCTAATATTCCAGCATTGTTTATTACAATTTCTAGTCCTCCAAGCTCTTCAACAGCTTTGTGAAAATTTTCTGGAAGCAATGAATTATTATTATTATTATTATTATTATTATTATAAATATTTACAACTGCATTAATTTGATGTCAAGTAGGTTGTTATTATAATTATCAAGATATAATCAACAAATTTGTGATGTTATTGTGATAGATAAAAATATATAATAATCAGATTTGGCTTTATCAAAATCATTTTGTAGATATGATGATATGCGTTTGTTTTTGCTTGATCTATTTTTTAGATTGTACTAATTATATTCATTTAGGTCATTTATAAATAATTAAATTACCTTTAAATTGATCTGCATTTGATACATCTGTCACAAAAAATAATGATCGACCTTCTCCAAATTCATCATTCAGTTTTTTCATTGATTCAACACCTGCTGATTCATTAATATCGAGAATAGCAATGGTCTATTTTAACAGAAAATATTAATTAAAAAATTAACATTGATCACGATTATTAAAAATGTATTGAAAAAAAAAATGACATATTAACTCACTTTAGCTTCATTCATTAATAGATGTCGACTAATTTGAAAACCAATTCCTTGAGCACCTCCAGTAATAATTGCTCGAGAATTTTCTATTTTTTCGCTCATTTTTCTTTTAAGTAATTTATATGTATAATTAATTATTCCTATTTTATTATTTTTTGTTTTAAATGAAATAAATATTACTCTAAGAAATGTAAAGAAGACTTCTTAGTCACTGTCTTCGAACAAACAGCTCAACGTTTGAATGCTGAAAAGACTCAACTATAAATGGAACTCATCAATAAAAAATCATTACTGTATTCTGTTTATCTTCAAAATAAGTATTTCGTATAATAGATATATAATTTATCAATATCTAAACATATTAAGCTATTACAACTATCAAAAAAAGGTTTGGATAACAATTTGATAACCAAATTGAAAGTTTGAATGCAAAAGAGTAGAGAACAATAAATATTAAGTTGTCCTCCCATAAAATATAATTGAACAAATAAAGTGTTGCAATGCTTACATCATTCAGACAATGCCTTCTCATAATATTACTTTCAAGTTATTTTTAATTTCATTGTTTCTTATCTTACTATTTTAATTTATCAATTTTCAATACTATAAAAAATTAGATTATGAATTTATAATGTCTAAATCATTCCAGATGTAGGACATTTAAATAATTAGCTTTGGTTCACTTTTTTTTTTTTTTATTATTTCTGTGTTACAATTGAAATTGAAGGAAAATAACAAGATTAGTAATAGAACTTCCTAAAATCTGAAAGAATTTTTATAAAATTAAATATTTAGAAGTTCATCATTATTATTATAAATCACTTACTGAAAATAGTAAAGAGCCATCCAATGGAATAATTCCATATGCAGTGAAGTTTATTTTTCGACTCAAAAGGTCATAAGAAAAATCCATCAGCTGATCCATATGAAAAAGATATTCAAATTTAAATGGTTAAGTTAATCATTTTTGTTAAGCTTAATTACCGCATTCTCCATGTCTTCAGACATTGAACATAGATTCAAGAGCCAATGAAGATTATCTGGAATAATGCTAATCTGAAAGACAGGATATTGTACTCATTATTTGACAAATTCAAGAAATAACTACTCAGTACAAGTTTAGAGGATAATAATAAATCTAATCAGAGTATCATTTGGGGACATTTCTGAAGTACAAGGTATTATTTGAATGTAGCTGAAGTTTCGACCGGAAGTCAATTATTCGTTTACAAGTCTTTTTCGTCGATTTTCTAACATTCAAAAGTTCTAATGACCGACTTCCGGCCAATCTGGAATAATAAAAATTGGCGGATATGTTTTGCATAATGCAAAGAATATCTCTGCCAATTTTTGAGTGGATCTAAATCGGTGTTTCTAAGTTGATTTTTTTTTGTAAAAACAACCTTTTTTTCTTTGGATTTACTGCTTTCTTTCAAATCCTAAGGGTTGAATTTGACTTATTTTTCCTTTTTACGTACTTCATATGATTCCTGTGCGTTGGTTTAATTTGTTTTTTATTTTTTAATATTTTTTTTTTCGTTCATATGAATGTTTGAAACTTCAGCTACATTTATTGGAGGACATTTGTATAGTTTAGGGACAGTCCCCAAAAAAAAATCATGTATCCAACGTATTAGTCCAGTCAATATAGGAGACTTGGCTCCATTAGTGTTGAAAATTTTTGTACAAAGAGCAATTTTTAATTTTCTGATATCAAAATATCCGTAATGATCTGTAGAAAAAATGTGCCCAAAAACGAAAATGCGCTGAATTTTTTTTTATACGATTTTTTCGCATTTTTGTGGTACCGTGTATCTAAGCGAGACAGCATTATAGGCGGCACCACGCACTAGAAAAAGACACAACTATCAGAATTTAAAAATCGTATTTTCGATAAAAAAAATTGTAGTTTGCTTGTTTAATATTATTTTATTAATTATTTGATGAACAAAAAAACCTACAAAATCATCAATTTCTTAAATTTGGTAATTTTTTTACTTATTTATCAAAATTTGTTTTTTTATTTATGTATGAAAAATTACTTCATTATAATAAATATTACATTTATTTATGATCTTAATTTAATATTTTTTTTAATTTTTTGGGTCAAATATTTGAAAGATTTTCTAAGTAATTTAATAATAAATAAATTGAAAATATTGCTAACATTAGCAATTAAATGTTTAGATTCAAATTTATTGCGATTTTTTTAGACATTTTTCTTTCAAGGATCTTGATGATGTAGTAACTGGCTTCTGACCACTTTAGTATTTTTTTTTTAATATTGATAAAATGTAAACAGCTTTTTTGGGTTCTTAACAAAACTTTAAGAATCAATCAATGCATGTAATTAAAAAAAAATACCTTACCTCTTTTTTGATACTATTGACAGTAGTAATCAAGGTAATAATTGCCGAAGCTACGATAAAAAGCCACAGGGTGTCACAAATGTCGTGGCTTGGATTAAGTGAATTTTTGGTAACATAAAATTTGTAAAAGTTGTAATATGATATAAATGTTATAACTGTTCCTAAATATATAACAGATGATAATACAGGAATGGCATAGAAGTGTGATAATTTATCAAAAATGTCACAAAGATGAACATACACATATTTGAAATTCACTATACGACATACAGAATTGTCCTTCATAGGCAATTTGCTGATGAAAATGTTCCTCACTTTGATATTATCTAGGATATTACCGAAATTCAAAATTTCTCTGTTCATCACTTTAAGCTGATGATTGATTACTTCTAATATCAGTGAATATTGAATCAGCACCCATGCACTAACTAATGTAGAAATATACCAACAAAATAAGAATATAAAACTGTCGAATCCAAATTCTATTATAGTTAATATCAAACTAATTCCAACATTTATTACAAAAATAAACCCAATTCTTGGAGTGACTTGCCAATTATATCTGATAGAATTATTCAACATTCTTCCTACTTTTATGAGATGTTCACCTATGTAAAAAACGGTATTTTTATGTAAAATGTACAACATCAAGACACCAGTAATTCTAAAAATTTCACAAACAACTAATCCAGCATTAACAGCTCTGATTACTACTGACACTTTTGAAGATTTATTCAACTCTGAAAGGCACTGAAAAGCATATATGCCACTTGAACAATTACCAATCATGATCAGCACACTGTAAGCTAATCCCCATATTGAAACACTCATAACTTTCTTTGTATCATTGCTCATTCTTCCATCTGAATTAGAGTGTGGATGAATTGCCCATGATGAGAAATTTATCTTCCATGGTAGCAATCCTAGTATTTTGAACACGAATAAATTACAATAGACGAAAAGAGTATTAAAACAAAGGTACTTGGAGAACATTTTTCAAAATTTGAATATTACATAATGGACACTAATGCTGTAACATTGTAAATTGAATTGACATTGCCAGGACTGTTACAATTATTCTAATGACTTGTGATATCATCAACAAGACAATAAGTGGTATTCTATATTCAACCTAATGTATTAAGTTCATTATCCAGCTATCGATCGTAATTATTTGTTTAATACTCTCCATTTTTACATGACTTCAAGATCTAATCACATGGATTATGATTTAATTTATAAATTTCTTGTATTAACATGAGTCAATACCATGACTCAATAAAAGGAATTAAAATTCTTATTTAAATTACAGAAAAAATTACATCAGGTAAAAAGGAAGGCGCTTACCATGAACATCAGATTTTTGTTAAAAACCATGTGATCTGAAAACTCTAAAGAACAAGTTTCAAACTTGCATACTTGTCAGTATTTCAAATAAAAGTATTTGAAATACTCATTTAAATACTTTTTACGGTATTTCAAATAATATCTAAGTACTGACAACAAAAAGTATTTGATAATTGTATTTAAATATTTCAAAAAGGTACTTTATTTAAAATATGTCAACACGGAGAGAAAAATAGGATAATTTTTATATAGACACTTGGGTAAAAATTACGGTTCTCCGTATTTTTTACTCCGTAAGAATTTTTATTATACGGAACCCTAATAATTCATCAACAAGCAGCACCAAAATTATTAGTCGATGAGCAGTAAAATTATTGAATCAAAGAAAGAAAAATTCTCAAAAAAGTAATAAATTTTCTATGGACTACAATAAATTTTATTTGTATTTTTATTAAAAAATTAATATCGATTGGATTATTTTTATCGATTCCTATTAATATTTTGGTAATAATTTTATTAATTGTGGACTATTCCAGAATTAAAGTGATTAGGACGATGGAAGAGGTAAATAATTGTTACAATTTTTTTTATTCATGATAAACATAGTATTGAACATATAACTTAAAATTACATCCATGTTTTTACAATGAATTTGACATTATTCGATCCATAAACTATATTAGTTACTATCAAATTAATGAAAGTATTTAAAAATATTACTTCCCATTCATAAGTATTATCTAAAATTTCAAAACTGAAAAAGGTTTTTTATTTAAATAAAATACCTTTTCCAGTATACACTAAATCGTTTTTAAAATACAAAGTAAAATATCAATAAGGTACTTAATAAAAAATTCGCTAAACGTTGCACGTAACGCCGTAGCTTTGCCGCCACGATGCCGTTGGGGAACCAGGCGACACCCCATTGTCGTACAGCCTTGCTGATGCTGAGTCTGAAACCAGGACCCTTGAGGTAACCGGTAGAATCTCCGAAGGTAGGATGATTTCTTGTGGAACTGGAACGACCTCTTAGGTTGACACCAGGCCTATAGATCTTGCCTACCTAAGGCTGAGGAAACCGGGGGATCCATGGGGCTTAGCGGAATCTCCAAAGCAGAAATTAACGTTCTTTCGTACCACCATATATACATATATATTGGAAATCGACAGGGACTGTTACGGGGCTCAGAAGGGAACCAAGGCAACTTGGGAACCTAGGGAACCTGCAGGCCTAAGACATAAGATGACCGCCTTTACTGTCCAAACAGACCCTGTACAATGGCCCCGTGGCTAAGTGTAGGGGAAGGCGGGACATTCTAAGACACCTTCCATGAAAAAAAAAAAAAACGCAGTAGCTTATACAGAAACTGTTGAATAAATTTATCAGTATTTAAATACAATTACACTATTTGTATTTCTATCTAAATACTTTCTGCTGGTATCTTCAGCAAGTATATACTTGCTTGAAGATATCTATTTAAATTAGCTAGGCTGTATTTGTATTTATATTTCAAAGACTTTATGAATAATTGTATTTGTATTTAAATACCTTTACAAAATCCAATATTTGTATCTGTATTTAAATACTATACGGAGTAAGAGCATTTGTATTTAAATTCTTTTCAAAAGATATTTTGTACAAGTCTGCAAACTTGTTCAGTCTCTTCTCGAATTTTTTTCTTCAAAAAAAGTCATTATATTTTCTTCTCAATTAACGTTGGATAACAACTTCCTTAATCAGCAGTTGACGTATTAATTAAAAATGAATTCCTTAAGCAACTTCGGTGATAAGAATAACTTAAGAATTATCAGTTGTTGCAAGGTTCACCATAATCATTATATCATTAAAACAATAGACTTAAAATATGTACAATGTTGTTTCTAAGTTACTTTATAGTTTTATTCTGCCCTATTTGAATGTTAATATCAGATGTTTCTACGGTTTCTGTATTAATATCTAAGATTATCCAGGTGTGGATTATTTGAATAATCAACTCTGGTCTATTTTTTCGTTTATTATATTCTTATTTCGATTGAAATTGGAGAAAGATAACAAGATAAGTAATAGTACTTCCTACCATCTGTAAGAAAAAATAAAAACTAAATTAATAGTCCAGAGTTAATTGATTCTGCTTTCGTAATTACTTACTGAAAATAGTAAAGAGCCATCCAATGGAATAATTCCGTATGCAGTGAAGTTTATTTTTCGACGCAAAAGGTCATAAGAAAAATCCATCAGCTGATCCATATGAAAAAGATATTCAAATTTAAATGGTTAAGTTAATCATTTTTGTTAAGCTTAATTACCGCATTCTCCATGTCTTCAGACATTGAACATAGATTCAAGAGCCAATGAAGATTATCTGGAATAATGCTAATCTGAAAGACAGGATATTATACTCATTATTTGACAAATCATTTACCAAGCATGAGTTTGGAAATTTCAGAGTTAAAATTACCTCTCTTTTAATATTATTGACAGCAGTAATTAATGTAATGAATGCTGAAGCTATGGTGATAAACCACATAGTTTCAATAATTACGTCTTGTAAACTTGAATCTTGGACGAAAAAAAATTTATGTAATTCGTAGTACGCGGTAAATGTCATTGATAGACCGAAGGAAATAACACATAGTATCACAGGGATAGCATAAAAATAGGATAATTTATCAAAAATGTCACAAAGATGATTATACACATATTTGAAATTCACAATATGACATTCAGAATTGTCCCTCATAGGCAATTTGCTGATGAAAATATTTCGTATTTTGATATTATCTGAAATATTCCCGAAGTTCAAAATTTCCCTGTTTATCAATTTCAGTTGGTGATCAATCACCTCAAATATCAGTGCATATTGAATCAGCACCCATGTACTAGCGACTACGGAGATGCACCAAGTAAATGTACACACAATATTTTCATATGGAAGTTGTAATGCTATTAATACTGTACTGACTCCAATATTTATTACGAAAATGAATCCAATTCTTGGAGTAACTTGCCAATTATATTTGATAGAATTATTCAACATTTTTCCTACTTTAATAAGCTCTTCACTTATATAAAAGACGGTATTTTTATGTAAAATGTATAATATCCACACACAATTTATACTGTAAAATTGATATTTTGATATTGCTATATGAGCGGCTCTTATTACTATTGGCATTTTTGAAGATTTATTTAATTCCAGAATATACTGAAAAGCGTATATGTTGCTTAAATAATTAAAAACAAGAATGATTATACTGTAAGTTATTCCCCATATTGAAACACTCATAACTTCCTTTGTATCATTGCTCATTCTTCCATCTGAATTAGAGTGTGGATGAATTGCCCATGATGAGAAATTTATCTTCCATGGTAGCAATCCTAGTATTTTGAACACGAATAAATTACAATAGACGAAAAGAGTATTAAAACAAAGGTACTTGGAGAACATTTTTCAAAATTTGAATATTACATAATGGACACTAATGCTGTAACATTGTAAATTGAATTGACATTGCCAGGACTGTTACAATTATTCTAATGACTTGTGATAACATCAACAAGTCAATAAGTGGTATTCTATATACAACCTAATGTATTAAGTTTATTATCTAGCTATTGATTGTAATTATTTGTTCAATTCCTTTTATTTTTACATAATTTCCATGCTAGTATGGAAGAATTTATCTGGCTAACTGGAATTGGACAATAAAAACCACATACGTCATCATGCTTCCAAGAATCTAGAAAAGATATTTTTTTTGAATTTATTTGAGATACAATAATTTTAATATTCATCATTATTTTATTCGTATGTTTTTGGTTGATACAAACTGATGATAACAATGAACCATCCAAATTAATTACTCCATAAATACCAAAATCTGCTTTTCGATTCAAAAGTTCTTGAGAAAATCGAACCAACTGTAATATTAGATGTTCTCCAATGAATTAAAATTTTATTTTGCTCTCCCGGGAAAAAATAAAATAGATTTACTTAGATCTATCTTTTGGCACAATTAGATCTACTTTGTTCTGTATATATCTGTTTTGATCACTATAAATCTTCTGTGATCTTTGTAGATGTATTAAATTTTTTTTATCATCAAGATCAATGGAGATCTCCATAGACATACAGTAATTTTTGTAGATATACAGTGATCTCACTAGATATACATAGATTTACTTAGATCAAATTTTCTTGAGTTTTTTAAATATGAGTAGATTAAATTAGATCTAAAAAACGGCGAAAATGTGGATCTATGTAGATCTATTTTATTTCTTTCCTGGGCTTTGAATTATATTACCGCATTTTCAACTTCTCCTGATGTCGTACATGAATTCAAAACCCAATGAATATTTTCAATAGTTTGCTTCATCTGTAATAGAAATTGTTTGTTCTGTCATAAATTCTGAAAACTAAGATTTTTTCAAAGACTCATGTATTATTACCTTTCTTGAAGTATTGTTGACCATAGCAGCTAATGTCAAAAGTGGACATATTATAACGATATACCAAAGATCATCCACCATATCTCTTGTCTGTTTATTTTCAGCAAATACATTATACAACAGTATATAATAAGAACAAAATACCAAGATGGATACAAAATAAATTAAACTAAATAATATAGGTAATCCAAAAAAACTTGTGAGATTATTATTTGCATTCCATAATTCAATGTAGGCATATTTTAAGTTTATTATTTGTGATAAAACTGATTTCTGAATTGGCCATTTCGTTACTGAGAATATTTGAAATTCATATTTTTTTGAAATCTTTCCAAGCTTTAAAATTGTTCGATTAATATTTTTCAAACGTTCATTAATTAAATTTAATGACATTGAATATTGTACCAATATTAAAATACTAACGATTGTTGGTATTGTCCAGTCAACCACTGCTGAAGGGGGCCAATGCATTCCACTATTTATCAACACAAAAGTACATACTAAGAAATTTAAAATGATAATATAATAGGGATAAACATTCTTATTAAGCTCATATTCAACACAATTTGTTAATATTGTATCGACATTTCTTAATTGGATACCAAATAATATTATTATTTGTTGACGTAAAACATACATAGACCACATACAAATCACAGATATATTTTGTAAAATTACTATGCCAAGTTGGGCATATTTGACTGAATCAGAAAGAAGTATTTGATCATAGAATCCTTTTATGTTTGGAAATACAACTATATATATAATAATTTGAGTAATTATTAGAATAATATTATAAGCTGATCCCCAAAATGAAATAACAAATGGACTATCATTGATCTCTGTTCCACGTTTTTCATTCAATTCTGAAATTCTTATACTCCAAGGCATAAGGCCTACTATTGTCCAAAAATATATATTGAAATAAAGAAAGAGTTTGGTTCCCAATCCAATTGGACTTTTTGTATTATTTTTCATTGTTTTATATTCAATATTGTTTTATCATACACAAATTTGAAATGTTTATTTTATAAAAGCTTATAGATTTTAAGTAAAATGATCTTTAATTTATATAATAATATTTTAAATTTGAACAAAATTAATCATTGATTGTAAAATGTTTTGACTTCACCACTTCTTCAATTCGTAACATTTGCAATATTGTCATAAAACAGACCATTACCATAATAAAAAGCTTCTCGACAGATAATCGATTATAATCTATGACATAAATTATTTTGATTAATTTCATACAAAGTCTAGTTACTATTTTTCATTCATAATTGACTATTTTTACAATCTAATAATAGACCTGAATAATAATAATTAATTCAATCATAAAAATATAATTAATTTAATAATTATAAAACCTTGAATTTATTTAGAAAATTATGTTCCATTATTTTTTATGAAAGGAATTATTTTTTTTTTTATAAATATATTATTTTATTTATAAAAGTACAATATACCTAACTGGACAGAACAAATAAAATACTTAAAACTTTCCAGCCTTCCGTTTTAACTATCAAGAAAGATTAAGTCGCAATTGACATCAATTATGAGTCGTAGAACTTAATTTCATCTTCGTACTATACATGCTTAAAATCCATTGTATTCATTAAATTTCTAAAAAGTAGATCCATAAATATATCGAATAATATTCATTATCTCACTATTTGCTTTGTATTTGTTGCAATTATTATAAAAGATACAATCATTATCTACTTTTTAACATTAATTATTAGCTTTTACGACAGTTTTGTCTGTCGATCATGTAACACACATGATTCATCATTATTATTACCATTATCATATTTTATAATCACATAAATTATGCTTTGTCAAGATAAATATTCTTCTTCTTATTAATAACATTCGAAATTATAAAAATATATTACCAACAAATTTTAATGGTGATTTAAATAAAAAGTGCTATGATAGCTTTGATAAATTTAACAAAAATTTCTAACGAAAGAATAAAGTAATGAAAATATTACTAAGTAATGGATGTATTGATGATTAATTGTTGAAGTAGTGCTAGACCTACATGTTGACTTGATGCCTGATATACCAATGCCTCGACGTTTTAACAATTTGTGAATTCCATTTATACTGCTTTTATCTAGTCTATGCTGACGAGCTAGTAGAATAGAATAATACCGTAGTTGATTTTGCTGCTGCTGCTGTTCTTGATTATTGTTGTTATTATCATTACTATTTGCATCATGAGAAATTGATGGACAAAAAGTTAAAAGAACGTGTTGTGCCACTGCTTTTGTCACCACCACAGTACCATTGAATTGATTATAATACTTATTATTGTCAACAATACTTCCTGTAAAAAAATTATATTTGTAAACCATTTTTTTCTTTTTAAAGAAATTTTCATTTTTTTTTACCATTCTGTGGATATACTGAGACCCAGAAGCCATCGGATTTGTAGTCAGACACGGGTATGCGAAAGGTGTATTCAAGATTACCATACTCCTCAGTCCAAAGAAGTCTCAAGAAGCCTTTTTCGTCAAACTGGATATAGACTATTGGACAAATATTGATGATAACTGACATACCAATGTCTGAGATGTCTACAGATGATTTTTTGTGCTCGAGAACTTCTACCACGTACCATTTTCCTATCATCTATAATTTTTAATAATTCTTTTTTATATTCTAATCAATTAAAATAATATTCATTGATGAACATCAAATTATAAAATAATCAATAAATACGAATCCAAGGAGAATTTTCTTGAAATGTTTATGCAATTATTTAACTATGCATTTATTCGATTAGCATCTTATTATTGATTTTTACTTTCAAATGATTACTTATTTTACCATCTTAATTATTTAGAATTTTTATTCAACTTTGCATGTTGTATGTTATTCCATTAATTATTAACCAACATAAATGCTTACTTTTTCAAGGTTTAAATCCTCTTGTGGTTTAAGATCAAGTGCACAATAAGCAGCAGCTGATATAAATGAGTTATTCCAAGATCTATCAACTGAATAATTATTCGTCTGTGTGATAATCATACAAAATAACAAAGTTGCAAGCTGAATATTACTGTAATCACAATTAATCCACCACCACTTAATTGCCATTGTTTTGTGTGTGTCTATAATTTCATATCTCTATTAAACATTCGTCACAATATTTTATGTATAAACAAAAATAATCATACACTTCTCATAGATAAAATTCAAAAGAAATAATAAATTATTCCATGTTGAGTAATTTAAGTTTCATGAAAATATTATTTAATTATTATACAATAAATACAAGGAGTACAATAAGTCATTTTTGCAATATGTAGGCCATAAAAATTTCAGCGAAATCATTATTATCATTGATAAATACAATTTACAATAGTTATTATTTGAGAACAATTCCAACAATGATTATTATTGTGATCATTAAAATGATTGTTTTTTATTGTCATTAATTTTTTATTGTATTTCTAACTGCTGCAACAACACAACTACCAAGCACTCTGAATTGATAATGATACTGGATGCTGACAACTACTATACGCCGCGCCCTCCAATATAATACTGTACCATCTACGCGTAGTCAGTTGATTCTCGTACAATTTATGTACTTACACTTAATTGTCTTAATATACGTGATATAAAAAGACATGTGTTCGCATTACTATGGTATTGTATAACTGTGGCTGGACAAAAGTTTTATTCATGTGGGATGACGTGGTTATTTTCAGGATGTTTATCGAATATTGGTCTAATTATATAATCTTTGATTATATCTGCTAGCATTATTAATGCTAATCAGAACTATACTCTTTTGCAGCGTTTTTTATTTGAAGAAAGACATAATATAAAGTAAAAGTCTAATTTTGCTATAATAATATTGAATCTGTGTTTACTCCATTGAAGAAATGGTTCCCCAGCGAATTGGATTGACGTCTAGTTTTTCAAAAATTCGAGACTATAATCAATGGTTTTTTGACGTCAATATTAACATAACTTTTTTCAAAATAGATATAAAATTGATCTCAAATATAGCATCAATTTTATTTATATCAAGACTAAATAGGAGCTTAAATTTTTTTAGACTCGATTTGACGTCCAAAATAGTAAAATCGAGGGTATGTATATATCCATTATTAATCGTTTAACTTTATTTTGGTTATCCAAACTATTGATTGTTGAATATTAATTTCGGCTAATCGGATTTTTATGTGATAAAAGAATAGAGGTTCATAGCAACTCTGCTTTTACAGTTACCTGGCGATGCTTTACAGAAAAAAAATACAATTTAATCGAAATTGTGCCCCGATTTCACAATTTTCGAGGCAAAATCGGCACTAAAAAATAAAATGGTTCTCATAAAACCCCTTTGCCAATATTCAAATAGAAATAGAAAATGATGAATTCTCTTTTCGATAATTAATTTAAACGTCTGATCAGAATACCTTATTACTTGAAACAATCAAATATAAGGAATTAACCCTTTCTTTTCAAATTGGCTGTTATATAATCAGCCTGTACATAATTCAAGGTAAGTCTAAATTTTATTATTATTTCAAGTGTAATTTTTGTGACTTAACTTTTTAGCTCTTATTTAGCGCACTTCTTGCAACGTTTTTGTATCAAAAAAAAATTATTTTTTATCACACGTGTGGGGTAACTACTTGGTTACCGCACGGTAACTTAGCGATTGACTACTCTAGGCCTACGGACAATAAAACACGATAAATTTTAAATAACGCATGAGACATTGAGAATAACGCACGGATGTCTAAAATGAAAGAAAATTGTAAATATTAAATATTATTGTTGATGATAATAATTGAATTTGTTGAAAATGGCAAACTCAAATCCATCGATTAAATATACACAGGTAAAGATATTCATTGATTGATTTACTTAGTTGTGAGAAAATAAAGTGATTCAATATTTCATGTAAATTTCAATCATTTCAGTTGTTCATCAATAACGAATTCGTAGATTCAGCCAGTGGAAAAAAATTCCCAACATACAATCCTTCAAATGGAAATGTAATCACACAAGTATCAGAGGGAGATAAAGTAATTATCTCAAATATTTTATTTTTCAATGATAATAGTGATAGTGGAATACAAATATTTTACTTACACTTTTCTTGAATAAATGAGAAGAATAAAGGGATCAAGTATTCAGTGATTTACACTTAGCATCAATAATAAAATTAATTAATTGTTTTAGGCTGATGTTGATAAGGCTGTGGCTGCTGTACAATCAGCTTTTAAAAGAGGATCACCATGGCGTTTAATGGATGCCTCTCAACGTGGAGTATTAATCAATAAGGTATCAATTTCTTTGAATTGATTAGATGAGTATTGAAATTGTTAATCATTAATTTATTCTATAAAAGTTGGCTGATCTTCTGGAAAGAGATGTTGACTACATTGCTAGTTTAATATTGGTCTAATTATATAATCTTTGATTATATCTGCTAGCATCATTAATGCTAATCAAAACTATACTCTCTTGCAGCGTTTTTTATTTGGAGATCTGTAATGTATTTTTTTTCTTCGATTCTTATTTTTCTTAGAGACTATTTTATTTTTATTCTTAGTTGATCTCGCGATAATTCGAACATCTGAACAAGTTCGAAAAGTTTCCTGTGGTCCACATCCAATGGCACTGGTACCATTCATACAAGAGCCCCAGTTGTTTGCTGCTTTCCAATGCCATCGTAGAGAACAATGTTTACAAGTCAAGCCTTTTGGAAGAGTCAATTTAACATCGTGTTTTTGATGCTTAGGTCCTTTGGATTTTTTGATAATGTATTTAAATGTTCCTTGTGAAGTACGAAGAGGATGTTTTCTGAAGCATTCTTCAGTTTCGATGGCATGAGCATTTTTGAGAGGACATATAGCAAATCTAAAGAATCCATTGTGATTCACTGTTATTTTTACAGATGCTGTGAAAGATTGACCTTCAGTATACCTAATGAAAAAATAATTTATTAATAACTTATTCGTCTTTTCTATCTCATTAATAAAAAATAAATACTTGATGTTTACTTACGTTTTTACAATAACTCTTTTCCCGAATTTCCCACCATTTTCATTGGGTCGTGGCTGTTTTAACGAGTAATCATCACCACATGGACCACATTTTCCTTTATTTTTCAAATAATGTACCTAAAAATGATGTCTATTTAATTTTTGCGTTGACAAAAAATAATAACAGATACCAAACAATATTAGTTTTATTTTTGATCAACATAACACACCACCTACGTTAAATCCACCACAGTAGTTCTGATTATCATCATAATTAATTGGAGTTTTGAAACCTTTTCTCCAAGCACTGCCACGATTCACTGGATCCATTAGCATCCCGTGGCCCCAAGAATTAGTAATCAAAAAGATTAATATTAAAACAAGTGGACAGAAATATTTTATTAAAGTATCCATCTTCTTTCAGAAGTTAAAAAAAAAGTAATGTGTTTATAAAAATTTTTTAAAATTTCTTTCCGTCATTTTGATTTTTTAATCAAAGAATTATCAATGACAATTTGATAGAAGTACAATGGCTTCTATTTAATATTAATTGGAAAAGTAATCATTGGAAATAAGTAAATGGGAACTTGATTAAAACATTGCTCAACTAAGATTTCATAATTTTTTGATTCATTAATGAAGCAATATAATAAAATTCTATCAATAGAATGTAAAAGAAAAAAAATAAAATGTAAATAATTACACTAGTATTTGAAGTGATACATATTTTATTATTTAACACATATTTCCATAAATATATTCATTACATTCTTTTCATTTTAAACATAATATATTATTATCCACATAGATTTTATCTCTGTATAAATTTTCTGTACCATAAAAGTATACAGGCTATACATTTAATGAATCTTTTTGTACCAATTCCATTGTAATATCTCAATAAATACATAATATTCTCCACAAATACATAATATTTATTATTTTCATGTTCATCAATATATTCCTGCAGATTATCATGAATATTAAATACACAACTCGATATGTGACTTGATGATTTTATAGATATGCAATTGTGATTTTTTATCTAAACAATTTTCTATCTTGTTCTTTTTTCTATATATGTTCTTCCCAAACTATTTTTTTTTCTTAATTTTTGACTATAAGTATTTATATTGCAATTTTCATCAATTTCTTTACTTCTTGACAATAATTAATTAATTGTTATTATTGTCATCTGCAAAAATATATTTCAAGTAAATGACACACCCTTGTAGTGTTCCTACGAAACTGTTTTTTTCTTTTTTTATCAAAAAATTGCACAATTTTATTCATCTCCAATACTCTTGACCTGCAAGAGTGTGTTTCCTTCGTCATTTTTCTTCGATTAGTTAATTAATTGATCGATCTATTTTTTTTTCAGAAATCTAATCATTTAATTAACTCATCTACTTTTTTATTATTATGAAAACACCAAACTTATCATATTATTTGTGATTTATGGCTCACATTGAAAAGATTACTCCAAATTTTTTGATAACTGTTTTGAATATTTTTTTATTATATTTCGTTTTTTCATGGTAAAATAATCGGCAGTGCAGGTGTCACTACCGAAATAATTAATAATAATTTTGTTATTGTCTTTAAAGGGTTGAATTATGGTACATGAAAGTAATTAGAATACTTGGAATTACTTTTAAACAATTTCTGTAAGCCACCTGACACTTGATTTAATCATTCTTTTATTTAAAATTTGTTTCTAATTATGTCGATAATTTTCTAAGGTATATTTTTCTGTAATTAAGTTGTTTGATTGTTTTAAATCAAAAAATACACCAAGGCGTTTGGCAGCAACAATAGATATCATCACTTTGATAATAAATATATTTTCTATTTGTTTATATTTAATTATGATATCTTTTAAAGCCAATGTATAATCATCACAGTGATACATTACATTACATGCGAACATTTTTTTATCTTTTTTTTCTGTATTTTTTTCTACTGTAATATTCTATTTTTTTAATAATTTTTATATCAACATTAATATACTTTGATTCAACATAAAACCATCTAAATATATTTTTCAATTGATTATCTTTTTATTAACATAAAGAACATTCTTTTTATGATAGTTAATATCGAATATCAGTATATTTAATTGATTAAATATTCATATTTATTGTCTATTTAATTATTATCCTTTTTTGTTATTATTTATTGTCTACCATTGATTGTACGATGACGATTTTTGTGCGCAATGCACATAAATCACTTTAATTAAATACAAAGTTCACAATGTTATATACTATTCTCAGGTATTAAATCTTAAGTGCATCATCCAAATATTTATTTTTATATTTCAATATTGTTTATACTTAAATTTCTATTATCAAACAGTGAGTTTTCTATAAACATATGTCAATATGCTTTTAAATGTTTATTTAATTTTTGCACGACAAATTGAAACAATTTGTCGATTTTCTCTTAAATATATCCTAAAGCTGTACCAAGTTTACTCAGGCGTAAATTTTTTTTAATAGAAAATTTTTTTCGTTTCTTTTTTAACAATTTAAACAGTCAATTAGAATTTAAATTAAATTACAACGAATAATCTTACACAATACATCTTTCTTACAAATTTATTGTTTATTAGTTTCACTGTAAATTTTTCATTTAAAACATTTAAAGTGTTTTAAAATGACGTCACCCATTTGATTAACATTGTAATAACTTTTCAAACACTTCCAAGAGCATTAAATGTTATGACCATGTTAATTAAATGGGTGACGTCATTTTAAAACACTTTAAATGTTTTAAATTAAAACACTACAATTTGCAGTGTTGAAAGAAAAGTTAGTTATTTCTGCAGCATGTGAATATAAATCAGTCAAACAAAATGAATAACTACATTACAACTAATTATTATTTCTTCCAAAGCTTCAACTGAATAGACAGTAATAAATAAAAAATTATCTGCAACACTAGAATTTTTCAAAAATCATTTATTCTATTGTTCAAACTATCATATGTCATTTAATAATATTTTAATATTGATATCCTTATTATCATATATTTTGACTGTTATTAGCATTGACTTGACAGGAGTAATTACAACATTCTTTGTAGATCATATATTATAAATATTAGTATTAATTACTTTTTATTCAGTTAGTATATGACAGATGCTTCTAATTTGTGCGCAACAGTTCATTTATGTAATAATGCCTAATTGCTTATTAACAAATTCGCACGGTAAGCAACAAACTCTAATAAATAGATCATTAGTTTAAATCATCTCAATTTTTAATACTATTCTACAACTTAAAACACTTTAATAATAATTTATTAAATATTGACTATATCAAATTGACTCTGATGATTGATTAATTTAACAAGACCATAACATACATAAAATATATAGATGATTTTTTGTTAAAATAGTTTAAACAATTAAAATTAAATTGTCTAACATAATAATTTAATTTTATACTGAAAAATTTAATCAATTGCCATACAGCAATTATTTATTATTTTATATCTATTTATTAATTCTATTTCTGTTATTATTTATTATCATATTATTCAGTATGTATCATATTAATATTATTTATAAAATATATTTTGATAGTGGAATTTATTCTCATTAGGTTGTTATTTTTTTGATCGTTTCAGAAATTATAACTATGGATATTGTTAATTATTTTTATGTATATGCATAGCTGAAACAGTAATACTTTGTTCTAAGATAAGCACCACAATGATTAATTATTATTACGTTAATTATTTTTATCGATACAAGCCCGTTATTAATGGATTCTATGTTTAAATATCTCGTTACAGAGTATCTTTAGAAAGTCATAATGTTGAAATAAATTTCTATAGTATTAATTTTTTCATTATTATTAAAAATTTTTCCCAAATAATTAAAGAGCATTCCGTAATTAAAAATAATAAAATTTAATCAGGATATTTAAACATAAAACCCTATTGATTTATTACTAGCCTTAAAATTAATCTTATAATTCTAATAAAAATTCTAAATTCCCAATTTACTGATTACACTATAACTTACTTATAGATATTAATTACAGTATTGTCAATGACACTCGTTAAAATTTTTATCTAATTATATTATTATTATATTTATTGAATATTTTTTTCTTATCAACTAATTTCTTAACTCATAAATTATTGTCCATCGTGGAACGTTAATCTTAAATTATTTATTGTCTGTTCACACAGTATTGTCGGTTATTAATTAATATTTTATTATTACTTGTTGTCTGGATACTAAGGAAGACAATCATCATGATTTTTTCCATCTGCATTAGCACAAGCAGAGTAAAACCAATAAATCATAAACAAAGTTTATTAGAAACTTGATAAATAAAAAGTTTTTCTTCAATTATTCATTAAACACATGATTGATTTATCGGAATTTGTTTTAATCTGTTTTACCAACAATACCATATTAATTTTATTTATTGTCAAATACTTAACTGTAATTTAATTAACAAGATATCTAGATTCATAAAAATAAAATGTTAGACTTTATGCAATTTATGTGCATAAAATATAACATTATATGAAACATTGATTTTTTTTTGTGCGAATTAAAAAGTGCAGGTGCATTTTATATCCCTAGAATTCAGTCAACATTACTTAATATCTAAGTATAGTTGATTAATGCTGATTACGTATTTTAAGATAATGTTATATTAATATCTTTCTTCTTAAGATTAAAAAGTCATTAATTTTCAATTTAAATTCTTACCCTCAAGTATATTATGTTTTAACACAATAGTTATCATATAATTTATTTTAATTTAAATGATCTAGGAAATCCGCTTATGATAATGCAGCCAAAGACTTGGAATTATCCTCATTATTTGATAAATTAATTTCAATTTTCTCTTTTACTTGACAATTAATTCATAGACAATATCAAAATATCTACTGAATATTAATATTAAAAATTTAATAAATTCGGTTGAATAATAAATGTAGGATATTATGTTAAATTGAACATTAACGTCTTGCTCTATTAATAATAATCCTATTTATTGTGGCAGAAGCTGTGCAATCTAAGTGCAAATTGAATTTAAAAAAAAAAAACCCTAAGTCTAGCAGAAGCTCCTAAATTTATGCATGATTATTATTATTTTCATTATAATTTTAATTCTAGTTTATTTATTACCTTATATAATATATTTTTATATATACATGTACACTAAAAGGATATCTATGCCCAAGTAAAATCACGAAAGCTACATTTCTCACAAATATCAGTGAGTATTAATGAAAGAATATCTCCATAAAAAATAATTCATATTACTTTTTATCAAGTTCAAACTAAATATACTAGTTACGAATATGAAATCGAATAAAATACCTGCATTTTATAATCATATTTCACTTCCAACAAAAGCATGAATTATTTTAAACTGACAGCCCAAAAATATGTATTCATGAATATATTACAATTGCGTTTAAGAAACTTATTTAGTGAATTATTGTATAAACTCTCAAAATAACTCTTTTATTCAGTGAAATATGATTGTATGAAAATAATGTTCTTTTTTTCTTACTTCAATAAATTGAAAGAAGAATGTGCAACTTTATGGAATCTAAAAGATAAGAGACTTATTAAATATGTCGTCTGCTAGAGAAGCTTATATTCAGTCAATTCGATTGAAGAAAAACAATTCTCTGTGAAGCAGTTTAAATTCACAGAATAAATATCTAAAAAAGCGTCAATTCGATTGCATTACTGTTTTCAGCAATATTCCTCTTGTCAAAATAAGATATATTTAAAATAATAAGACTAAAGTTACTACTTTATGATTGAAAAAAAATTTCATTTATTGTACCGAAGATATTTTTTCAAAGCTTTTTTCAATTTTAAACGATCTAATTATATGTGAAATAATTTTCATCACGAAATCGATCAATTTTATAATACTCATTTATTGTCATGAATCAATGGGTATATCTGCACGAGTTCTAAAGTGTAAAAATAGACAATAGACTTCAAAATTTTTTTTTTGTAAAAATTCTTTTGACATTCGTTTTATTTATGTTTATAGATTCACTATATAAATTATCTTTCTTTTTCATTTATTTTAATTCTCATAAACGCTTGTGACGTCATAAGAATCATTAGTAATAATTACATGTTTCGAAAAGATGTCTTACATCACTTTGTGACTTTTTTTTTTATTAAAAATTCATTTATTTATAAAGTAAAAATATTTTTTTTCACGCATCAGATGCGTAAATTTCTTTATTTCTTCGATACTTTTTTTCATTACAAAAAGTATATATACGCATTATTTAAATATTTATTATTATTTATCTGTTATCAGCATTCATCATATTTTTCCATTTAATTTTATTTTTAATATGTTTCAATATTTTTTCATCCTCTTGTTGCAACAGCGCGTCAAAAACAAACTCTTAATCGTATATGAATTCAATATTCAATTAGAATACAAGTATCTATTCATAAAAACATCAAAAGTAGTCAAATTATCATGGAACCAAACACAACCGTTAACACATTGTATTGATACATCAACACAAAATCCAGTTTATTGGTTAAAAACAAATTTCAATGAAATATAAACAATATATTGTATTGTTCACTAAATAAATATATTTATCTTTAAATCCTTTTGATTTCTTTCATCTCGTAATATCTATTTGACCTACACATTTGTAGCGTATTACTTATAAAAATGAGTAATTGAGTTTTATTATCTCGTTCACAAACATGTTGTCTTGTTTTAGATAAGCTTGTATTTTTTTACTTCAAAGAAACTCAATTGATTTCTCGAAAGGGCAGTATCACTTTGTTAATATTCTATTACTAGAACATCTCTGTTAAATGCTGAATCAACTACTTTCTTAAACTGAATCAGTGAAAACTACTGCAATTCAGTGAATATTCACTGATTGCCAGTGTCAATCATATCACTAAAAGAATCAGTCATTAGATTGGCACTGGATATCAGTGAATATTCACTGATTCGCAGTAGTTTTCACTGATTTAGTTTAAGAGAGTAGTTGAACAAACGTTCAAGAGAGTATTTTGAATGATTAAAAACGTATGCAATTTAATATAAAATATAAATGGTTTATTTTTATTCCATAAATTCAATTTTTTATGTTTAAAATCAAATATAAACAAGAAATAAATTTTAATTAATTATTTTTTATCTGTTTATTCCATCAGAATACTCTCTTCTTGACATGCTTCAAAAGCGTTGTGTTTCAAACTCACCATCATTTAACTTTTATGTTCATTTTATTGTCTTCTATACCCATTTGTCTTCTTCTTTCTTCTCTTTTAGTTCAGCAGCATTATTGAAATTAGTCCGTCCTACTATCAGAATACTTCGACATTTGTGCGTAAATCCAGGGAACATATTTCGGTACATATGCATACACTCCAGGTAATTTAGGATGAGCACATTTTATACCCCAACTAACAATTCCACCAACAAACCAGCGATCCTTATCGTTCTCATCTCGACATAAAAGTGGGCCACCGGAGTCGCCCTGAAAAAAAATATCATTTTGGAGTTTATTATCTATTTTTGCATAAATTTGTTGTATTAAAAAGATAATACGAATAATATTATTATTAAAAAAGTTTCTCTAAAAAGACATGATATAAAGTAAAAGTCTAATTTTGCTATAATAATATTAAATCTGTTTTTACTCCATTGAAGAAATGATTTTATTTAGATTAATGGTCATTAAATTTACCTGACAAGCATCTTTTTTGCCTTCTGGATATCCGGCACAGATCATCCCATCGGTAACATTCAATTCTTTATGTTCAAGCCAAGCATTACAAAGTTCTCGTTTTAAAACAGGTACCTCAACTTCATTCACTGCTGGTTCATATTTTGAAGCTGTAACGAATGTTTTTAACTTAGCTAATAATATTTGATAAAGTTCATATTTTTATAATGATTATTAAAACAATTCTGATAAATCTAATTTGTTCAATTTAAATAACATATTTGAAAAATTTATAGTGATTAAATCGTTGATACTCACCATCAGTATCTTCTTTTTTCCCCCAGCCAATAACAGTACAAATAGTCCCTGGAGCCAACTCCATGCTTGCTTTTGGCAAACAAACAGGTCTCAAATGTTCATGAAAGTTAACTCGCTCTTTCAACTGGAAAAGAGCCACGTCATTGTCATGAACAACCCCCAAATTGTAACTAGGATGAGGTATGACTCTCTTCACTTTTAACTTTTCTCCAAAATAACTGTGAGAATGTCGTCTGGTGATACCCAACTGAATTGTCCAATCAGACAATATGGAATAGCTGAAACTGATTCATTAACACACTCGAATTTTTAAGAAAGTAAATTATTTATTCACACTGATTGGAAATACTTACTTCCCAACACAATGAGAAGCAGTAAGAACCCATTGATCGGAAATGAGAACTCCAGCACAATAAAAAACTTCTTCAGGACCACCAAGGAGTGCTGCCAGAAAAGGCCAATCTCCTGGGACTGATTCTACTCCACCAATTATTCGTTTTTGTACCTTTGCATTCCCGTAGTGATAACGACGTCTGCCACACTCTAGATAATTATATTTTTCTTGTTACTCTTGAAGGGAAACTATAAAAAAATAGTCTTTGACTTGAAGGATGATTATCAGAGTATCTCTTACCAAACTCAGAACACTTCAGTTCAATAGTCGCGTAGTCATCTTCATGAGTGCATGATTGTAATTCTTTTAGAAGATTTTTCTCGCTTTTCTGAGCAAGTCTCCACCGTTGAGAAGTGTCCATAAAAGGCTCACTAAGAGTGCTATTGTCATTCTTCATCAAAAGAACCGAAAAATCCACCGTCCTAGAAAAAAAAATATCTTTTTGACATTTTTTCAATTACATAAACCCATTAGAACATCATTCTTTTTAAAAATATTGATGCTCTGGAGAACATTTAAAATTCTCAAGAGAGCCAGTGAGCGGATTATTATTGTATACCTTGTACTCATCTATCATGATACGCATGAAGAACTTCCAATCGCATTATCGAAGCTTTAGGTTCATGTTGAAATTGACAGCTTTCTTGACTCGCGATTTATATACTTGATTTGGCATTTATAAGATGCGGGAAATGAAGAAGATACTTACGAGTAACCTAAGAGATTGCAAATTGCTTGGCTCAGTGTTGGCTTCCAATATGAAATGCAGGCAGGAATGTATGTTGAGTTCTGAGAGTTGAAAACTTGAAGACGTCCTTTACCAATATCTCCATTGCTTTCACTTAGTCGAACTGGAAATAACGAAACATGATAAAATGATCAAACTGCACAGCTTGATAAAAGTAAATAAAATAATTTTCTTTATCTCTTCTACACGGAAAAAATTTTCTAGGAATTTTTACTAGTCAATTTAGAGTAAATTTTACTAGCCAAAAAAATTAAAAATTAACAATTTTTTTTGGTGAAAATAGCTAAAAAACTTAGGAAAAAATACTAGTTTGGCTGGTATAAATTACCAAAAAAGTAGTAAAAAGTCCTATGCAGGCTGGTAAAAATTTATAGAATTTATTTTTTATTCAATACATCAATTAAATATAATTATACCTACATTAAAGGATTATTTCATACTTTCAGATGTTTTTACTTTACTACGCTAGAACACGTCCGAAGATCGAAGATCGGTCTACCTCATTTATATGATGGTTAATCGCGATTATTGGAAGATGAGTACAATACTTTGTTTCCCGAGTAAAAATAATCAGTTTTTGGGCACGCCTAAAGGAGACCCAATTGAAGCCCACAATTCTTTTCCAGGCCCACAACACGCCCAAATCAGGCCTAAAAATATTTTAAAAATCTAGAAAAAAATCAAAAAAATTCTCATAAAAACTTATCATCAAAGTAACTTTGATGCTACAAATTTACATTTGTAAAAATTTATTGTCATCATTGTCGAATATGATCTTAGAGAATGGGCCTGATATGGGCGTGTTTTAGGCTTGCAAAATAGTTTTGGGCTCGAATTAAGCGTGTTGTGGGCCTAGAAAATATTTTTAGGCCTGATTTGGGCGTGTTTTAGGCCTGCAAAATATTTGTGGGCTTCAATCGGGCCTGCATGGGGCTTATTTTTCATTTTGGGCGTGTTATGGGGTTCTTTTGGGCCTCCTTTTTTTACTCGGGTTATTGCACTACGGAGTCCGACGTTAAATTTTATTTGTTGACTGTTATAAATTTTTTTTTATAAATTTTTACCAGCCTGCATAGGACTTTTTACTACTTGTTTGGTAATTTATACCAGCCAAACTAGTATTTTTTCCTAAGTTTTTTAGCTATTTTTTCCAAAAAAAATTGTTAATTTTTTCCGTGTAATAATTTGCAAATAAATGAAAGTAACTTTAAATGATTTATCAATGACTATTGTTTAGATATTAATTATTTAAATAAATTGCGCGCGTTGACAGACAGCGCAAAACACACTTACAGACAAATAGTTGTATCTCAGTGACAAATTGATCAACTGATGTGAACTTTTTCTTAAATTAAAAACAAATATTCTAAGTTAAAAAAGTGTATATAAAATTTTACTTTTGCTCAATACCTTGAAGAAACCTATTTATTAAAAAATTAATGTTTCTTTTTCTATCAAAATTTCTATTGAATAAAATCAAAAAATCTTACGGCAATTTCGCTCGTCTTGACCCCAAGGACAATCCATGACTCCGTCACATACATGAATAGTTGACATACATCTTCTTTCTCCACAATGAAGTGTTGGCTTGTCAATAACATCTTGAATGCTTAAGTTTTTGCTTTTAGCGTTAATGGAAGATAGTTGGGATGTGGAAGTCAACGCGCAATCCCCGCATCCAATCTCGTCAGTTTGATCGGCGCAATCCACGTGCCCGTCGCACTTCCAATCGACCGGAATGCATCTGGTGCTGTCGCATTGAAAGCCACTGATGCAAACTGCGAACGAGAAAATCAAATAGAGATTCACTAGAACTATGAAAATTATATTCATTCATTCGTAATAAAGATAAGCCACATGTGTGTTCAATGTGTAGGGAATATTTGTAATATTCAGCGAAAAACAATACAGATCCTATTTTACATCAATTAACTGCCTTTATTAATATTCAGGCTGTCATCAATATTTTATTTTTAGTGATGTCTATCAATTATTCTGGTTGAAATGAAAATATTTTTTCTAAAATTTTAAAGAATTATTTCATAATAGATATACTTTTTTTTATTGAGAATTTTTTGTAATAACGTCAAGTATTATTTCCAGTGAATATGATTCAAGTGTTGATTAATATTCAACATATTGAAAAGAATGTAAATTTTTTATCAATTTATTTTCATAAGATAATTAATCCAATTCACTGATTCTTTGTGAAGATAATCTTTGTTCAGATAATTCATTTTTTCATCTGCTTTTAATTAATCCTTAAATAAAAAATGTTATAATATCAAAATTTTAATTAAATAAGTATAAAAATTTTTTCCAATGTAAAATTAATTACACCTTGTCTTGCATTTTCCGTTTCATGTCTGTGGTTATTTCAGTTTAATCTATTTTTCAATTTTATTTTCACCGAAACGTAATTTATTGAATTCTGTAGTAATACTAATAAAATATCTTTCGTACGTAAAAATTGTTATAAAATTGATAATCATTACATATTCACATTCCTTATCTTACTTGTGCTTTCACTAATACTAATATGATGAAATATTTTTTTTCTCTATTTTAGATTGCATGGAGGAGAATATTGAAGTCTTGACAATCGTCTGAATGCAATAAAGCTTGTGATATTCAATTAATGAAGAAAATATAATATCATTTCTCGTAATGATAGCAATGACAATTTAATCTCTTTATGAATTTTAATGGAAAAAAAGCAATCATTAATAGAAGTGTTAATTTACAAAGCTTCTCACATTTATAAAAAATAATTTAATCGTTGCTAATTTTATTACACTTTAATTTACTGATCATCTTTAATAATATATTTTGTTTTTAATGTTATCAATAAAATAATTTTTAAACATGATAGAAGATTAGCAGACACCACTTGATAAATTTATTCAAAAATTGTTGCTCTGTATTGTTATTGTAATGCAAACTCAATGATATCTATATTCCCGCATAATTATATTGTTTACTGATTATTATAAAATTATTTATTATTTTAAATGAATAATCAGACTAATAATAAATGAAAATTGATTCTAAAATTCTTAAGATTTTCAATCTTTCCATTGAAAATTCGTAAGACAACAGAGACGTGAGATAAATGCTGCCAAATATGGTTTTAGGCGTGAAAGAATTTCCTTGGCTCTCACGTTTCAGTTCGAGTTGTGATTATTGTGATGAAAAATACTATATATAAATATACCACTCATGTGGAATTGCCAATTCACTCATCAATCTTCTCCAAAGGTATTTTACAAAAAAAATAAATTCCAATATTTATTTCAGTGATTGATTTTCTCATTGAGAAAATTTTTTTTTTTTTAATTTTTATTCAATTTATTTATTTACACTGAATTTTTTGCTCTTTTTGCTTTCAGAAATAAATTGTCGAGATGTCAACAACTCGAAAAATCATTCATCTATTTTTTCTGTGCTGTTTTTTCATTCCTTTGAGTTATACTACTGGCAATCCACTGGACTTTTTTAACAAATTTTTATGCAGTGAACAAGAAGTGATGTATCGTCAATGTCAGTTTATATGTGCTGTCGGTACATATTGGATTAACGGCGAGTGTCGACCACGATGTCCATCTGGTAAAGTATGGAGGAATGGTCAATGCCATTCAATATGTCCAATTGGTTACGAATGGATCGATCGTGCCTGTCGAAAAGTTTATTGTCTTCCCGGTAAAATATGGTCAAATGGCGCCTGCAGACATACATGCCTTTCCGGCTCATATTGGAGCAATGGGAAATGCCAACAGTGTAACACTCGACTTGTTCAGCATCTCATTACTGAATGTTATCAAACAATATAAGTCGTTTATCAAATTTGTTGTTACGTAATATCCAGCTATCAAAATAGATGTGATGGAATATCAGTTTGTAGGTGAAACCAAATATTATATTAACAAAAACAATGGAATAATTGGATTAAATACATTATTTATCAATTTGCTATTCAAACCGCTAATAATTCACTATGAAAAAAAACTAACTGTATAATTTTAATTATAATAATAATAATAATAATAATAATATATAATTGATATATGTAATAATAAATAATTAATATATATTGTAAAATATGTGAATATTGCCGTCTATGAATCATTTGACTAACGACAGTTTGTTAGTGACGACGATTGCTTGACGATTAAATTGTTTATAGCAACGAGGGGAGAGTTCGTTTATCTCCAGTTTCTGACTGAGACTTGAACTGACCGGACATTTTCCTTATCTTTGAGATATTGCCATTGATTTAATAAACAATTTCATTCTTTTATAATATTTCTTGAAGTTATTATTTCGTTATATTTTACAATATAATATATAATTCCATCACATTTTAGTTATTATAATAATTAAAATGCGTTTTAGTCTCTGAATTAAATAATAAAAGTGAATGGGTCGATTAAAAAAAAAAATTCTGGATAATGATATCTTACCTGGGTTAGCAGCACGATTTGCTGCTTCAATTACTTCATGATGGCCTACACAGACATCTGAATCAGCGGTTTCAGGGAAATTTTCGCAAGAAAGAAAATCAGGAAGTTTTAAACTAAAAACTGTCAGAAAAAATCCACATCTTCTTGTCATTTCTGTAATCAATTTAATCAACACATTTTTATTATTTATGTAATAATAAATTTAAAATAAATTAATAAAATATAAAAATAAGTTTACTATGTTATTGATTTTATTGAATACCAAATATTCTGAAATGTTTTCAAATAAATCTAAAGATGTTTACCATAGCACAAACTTCGACAAGGATGAACCACTTGACCTCTGGAACCACATTTTGGAACGAAAACATTGCAAAGAAATAAAGCTGCAAGTTCGTAACATCTGACGTCTACAACTGCCTCATAATTTTCAAGCTCATGTTGTGCGTCACGTTGCCGAAAGTTGCCCATGTAGTTTGGAAATACGGTAAAATTATATGGAACCTAAAATCAATCATTTCAATTTATTGATTATTGAATACAATCTATTTTTACCTATAATTATCTTTAAAAAATATTTCGTAAATCTGCTAATTATAACTATAATTAATTTCAACGATTGATTGCTTTATTGATCATTGAAATCTATAAGAAAATTATGTTGTCCTAATTTCCCTTGCATTGCACTTCTAGGTAAATCCCTAATATCACAAGATTAGTTAATATAAAATCATCTAGATAATTATTTGTTAAAATGATGAAATTCTAGCAATAGACGATGGCTATGACGTTGTATATCAAAATTCAACTAATGGCAAATCAAAGGAATCATTGAAACCTGTATCTTTATACAAATATTATCAATTCCTCTGATTTGGATTAATTATGTCCAATTGCCTGGTACGGATTTCAGCTGGACAGATAGTGAAACGAGAAATACATTCATCGAGGCTTTGAATTAAGTTGTGGTTCTAGAATTTCTACCCCTTCAATAATACCAAAGACAATTTAATTTAATGCTAATATCAAATTGTTCAATGATCTTTAATACTAAAGAATATTTAAAAAACATTTATTTTGTTTTCTTTATTTCGTTAAATGATATTTCATGATACGTTTTTTCAAGTTATTTTATCTTCATGTAATTTTTTCATTCATTTCTAGACATGTCACACATTATGAATATAAAATAACGTCTCAGGAAAAATGCGAAATCTGGTACGTGCTGAAATATCTCAACGTGTGCCAGCAATGTTCAAAAAGACTAACAAAGATAAAAAAAAAAGAAATGAAAAAAAAAACTTCATTATTCCTAGAATTCCGACAGAAAGTAATATCAACTCTAAAATTTATTCCGTGGCTTTTTTTACGAGTTTTATAAGACATTTATCTCTTTAAAGAATATAGTAGCTCATATATACAGTAAAAAAGTCATAATATACATTTTATAAAATTACTTTGAGTTATTTAAACAACAAATAAATTACAAAAGATTTTTTAACAATTGCTCAAAAGAGTTTATATTATTATAAGCAAAATAAAAGATAAATGTTGATAAAAGTAATTAGTTGGCTAATGGATTTTTAATTAACGTTAATTAATATTATCAAGCCATGGAGTAAATTACTAAAATATATTTAATTGATGAATTTAATAGAGTAAAATTTAATGAATATTTTACATCATTATCTTTTTTATTACATAAAGATTAAATGTAAAATATAATACACAAATTATGATAGCGTTGTAAAAATTTTTTACTGCATTTTACAGTATATTAAGAGTTGATTAATATGATAAAACTCTTATTCAATATTGAAGAGATAATTTTATTTATTTAAATTTAATAAACTGATTTATTTTCTAAAATTTTTGATATTACTTAACGTTTGTCTTGAACGATACTGATTATTTATGTTTATTTTTATTAAAAAAGTTCATAAAAATTTATTGAATTACCTGATGAGTGAGACAGAAACTGACTATTACAGGTAGACAAACTCCTGGAGCAGGATTTTTGGATTCTGATAAATATGGTGACCATGGTACAGTAACAGCAATTGGTTTTTCAGTAGTTAAATTATTTGACTTTACGTTAGCTATTTCTGGATTGGCTGAAAATTTTATCATATATTTTTTTTTATATACCTTCTGAATGTAAATGCCAATTTTCGAAATGGACCTTTTCATGGGGAAATTACTTACTTTTAAAGTAGAATAAAAAGCCTGCAGTAATGGCAAGAAGTGCTAGAGCGTTGACAAGTACTTGAACAAATCTGAATCGAAATCTCTCGCCAAATACATAATGACCGCTCGGTCTCCTCATGTCTCGAATGATCTTCAACAAAAAAAAAATTAGGTCAAGAAATGGTTCATCAAACAATAACTATTTGAAAATGACATCTTCATCTTAATATATCAACTTATATCTATGGAATGATTCTTATTTTGTGCTAATTGGGTATCTTTCATTAAATTAATTAATCTAATTCTAACAGCATTGGTGATATGTCAATGAATAGAAGATTTTCACACATATTAACATTTGAAAAAATGAAGATTTAACCTAAGTACTATGCTTTCTGAGTACCAACTAATAGTTATTTATCTATTCATTGATGATTTATAAACTTCAATTTCAAGGTTTTTCGAAAGGTGGCCACGCAGCGAATTTTTGATACTTTTTTAAAAAATAGAAATGTTGCGCAGGTATTTCAAATGTGATTGCTACCTTCAAAACCTTCAGAGAGCCGTAAAAAACAATACAAATTGGAGGATTGGGTAATTTAATTGCTCCTTTCGGAGTTATTAATTACCTAAGCATTCCTCACTGTGACACAATATTTTTAGTTTTTCTACTGATAATTGATCGTTTAAATTTTATGATAAAGATTACACAATACGTAATAAGATAAACTTCATAAAAAATATGAATTTTTTAGCTCTTTATTGGTAAATGCCTGGAGGCTTATAAAAAAAATTGTTTTTACATTTTATGCTTATTTTAATTTGCGTCACTTATTTTATGAATGAATAAAAAATTATAATAATTATCAATGAATTATTTTATGAATGAATAAATAATAATAAAATATTCAAATAAGATATTTTTGAATATTCAAAACAGAAACCTTTTGATGTTACTTTCTCGTAAAAAAGATTCATGAGACTGTGTCAAGATAATTAATGTCATTTTTATAATAATAAATTTATGATTAAAATCCATGTCTATCAATTTAAAATCCCCGAAAATGATTTCAGGAACCCAATTGTCCATCAAGTCACTTGGGAAATGTAAGTGAATTTGCCAGAGTGGTAAAAGGCAAGCCTAAGGTTTCCTTAGTTAATTGAATCTTCAGAGAGAGATGTTTTAACGTTGACTAAATGACTAAGGAGTCTAGACGGTGTTCACAGGCACAATTAATATACGTCCCATAAAATAGCTTACCCTGTGATGTAACGACATGTTGCTGCCACTGTGAAACCTGACAATCGTTTGAAGACTTGCTGGTGTACTCATTGACTTCGTTATTGGACTTCCTGGAGAATTTTCTTTTTCTGAGATCTTTCCTACAATTTATAAATAAAATTTATCATCAAACCGTTAGAGTTACTTTCAAACTTAAATCACTCTATTCCGAAACTTTAAACTCTAAGAGCAAAAAAACTTTTATAATTTTTCAAATTCACTTATCTATGCTTTCTCGACTCATCAAAAAAATAAATGTTCTTTTTTTCATGAAAATCTTTGCTATTGATTTCAAAGAATTTATTATAGTTTAAAAATTTATTTTTATAATAACAAATAATATTAATACTATTTCCTGTCTTGTACTTAATACATTGAGAGCTAGAAAATAATTTCTTATTGTATAAAATAAATTCATTTTATGTTTAATAACTGTTGTGAAAATGAAATGTCAAGTTTCTATTATAGATGATAAACTAAATTTAATATACACGTAATGAGTCTAATAATTATACCGCTATGATCATATATCTATCATTTATTATGCAGTTTAACGTAAAGAGCAGACTTCAGCAAGAAATGTTGTATAAGTAATTATGTGTGGGAAAATTGTAGTATAGAATGATATAGAATCCATCGTGTGTAATGAAATTTATCCTCGATAATTTGAGCTAAAATTGTTACAACGAATGACTAAAAATAGGATAATTGAAATTATCCTCTCATTATTTCTACTCAAAGAACAGCTTTTGAAGCTGTCTAAAAAATTTTTTACATTTTCGTAAAATAATTAAAAATTACCTGGAATTTTACTAAAAATGTGTTTATGAGGTAAAAGAGGTGCTTCCATGGTTTTGCTGGTATAGCTGGGTGAACTAGTCTGACTAAAACTGTCTGACGATACATTACTGTCTTGTCTGACACTGGCTGGTTTGTTGGATACAGGATTTTGGCAAATAGAGCTCAAAGGCGGTGGTAAATTCGTTTGCGTTGCTTTAGGCAGCTTCTCTAATCTCTCTACCACCACACGGTCCTTTCTTAAGTTATTCTGTAACATATTTCTCGCTTTCTCCATGTCTAAGTTGTACTTTCCTCTTGTTTGCTGCTGAAGTTCCCTCTCACCTTGAAGATGTTTTTCTAGATTTCGGGATGCTGCGAGCAGTGCTTTAAACTTGGATCTTTTCTCGGCATCATGATGAGCTTCTTGATCGTGCTCAAATTTAGCTTGCAGTCTGTAATCAGTTTCAGAAACTTGAGAAATGTGTAGGATTTTAATGTAAAGTCTTGCTTTACAGTTTCTCAAAGTTTTTAAGTAATTCAACAAGTAATTAATTTTTTAACAAATATATGCAATTTTGAAAATCTCTTAGCAGATAGAAATATTGTCATAGTTTCAGGATTACTTTTCAATTTTATTAAAATAAAAATCGTTTTAAATAGAGAACTATTCATTGTTCATTAGAAGTTGATAAATAGTTTAAATAATATACAATGAACGTGATCATTATCCTCTAGGTTTACTAATTGAATTCTTTATCATGAATTATACATTCAAATTTTTAAGGTGAATGAATATATCTCTATTATTTTTTTAGGTATTACTTTATCACATAGTTATAATTGTTAGCTTGTAGGAAAAGTTAATTCGTCTTGTTAAAAAGTTGGTATTGCTGATGATCATGATACAAAAGCAAAGAAAATAATCACAAACAAGAAAAAAGTACACTCCATGTTTCATGAAATTAAACAAGATATTCAAGGCAACACCTGGAAAGTTTTCACTAAATTTATGAGCGACCTTAATTCTAGGCTATTGAAAACTTTGAATACCTGGCAAAACTTTAAAGTTATGAAATATAGCAAATCTTTTACTTTAATGTGCCTTATTGTTAAGATATGATCGAGTTAAGTTTATACAATTTATTGATACACATAAAGAACAAAATTTCATTGCTACAATAGACTAGAGACTGGATTTGATAATAATAATCACAATTATTATTAGCTCTGTAGTAAAGCTATCCTAAAATAGTTCAAAAAGGGTCACAAAAATTCTCATTATTACATAACTTCATAAGTATACTTCTATTGTATTGACCTAGTAATTGTCTAGCCCTGAGACTTTGGATTTTTTAGAAACTTCTTAGGTATCATTACTCTCTTAAACTGAATCAGTGAATACTACTGCGAATCAGTGAATATTTACTGATTGCCAGTGTCAATCATATCACTAAAAGAATCAGTCATTGGATTGGCACTGGATATCAGTGAATATTCACTGATTCGCAGTAGTTTTCACTGATTTAGTTTAAGAGAGTAGGTTTGTACATTCAAAACTATACTTACAAAGATAAGTTATAAAAATTTGTGATCCTATTTGGGTCTTTTTGCTTATCTCTAATTAAGTATGCTTTTTATCTATCTGAGAATTAAAATGAGCAAATAACTAAAGAAAATAAATGACAATTTATTTATAGAGTGAATTAAAATTTGTATAAAAATGATGAAAAATTATAGAGAGTATCCTTTGTTGATAGCAGATTATAATTATTAATATCAATTTATCTTCTATATTTATAGAATTTGAAATTTTTACCTCGATTGTGGATTAAATCGATCTCTTTGTCTTTGACCCTCTTGTGATCCGACAACCCGGCCAATCTCCACACCTCTGATAATCTCCTCCTGAAGCCTCTTATCGAAATTACGAGCGGCTTTCTGGAGCTCTTCAAAGCTTGACTTGAAAGATCCCTCAGTAGTCTTTCCAAAATCCCCACCATTCTCCCCATAATTTGACACATCAAAATCACACCCATCAGCATTTTCTACAAGGTTCTTGCTTGCCTTGAAATTACATTCAATACTTCTTGTTGATTCAAGGTCAATGAGTTTTTCATTGTCGTTGATTTCTTGTCTCCATATTGTTTGATTGGATTCAGAAGATTGATTCTTTATGTTATCATCTAAGCTAAGTTTTCTTTCATCACGTCGGCAATAATCTCCAGTGAGGAAAATCGGCTTTTCATTTCTCTTTCGTATAGGAATTGGTGGAGGTGCTCTCTGAAAAAAAACATATTAAAAGGTTTTTAGTAAACTTATTGAAGATTATTTTCTTATATTTGATAAATGGTTTTTTATCACTAAATTACTTAGAAGATTATTTTTTCTAAGAGAAACCTCGAATAAATATTATTATCGAATTTTTAATAATGATATTTTAGGAATCGTTAGGAATTCTAAAGATTTTAATGAATTGTATTTGTGTTATATTCCAATTTACCCCAAAGTATTTTAAAGCTTGTATATTTTAAGAGAGATATTTATGGATAATAAAAAACCCCAAAAATCCATTTTTTGTCAAACTCAATAATTTTTAGAACTTGGAAACTCACTGGTGCATGTTTATGAAAGTGTTAAACAATTTTTTATCCATAAAAACTAGAAATAAAGTCTTTAATTTGAAGTTTTTATAACGTCCGAAATACCAAACGAATAAAAATTGTTTACAAATCATTCTCCATTTTGAAATGCTCTCTTTCCGTGATAATAAATCTAAAAAAAAAAACTGTACTCGTATTTTTATTTTCTAATTTCATTAGGAACATTATTATTATTATTATCGCCGTCCATTGATTAATCAATTAATTGCAATAGTTGGACAGAGCTGATATTTTAGCATATTCTAAATATTTTTCTTTGCAAACTTTCTCACATAAAATCAAAGTAAACTTTAGTATGCATAAGCCTTGTTCGATCCTTTGGTGAATGTTGGTGTGTGATTCAGTGTATTGTGATAGAGTGTTGGTGTATATTTGATTGCAGTGTTGAGGAGAAATACGAGAGATCCTGACACTTTCAATTTAAATTGTAGGGCTGTAAAAATAAAAAAATCAGTTGAATTTTTTTATACTTTTCATTTCATCATTACTTTACAGTGACTTTTTCTTCCTATTCGTTAGGATTCTCCTACATTTCTTTTTTTATCAAACAAATTAGACAATAAAACATAGAAATGATTAAAATTATTAACTTAAATCTTATGTTAAAACCCGAGTAAAAAAAAGGAGGCCCAGAAGAAGCCCAATCTTGACTTAAAGAAATTTTCAGTGCCCAAAACAAGCCCATTACAGGCCTAAATTTTGAAGGAGCCCAATTGAAGCCCAATAATATTTCCTAGGCCCACAACACGCTCAATTCGAGCCCAAAAATATTTTGCAGGCCTAAAACACACCCAAATCAGGCCTAGACTATTTTCTAGGCCTAAAACGCGCCCAATTCAAGCCCATTTTCTAAGATCATATTCGACAATGATGACAATAAATTATTACAAATGTAAATTTGTAGCACCGAAAGTTAAGTTGATGATAAGTTTTTGTGACAATTTTTTTTTCTTTTCTAGATTTTAAACATATTTTTGGGCTGGGATTGGGCGCGTTTTAAGCCTGATTTGGGCGTGTTTTAGGCCTCGAGAATATTTTTGGGCTTCAATTAGGCGTGTTTTAGGCCTGGAAAAGAATTGTGAACTTGAATTGGGCGCGTTAAGAGCCTGAAAAATCATTTAGGCTCGAATTGGGTCTCCTTTGGGCGCGCCCAAAAACTGATGATTTTTACTCGGGAAATAATGAAAAACTGCAAGTAATTAAATAATGCAATTGAACAATACTATTAGGAAGTTTTATTTCAAAGAATTATTTTTTTAAATCAATAAAAATATATCTCAACTGTTCAATGCATTTGTCAGGTCAAAGATGTAATAAGGATAAAAATAAAAAACAAAAGGGAACAAATAACTTCTTTTATCGAAGTGTACAAGGGAAAAATAGCAAAATGACTAGAAAGTATTGGAATAACACGATTATTAAATATTCGGGTCACTAGAAACTGAAACGATGTGAGATCTAACATCAAATATAAAGTTTTTCAAATAAAAAAAAAAATGTGTAGTTAAAGAGAAAAAGTCAGAATAAAACGAGACCAAAAAGAACAGTTTATAAAAAAAAAGACTGTATATGAAACCATTGCTAAACTATTTCGTTGTGCTTTATTGGATAGTGCCAACGTACTGCTGGAGTTTCAGAATGACGACGTGGTAATGGTGGTTGACGTTGATTTCCGTTGACCAGTAGCATAGAACCACATGCCGGAAGTGCCACACTGTTAGTCCGAATTTGTCTGAAAAATTCAAAGAAAGAAATTAAGAAACAGAATTAATTTTTATTTGTTTTGTTACCTAGTTTTTTTCTTTACTTTTTATTCTTTTAATTCTATTAGATCATTGTCGCAATAATTTAACTCACTCAATCACTTCATTAATAAAGATAAGAATGAAACTAGTTAATTACTATTTTAAATTCATTTTCATTTATTCAATGAACACAATTTTTTTTAGTAAATAAAAATTTAAAAAAAAGTGTAATATTTTTTAATCTACAGTTTCTGTACAACTTCTCTTTACTCCAAGAATATTTTGAATTTCATGTAAATCCATAATATTAATAGAAATTCGATGAAATTTATTTCACAGTCCATTCAATCAGCAAACAGATTATTTCCTATCAAGTATAATTGATTTTGTTCATTAAATGTAATTATTAGTAATATATTACATCAGCTATTATTACTAAAGCTGAAGTTATTAACTAATAATCCACGTACCAATAAATCTAGATATAATTGAAGCAGTAATTGTTTAATTTGGGGTGTTCAATAATTACTATTTTTTTTTTTTAAGCACAACAAAATGGAATTCATTTAAATGTATATAGACAGTACCAACAAAAGTAATTACTCTTGAATAATTATTCAATCTGCATATTAAATGGCATGAGAACGGTCTAAACAATTATTTAGAATTGCTAACTGTGTTTCAAATACTTCTCGACTAAAGCTTTCCAGCAATCAAGGATTATTAAAGTAAGATAGTTCGCTAGGTGAAGGGTAAATTCATACAAAAGAGGTTTTTTATTTAAGATAAATAAATTATAAAATAATTTATCGTTTTTTTTTTATAAACTATGTTTTCCTCCTATAAATGTAAAAATTAAAAACAATTTTTTTTAAATACAATATTTATAACTAACTCATGTTTTACATCATCAATAATTAAAATGAACAACAATAAAAAAATTAAATCTAATGGATCATTATTAAGCGATTATTAATAATATCTACTGAGATGTGCTTGCATACTAAAATTAATAATTCATTAGATAATAATGTATGTAACAATTAAAATAAACTTTATTATGTTAAAAATAAAATAGATATTGATTGTTCTCACCTCGGTTGGCAGATTGAATTTAAATCATCTTCTCTACCCTCCACTCTCGACATTTCGTTAACTGCAATTGAAAAATGAATGTAATCATGTTTATTATTATCTAAAAATGTACTTGTTCTGTGTTAATTAGAATCTGAATACGCAGTTTGAAGAAAATAATAAAAATTTTTTAATGACTCAGATTTTGGTCACCACTGGCGCTAGTTTCCGATCTCGCGAAGGCACGCATCGATAATCGATTCTAACGTCCAATCAGAATATTTTGTTGCTTGAAACAATCGATTGTCGGAAATTGACTCTTTCTTCTCGAATCGGCCGTTACAAAATTCATCAGGTAATTCTAAATCTTAATATTAATATCAAGTTTAATTTTAAATTCTAACTCGATACTTTTTTGAAAGCATACAAAATGAATGCCATTACTTATTTGAACATTCTACAAAAGCAACGCCATACATTTATTCAAGATCTTCGAGATAAATTAGAAAGAAAACCGAGTGCAGTAGGAAACATGGAATTAAGTTCTCTCAAGACGATACTTGATGAATTAGAAAGTCAGAAAAGAAGATTTGAGGAGACACATGAAAAAATCCTTTTTTCATGTGAAAACGGAGTGCTTTATTTTTATGAATTTGCTGCTGATTATAAATACCTAGAGCTTGTTGATAACTTTATTTCTGCGAAAACTAAGTTATGTGAACTCATTCATATAAGTAGTGTTGCATGCAACAAGTTAAAAACGATTTAAGATAAGGTTAATAATAATACAAATGACATTTTATTATATAATAACAATTCCTTCAACTTTTTATTCAATCTATTTATTGTCTAATATTTGTTTGATTTATCATCAATGAATATCAACAATTCAAATTAATAAGAATTTTTAAAATTTATTTTTCTAAAGTAAAAATGTATCAGTAGTAATTTGATTTTTAAATGTAGTCCATTTAGTTTAATGTATTATTTTGGTTATTAAAATGATCATTTTAATAATATGTCTATCGAGGTTTACGAATCACAATAATCATTGTGATATTCAAATTAATAATAAATAAAATAAAAAACAATTAATTAAAAATTTGCTTTTTTATTTTAAAATTCTAAAAAAAAATGCTTGCCATAAAATCCCTTTACCAATATTCAAACAGAAAAGGGAAATGATTACATTTTTCATTGACTTTGAATGACTCATTGAATCAATTCTGACGTCTAATTAGAATATTTTATTACTTAAAACAATTGATTATTAGAAATTGACTCTTCTCGAGTCAACTGCTTTAGAATCAACTGTACAAGTTAAGGTAAGTCTGAATCTTATTATCATTTTAAGTAAAATTTCAATGATTTTAAATTCTAATTCGATATGCATACGAAATGGATTCAATATCTGATTTGGAAAAACTACAACAAGACCATTATAAATTCATTCAAGATCTTTGTGCGGATTTGAAAACGAATCGACATGCATTCGAAACTATGGAATTGGAGATGTACAAATCGAAACTTAGCAAACTCGACGAACATAAAAGAGATTTTGAGTTCATTCATGAGAAGATACTTTCTACATCTCAAGATGATCTTTGTTATCATTACAAATTCTATGAAAGTTCCAAATATTTAGATGTTGTTTATAAATTCATCGATGCACGGTTCTTATTACTCGATTTCATTTATTTAAAAACAGAGTGTTAAAAGAATAGGATACAATTTTAGATAAGATTCATCATAATACGAATAGCATTTTATAGAATGATAATAATTCTTTAAACTTTTCATTCAATCTATTTTTTTCCTATTATTTGTTTGATTTATCATCATCAATCAGGATCAACAGTTAAAATGAATGATTATTTTCAAAATTTAAAGTAAATTGATTTTTAAATATATGCTATCAAGTTTAAAGTTCAATATTTTCTGTTAAAATTTATAAAAATTTCTTTTTCACAATGGAAGTTTAACTGAAACCAAAGCTAATTGTGTTTATTAATGATATAAGATGGCTGTTCATAGAAATTGTGTTTCTTGAAATAAATCAACGGATAAGGGAATGATACACTCCAGCTACTAGAAATATATATTACACATTTGAGTAGAGTTATAAACTTTGTAATCATCATGAATGCACTTTGATACTCATCTCGTGCCTATTTGGTCATAGGAATTCCAATTACACCAACCTATTACATGCACTGAAATGAATATCTACCACGAGTTGAATGAAATGATGTTTTATGAGATGGTAACATTTGTCACTATTTGATTACTTTTTATTTGTCATTATTTATTTGATTTATCATCAATTAATATTAACAATTTCAATTAATAATAATCTGAAAATTCATTTTTAAGAAATAAAAATGTGTTAAGAGTAATTTGATTTATAAAATGTATTTCATCAAGGTTGAAATTTAATAATATTTGTTATAATTAATTTAAATAACTATTAATTAATTATTTCGAATGTTATTTTTGATAATTTGAGGTCAAATACTTAGTAATAATCAGTATTTATTCAAATAGAAAAGGAAAATAATCAACATTTCCAATAACTTTGATGATGATCAATGAAGGCGGTGTTCGATCTCGTAAACGTATTTATCGATCTCTTGATCCTGATACTTAAATGGGGGAAATAGTATATATTGATTAGTGACACTAGATCTGCCCCTTTGAATTGGCTGTCAGTGTGATCTACATGTAAGTTGAAGTAAATCTAAGTTTTATTATAAACTTTGAGTGTAACATTTGTGATTCATAGTTTTAATGTAATATTCTATTGATAATTAAAGGATGGAGGACGTTTTTCGACAACAACTCCAGCGTCATAAATACATCATGAAGCTGCGTAATGAATTGGAGAACGAAAAGATCGACTACCGTAAGGAGAAATTGAAGGCAATTAAGTCGAAACTCGGCAAAATAAGAGCTAACTTCGAACGTGTTCATAAAATGATACGTGAAGAAGAGCCAATTGAATTTCTTCAGTATAAATATGAGGAGGTTGTCGAGCTTGGAGCATTTTTCGAAGACTATCTTGGTGCTCTACGCAAGCTCATTATACTGATGGAAGCTAAGGAACTCAACACTGGTTGCATCTAGGCTCTCAATAGCCCAAAGGAAGAAACACTCATTTACAACGATGTCATGAATTTCTCATACAAGTTCAGTGAAATAACATTTTACAATATGATAATAATTGCTGCTATTTGATTACTTTTCATTCAAACTGTACATTTTTATTATTTAGTTGAATTTGAATTATCATCATTTATCTATCGATTAATTATCAATTAACCAATAGATTAAAGGACTATAATTACTAAATCTTACTCTAATCGATAAAAATGTATCAGCAATCATTTTGTCTGTTCCAAAAATGTGCTCTGTTAAATTCAAAATTCTATATCGTTGATTAAATTGAGTATCAAATAAAGAAAATTTCAGAAAATGTAAATTCACTGGTGTTTTTAATATTTTTATAAACATTTCAATTATAATATTCGTTATAAAACTCTTCTATCAGTATTTGAAATTCGATAAATCTTTCACAATCCTGGATATTATCAAAAGAAACGTCTTGGTGATTTTATCTAACAGGTTTTATTTTTCTTCAAATACTTTTTTTCTTTTGAAACTGACCTCTACTTTTGTTATTTATGAGATAAATAATTCCTTTTGTAATTATTTTAGCACTGAAAAAACTGATAGTCTATAACTATTGTGACGTAGATGTGATGATAAAATAAATGAAAGAGAGGAAAGAAAATTGAAAACTAGAAAAAACAAAAAAAAAAGATCATTGAAAAGGTTCAAATTAAAAAGAAAATATTATTCGATTTCTCTACACGATCTGTCGATAAATCAAAAATAGTCATTAATAAGTGTATAAATCAACAAAAAATGGGATATTTTTTTTATTTATTATTAAGACTTTTTATTACTATTGCTATGACTCTATAAATTCGTCCTCAGGTGATTTTGTGATAGCGAATATTATTTTTATGTCACATAAAGAAAAAGAAGGATTAGAGAGATACAATAATCGATTTTCGGATAAAATACATTTGAAAAGATATAATGACAAGTCTAAGATATTGACAGCTGTGGACGAGTATATCTTCCGGTTGATTAACTTCCGCTTCTCATACACTTAATCTCCGGTTTTATAGATTTTTTTTTTTCTTCATAATTCTTTCATTCTAAAATTAATTTTATTTATTAAGTCCATGGATGTCATACGAGAAATGAGTTTAATTATCAGATTCTTTTAACGATAAAATTTCTCAACAAATTAAAATTTTTTTAATAAAAAAAAAAGGAAATGAAGATACCTTGATTTAAAAGTTGGAAAAATATTTTTAATAAAAAAGTTTTTTATTGTCTGAATTTTTGAAAAATATTGAAAGGTATTGGAAGAAGTGCAAATGACTGAGTTCGAAATGATTAAACTTCAATAAAACGGAGTAAAATATTTTCTAAAGTTCTCCAGAGTTCATGTCACCTCAATCAATATTTAAAAAAAAAAAAAGTGAGTTTTTATAATAAGAAAAGGGAATATCTTGATTCTTCTATTTCATTCCGGATACGTCTGCAGATTCTTTTAGATCATTCTCGGATGTTCCAAAGAGTGATAAAAGAGGCATAAGAAAATAAAAAAAAAAGATAGTTTGGACCACCGACAAACGAGCTTGACAAAGACTCTACCAAAAGAAATGGCTAGAGGGTTGAAAAAGAAATCCATTCGTTTTCATCGTATACAAAACTTTCAAAGAACTTTGTACCAGATAAGATATAGTGAGACCTATTATAGTCAAGCTATTGCTGATACCTTCATTGGATGTATATAAATATATACATGACAATAAATACATGGTAAATTTTGATACATTACAGCTATTCGGAGAGTGGCGGAACAAAACAGGATTATTCTATTGTTATGTTAGCAGAAATTGGATGATTTTGTTTTATTTATATCATCATTATTTACAAGCTGGAATGGAGCAAAATGAGATACTCTGAATGTTTTTTTTAAAAATTCTTTTCCCCACATAGAAATATTCAAATAAATTTTAGCAAATAAAATTTCCAAGTTTATTAAGATGTATATTTGTTTTATTTAGTAGTGGTATATAAAATGTTCGAGAATGATCTAGAATCTTGGCTATTTACTATGGAGATGTAAACAAAATTCCTAAGCAATTAGTGTATTTCAAAACACCTTGCCCATCAATCGTCTCTGTAAATTTAATGTGTTTTGATAAATAATAGTTTGTATCTAAACTTGAGTTCTCTACATATGATCTCTATAAACTGTAAGTAAATAATAATAACCGACTGAATAATGAACCAAAATATGAAAATAATTCTTGTTGAAAATAAAATTCTTTTTTCAACAAATTTTATTGATGATAAAATTGATAGTTTTTATGTAACATAATTTTTTTGACAAAAAAATATTCATTACAGAAAATCTCTTCTTTTTACATTGAAAAAAGAAAATAGGAAGACATAGCAATTGGAAGCCTTTTTATTGCACTTCAATTTATGAGAAAAGTTTCAAAATATTTAAATTAAATAAAGAGAAAAAATTACTAATGAAAAAAAGATTGATTACACAAAAAAAAAATGATTGGTGATAATAAGTTAAATTATTGATTTTTATATTGATTATGTAATCCTTTTCCAGTCATATTACAATATAGAATCAACTCTTATCTATTTATTTTTCCATAATTACGTATTTAAGTTGATGATTTAGCTATTGTCAGAATGATGTATTATTTGAGCTAATTGATTTCATACTGTAATCTCGAATACATATCACGCAACTGCGTGAAATCTAAAACAATAGGAAGATCTGAAGTTCAAGAGTATTTCATTGTGTTACATAGTCTCTAATTTAGTCATTGTTCCTACATGTCTATTACAATAATTAAAATACACTAAACAATTATTATACCTCATCAATAATAGCAATTGAAATTTTTTCTCGATTCTATTGATCTAAAAAAAAATCTTAAAGGTCGTAAACAATAAAAACAACTCTTTTTAAAAAGAAAGGCGTCACCGACACTCAAGGAGGTTCTTGCATTTAACAAAATTAAAGATTAATTTATAAAAATTTTAAAAGTGGTAGTTAATAATTTAAAGAAATCAAGTTTGCTTTATTAATAGATTTTACCGTTTAGTTTAGCAATAATAAATGTATAAAGTTAACAATTGAGGTGAAAGTTAGGTCAAACATTAAACTCAATGGCAGAAATAAATTTAGATTTCTTGTAAACAAAATGCTCAAAAGTTTCATAATTGTGTAATTAATCAATTCTAATTGTCATGTTTTATTTAATATCAAATATTTTCATTTATCGGTAAATAAAATTTAACTATAGGTTTTCTCTGTACCATACTATTAGTCGTGCAAGAACCTCCTTAAAGGGTCAAAGGTTTCAATTGCCACTGATGTGGAGGGATTGAGTCTAAGTAGAATTGTCTGGATTTGGTCAGACGCCAATTTTTTGGGGATGTAGATCTGGTTGAATGTTTTTGTAACATATTAATTGAATTTTTTTCTTTTATTTAGAAGTTTAAACTGACAATTCTAGAATAAAGTTGAAGTATTTATAGATCATGAATCTTGCATGGGTATAATTATTTTTTTCTGACAACCAATTTTTATTAGTAGTTAAATTCGTGTGTAGAAAAATAAGTTTATTACGTAATACGAATGATAATGATGTATTTGAATTGATGTTAAGCTAACTGAGCCTGCAATAAATTAATTAATTTGATGTAAAAAACAATAAAATAATTAATTAAAAATACATTGAAAATAATAAAATAATTTTAATAAAAGTATACTTTAATGTGCTTTAAAAAGTTTAATGCAAATAAAAACTGCCAGTTTTATTAAAATTTAATTGACTGTAAATATTGTCTGTCTGTCGATGGAATTTTGTTTGTGTATTATTATTTTACATTTATAGAATCACTCGGAGTGTTTATAGCATTGATAAAAATTTTTTAGTTAATTATAAACAATTAATAATTATATGTAAATACTGAATAATTGATTTGGTGTTAACTTACGTATCTGAAGATATTTTTCTCGAAGTAATTAAAATCTACCAAAGTTGTTGGATAAACAGCATTTTGTCTTCCTCCATATCAAAGTGTAAATGATGAATGAAAAATATTTTCATTTTAAATTTTACCATAATCTTGTTATAAATAACACTTAGATAATTGACGGACATGGATTGTTATGTTTTTCATAAAAAATAAAAATATTATAATTCAATTATTTAACCCACGAATTTTTTTTTTTTTATTTTCAAACTAAAATTTTATTCAACTCGGCATCAATAATTGTTGATAAATTTTTTTAAAAATCTTTAAATTTCGATATTTTTAATTTTAGATTTAGAATTTAATTAAATGAACTTTGAATTTTTATTTTTGATGGTTTAATAATATAATTTTATTAGTAAAATTAATTTTTAAAAATTGTCCAATACCTAATTATTGTGAAAAATTATTTTAATAAAGAAAAAAAAAGAATATTTTCGATGTTTGTGGCCGAGTTACACGTGGCGTAATTGTGCGTACTATATGCGTGGGTGGTAGAGTACTACTGAGTTGGCCGACGACGACGGCTTGTCGACGTCGTTGTTCGTCGACGGCGGCGGCGGCGGCGGCGGCGGCGGCTTTTAACCCCCCTACACATTTATCGTCCCTTTTCTGCAACCTTTATCCAGTTCTTGCGCAGAGCATCTTTACTCAGACAATTGTTTCATCTTTTCTAATCTTTAACATCCTTAAGAATTTCAAACCCAATCAAGCTCTCACTCATTCGTACTATTTTCATTCACTAATTAACTAAATCAACAACTTTAAACATTTTTACATTATCTATTCC